CCCCGGTTGTGAGTACCGTGCCCCAGACTAATTCAAAAACACTTACCTCAAATACAAATCTGTTGTAGTGGTCCCTTCCCCTACTTTAGCCCTTCAAAACAATGGTAAATCCTGTAATGGCCGGGTCATGTGAAGACGAAGACCTGGATCGACAAAGACAAAAGTCCTGTGACGGCAAGGCTCTGTGCTGGTAAAATCCCAGGATGGTAGAGTCCAGTGATGGCGACTTTCTGTTCTGATAAAGTCCAAGGATGGTAGAACCCAGTGATGGCGACTTCCTGTTCTGATAAAGTCCAAGGATGGTAGAACCCAGTGATGGCGACTTCCTGTTCTGATAAAGTCCAAGGATGGTAGAACCCAGTGATGGCGACTTTCTGTTCTGGTAAGGTCTCAGGATGGTGACGTCTAGTGGTGGTGACGTCAGTGGTAATGACGTTCTGATTGCGACTTTCTGTTCAGGTAAGGTCCCAGGATGGTATAGTCCAGTGATGATGACGTCAAGTGATGGTGACGTCTAGCGATGGTGACGTCTAGTGGTGGTGACGTCCAGTGGTAATGACGTTCTGATTGCGACTTTCTGCTCAGGTAAGGTCCCAGGATGGTATAGTCCAGTGATGATGACGTCTAGTGATGGTGACGTCTAGCGATGGTGACGTCTAGTGATGGTGACTCCCAGTGGTAATGACGTTCTTATGGTCCCAGAATGGTATAGTCCAGTGATGATGACGTCTAGTGATGGTGACGTCTAGTGATGGTGACGTCTAGCGATGGTGACGTCTAGTGATGGTGACATCCAGTGGTAATGACGTTCTGATGATTGCGCTATCTTTACTTTAATACTGGCCACCAGTTGTTACGTTCTGGGTTCATTTCAAATCAATAACAACGCTTTGTGTTTAACTTCACTACTTTTATTCGTCTCAATGCATTCAAGCGTACCAGAACAGCCCTCGTCCTAACCGCTACTAACCCGCTGACTGCCAACTAACTAACCCTGACAACCATTCACTCCAGCTTTTATACCGCATTCGACCTTGGGATAACAATACACAAACACACCGGGGTTAACAATATTCTAGGGTAAACTCAACTCACACACTCACTCTCCCCTAATTCTAGATCATTCTATCCTATTCTAGTCTAGCCTACACTGACCCGTAACAGAATGATTAGGCGCATTTATTAATTATTGTTACAATTTACAAAACGGTGCATTGATGAATTATTGTTTATAATGCGAAAAAATTACTTACATTTATTTTAAAATTAACGTTTTTAAAATACACAAGTGTGACGTCACACTTATTAACCCCCCCCCCTCCCTCTTACCCACACCTACCCACGGGATCTCTAATGGTCCCAAAAGTAGGGATGTGAGGCGTCGATAGACGACCCCTACGTTAAAGCAGGGTTGGTGGTAGGGTTAAGGTTCAAGTTTAGTTTGAACAAAGGTTAGAGCTTCAGTAGTGGTCTAGAGAAAATGTTGTGGTTAGGTTTAGGTTGTTTTTGTTGGCGTCGGTCGGCACACACCACATTTTCTGTCTTTATTTAACCAGTGTGTCAGTGTGGTAGATGGTTGATTTAAAGACCACCTTCATATACCAGCACCAACAAACGTCTATACTTGTCTCCTTACCGGCACTCATTTAAAGTAGGCATACTGGAAAAAAAATGCATAAAAACGCTTTTATGTAATAATGTTATTAAAACGTATTTATGCATTTTTACTTTCTCGTATACGAAATATATAGAATCTAGAAAGTATTGTTATCGTGCAAAAAAAAAATGAAATTGAGATTTTTACAAATCTCGACGTTTTACACATCCCTGAAACGGAAAAACATAGTTTCGCAATTTTGTCCGTATGTCTGTGAGTGGGTATGTATGTGTGTCTGTAAACACGATAACTTCAGTACCGTTACAGCTAGGATGATGAAATTTCATATATAAGTATATATCTATAAGTATTATATCACATTTGTAGTTCTGTTTCAAATTTTCAGCGTTTTCCGTTTACCGGAAGTGGAACTTATTCTACTTTCAATTTTTCAAAAGCCTATAAGTTGAGATCTGTTTAAGATATATGAACGAAATTTCATATATAAGTAAAAGATCTAATTCTCTGCCTTCTTTCAAATTTTGAGTAATTTCCCTTTACGCTATTTCCGATTTCTCAAAAAAAAAAACGTATGTGAATGTATAAAGTAATAATAATATTTCGCACTATTATATACATATTACTTGGTGCGCAATTTTTTTTCTACGAGATTCTATTATATTTTAAAAAGTATAAGTAATTAAAAATCATGTGTTTATTCAAAGTTGCCATCCCCCTTAGATAAGAATATTTGAGAAAGTTTAGGGGAAATCACTCCCGGTTTATTTTCCTCAAATTCACTTTTCTAATATTTCTATCCTTGCTGTTCAGCATCGTCAACCGTTACGCGGTGCAAAAAAAAATTCTTTACGTTGTGGAGTAAATGTTTTTTGAGATTTAAGATGGGTATTATATATATATATATATATATATATATATATATATATATATATATATATATATATATATATATATATATATATATATATATATATATATATATATATATATATATATATATATATATATATATATATGTGTGTGTGTGTGTGTGTTTATATTTATAAACAAGACTGTGTGGACTGGTTTAAGTAGGGATATCGACAGGTTGGGGAGGGTGTGGCAAGATTGAACCAGTTCAATGTTACCAATCTGATTGACGTAGTTAGGAACTCACGACATTTGGACAGCACACAGAAGGCGGTCAATAAAACGGACATCTACCGGACAATATCGACACATCACGGCCGTCCAGCGACACATCACGGCCGTCCACCGACACATCACGACCGTCCACCGACACATCACGACCGTCCACCGATACATCACGGCCGTCCAACGATGACCTGCGTCACGTGACGACCGTAGGAGCGCGCGGACAGGACAAGCAGTGGCGCGTGCCACCAGATGACCCCCGGGGATTAGCTGTCGCCCGCAGCGCCGAGTGGGACAAGAATTTCACACCCCACATTGTGTGTCACCCACTAGGTGACGCCACTCTCTGTATGAGGTACAGGGGGGGGGGGGGGGCAGTCTTATCTGGGGGATTAGAACACTTGCATGGAGAGATGGTTGTGTCGACATAATTAGTTACATGATTATTCATAATTAGTACAATCAGATAATTTTTTTTTTATAATCCTTAGGGTTGGGGTCTCTTATGTCACCCCCACTTAGCAACCTATACCTTCTTGAAAGCTACGTCACGATCATTGTACGTCCAGCCTTATCACGGCCTTATCACACGAATTTTCTTCACAATTTCTTTTTAATATATACACGACAATACACACTGCAGCAAGTGTAAATGATGACGACAGAAGTTAATACCCACCCTGTAGAATTGAATAATTCAAAATAGTGACACACGGGATGCGATCAACTTGACGAACACAGCAAAAACCTGAAGGAAACTCAAAGCAACAAAACACAGGGACACCAGGCAACGATGAACCTATGACACAACCTGACACAACCTATGACACAAACCTATGACACAAACCTATGACACAAACCTATGACACAACCTATGACACAACCTATGACACAACCTATGACACAACCTGACACAACCTATGACACAACCTGACACAACCTGACATAACCTATGACACAACCTATGACACAACTTGACACAACCTATGACACAACCTGACACAAACCTGTGACACAAACCTATGACACAACCTGACACAACCTGACACAAACCTGACACAACCTATGACAGAACCTGACATAACCTATGACACAAACCTATGACACAAACCTATGACACAAACCTATGACACAACCTATGACACAACCTGACACAACCTATGACACAACCTGACACAAACCTATGACACAAACCTATGACACAAACCTATGACACAACCTATGACACAACCTATGACACAACCTATGACACAACCTATGACACAACCTGACACAACCTATGACACAACCTATGACACAACCTATGACACAACATATGACACAACCTATGACACAACCTATGACACAACCTATGACACAACCTATGACACAACCTATGACACAACCTATGACACAACCTATGACACAACCTATGACACAACCTATGACAACCTATGACACAACCTATGACACAACCTATGACACAACCTATGACACAACCTATGACACAACCTATGACACAACCTATGACACAACCTATGACACAACCTATGACACAACCTATGACCTGACAATACCCATTCCTGGTAGAGCCAACCCAATTGATGACATTAACCCAATCATTCCTACAAGCTATAGGAGACGTTGAAGCTCACTACTTCTTGACAGATTTAACTCCCCCCCCCCCAATAAGATCCCGACACACTTCCTGGGTTTCTTTCAGACTTTTTTCTCCTGGGAGCGGCATTTAAAACTGGGGTGGGGGGGTCTTGAATTTTGGGGCGGAAAGGCGGCCACTTTTTATGTTTTCAAGCATTAAATATGTGATGACGCTAGTTCAATATAGTATATATTTCGATCTGGGGGGGGGGGGGGTAATAGCTGGGTGATGGACTTGCTATGGTGGGGGTCACCTCCCTCTGAAGAGATGCCTGAAAGAACCTGCACGCCGCCTGTACTTAACGTATCGCCCCTCCCCAGTTCCGACCCTCGGCCTGAGTGGGGTGGCTGTACTTAACCCCCCGTATCATCCCTCCCCACCCTCGGCCTGAGTGGGGTGGCTGTACTTAACCCCCCGTATCATCCCTCCCCACCCTCGGCCTGAGTGGGGTGGCTGTACTTAACCCCCCGTATCATCCACTCCCCAGTTCCGACCCTCGGCCTGAGTGTGGTGGCTGTACTTAACCCCCCGTATCGTCCACTCCCCAGTTCCGACCCTCGGCCTGAGTGTAGTGGCTGTACTTAACCCCCCGTATCATCCACTCCCCAGTTCCGACCCTCGGCCTGAGTGTGGTGGCGGAAGGCGATGCAGCCATGGAGAGAACCAGCGACCTCTCCCTGCGCTGTGACGTCAGCGAGGTGGGTGCGGACGATGAGCTGGTGAGGGTGATGTGGTTCTACACGGACCGCCCCCACGGCGGGTATGTCGAGATCTTCAGTGCCGACCTGACCTCAGACTCACCCTCCTACCTCTTCTCTTCACGGTGGACCGGTCGAGCCGTGTTTGAACCGGCCGGCATCGGCAACATCCGGCTGCCGGCCGCCCACGTCACGAAAGAGTTTGCAGGAGACTACAGGTACACTTTTATCTTTACCAATGGGGGGGGGGGATTTATAGACATTTAGAGGTGAGGAGCCTTGACTCTTGTTGTGAATCTAAGGCTGGTAGTGTGTATGTGGAGACTTCACCCCTACCTCCCCCCCCCCCTGTTGCAGGTGCCAGGTAAATTCCCTGATGTCCAGCGGCTACTCTGACGTCAGTATTGACGTGTTGTATGGGCCAGGCACCAGCATCGTCATCACGCCCGGGGGTCGGGTGGAGCGGCAGGAGAAGGAAGATCTGGCACTGTCTTGTAGCGCCCAGTGTAATCCTGCCTGCACTTACAGGTAAACTTACACTGACAGGTAAACTTACACTGACAGGTAAACTAAACAATTACAGGTAAACTTACGCTTACAGGTAAACTTACACTTACAGGTAAACTTACACTTACAGGTAAACTTACACTGACAGGTAAACTTACACTTACAGGTAAACTTACACTGACAGGTAAACTTACACTTACAGGTAAACTTACACTTACAGGTAAACTTACACTGACAGGTAAACTTACACTTACAGGTAAACTTATACTGACAGGTAAACTTACACTTACAGGTAAACTTACACTTACAGGTAAACTTACACTTACAGGTAAACTTACACTGACAGGTAAATTACACTTACAGGCAGAGTTACACTTATAGGTAAAATACACTGACATGTAGTTACCTTTATACGTGACGTTACGTTAACCACTACCCCAGAAAGACAGATAAAGACACATATGTTGCAGGTAGAATTACCTGTAGTTTGAAACTGTAACCAGCTCACTGTCTCTGCAGGTGGTACAAGGCAGGTCGTAAACTGGCAGGTCAGGCGGTGCTAGAGATGACGTCACTGAGCCGACAGAACGCCGGCCTGTACGCCTGTCAGGCGAGGAATGAGGTGGGGAGGAGCATAAAGCCAGTGGAGCTGCGAGTCTTCTTCCCCGCCACCATCGTGGCCATGAACGTGACGGGCGAGGGGGACTGGAACACCGCCCACAACGTCAGCTCCACCAGACACAACCTGCTGCTGACCTGCGAAGTTCAAGGCTGGCCAGAGGTCACCGTCCAGTGGCTGAAGAACGGTGTTCATCCTCTCAACACCAGCGCCACCTTACAGGCAGACGTCAACCACAGGCTGAGCAGCTTCGAGATCAGGTCAGCCACGTGTCTAGACAGTGGTGAGTACTCATGCAAAGCCTGGAACGGGGTGGGCGAGTCGTCTGCTAAAACCGCCATTTTGGACATGGGTTGCGCGCCCTTTGAGATCAGCCATCTTAGCTCCTGCCAGACAGGACCGGAAGTTGAAATGATAAAAAGTCTCAACGACATAGCCAAGCTCCAGGTCTGCATGGCTTCGAACCCCAGCCCTGTGGTCAGGCTGGAGCATAGCGGCAAGAAGATCATGCAAGACGTGGAGGTCACGTGTGACGGCAAGCGATGCGTGGCCGTGCTGGAGCTAAACTTGACCTCGCCAGATGACTACGGCGAGTACCTGGCCCACGTCTCCAACATCCACGGCGTCTGGGAGAAAACTTTTCGCCTGGTTTCCCGCCCGTGGCCGCCCCCAGACCTCAAGCTGCTCAACGTCTCGCAGGGCGCCGCCTGCTTCCGCTGGCGCCCCGGCTTCAATGGCGGCGCTACCCAGACGTTCTCCCTGCGGTACAGGGCAATGCCGCCCCGGGACAGCGACAAGGTCAAGGTCAAGGAGAATGGGGTCGTGACCGTGGAGGAAAACGATGACGTCATCAAGGAGTCGGGCGAGTACACAGCGTGCGTGGACGACCTTGACCCTTATGTTGAGTACGAGGTGACCTTGACCTCGTCCAACAAGTTCGGCGTGTCCGAGGCGTCTAAGCTGCTCCGATTCCAGACACTGCGTGACGTCAGAGTTTCCCCGCCCCGCCCCCCAGCCCACGACAGGAGTCTAGACCTGCTCGCTGACGCCGCGAACATCATCCTCAAGACGACGCGAACAACGGCGTCAGCGGACATCCCCCGCGTCATGTCGACTCCGCCCACCACCACAGATGACGATGAAGACGATGACGACGAGCCCCCAGAAGACGAGAGCGAGGATCTCTTGAAGCTGTTTGGACCGTTCCTGACCATCGACCAGCTGAAGGCGGTCAACGGCTCGGCCGGCGCTCACCAGTTCTCTAACTACTCACACAACCTGCAGAGGCTGCTCACAAACGTGGCTCGTGCACAGGACCACGCCCCCAACTCCCTGGGTCAGTTCAACCTCCCCTCCCCCACTCGCCCAGGCAGACGTCACAGCCACGTGACGACCTCGCTGGTGACGACATCAGTAGCAGACGCCGACCCCATCTCGGGTTTCGTGACGTCAGTAACCGTGTCCGTCACGGCCGTGGCGACGCTATTCATCATCGGCATCGTCATAGCCTTGACCTGTATGACCTACGTCAGACGGAAGCGTCGCCTGCAGCGGTGCCAGGAGCGGTACCGGCACCGGATGAAGCTCAACAAGTTCCCCATCAGAGCCGTGGCGTTTCCGGTTCTCCGGTCACAGTTCCCCAACAGGCGCACGCTGGCACCGGAAGTTAAATTGGACGACCAGCACAAGCTGTCCTCGTTCACGTGCGCCTGCAAAGACAGCGCCTTGCTAACCTCTCTGCCGTCACTACGGCCGCGGCTCTCTAGCCCCGACATGCGGGCGTCTAGAGCCGAGTCAGGCTCACCATCGACCAGCGCCCAATCCTCGCCCGGCCCTGACCTCCCCGGGCCGGACGACAGCCGGATCTCTTGCCCGTCCTACACAGACCTGTACCCCAGCCAGGGCACCCAGAAGAAAATCTCAGCGGTGGAGCGGCTGCCCCAGACGACCTATTCGTGTCTGCACCAGACAGATCTCAAGCAAATCAACGAAAATGACGCGTACGAATCGACCAAATACCTTGACCTTTACGAGACACTCTCCTCACGGTCAAGGTCGAGGTCACCCTCCAATGTTTATGACCCTCTGGACTTTGAATGTGAAACGAGCGTGCAACGTCCGGTCTCTGACGTGTCTCTCGTGGCAAACCCCAAGGTCAAGGCCAAGAAAAACGAGGGCAAGTCAAGGTTAAGGCGGCACAACGCCCGGGATCTGCCGCTCCGTCGTCCCAAGTTCAAGGAGCTCGGCAAGGCTAACGGCAAGGCTAACGGCAAGAAGGCGCCGAAAGCCCAGAGCGGCCGTCTGGTCGATCTGAAAGCGCTGAGGTTCCGGCGAGGTTCTCCGGCCTCCGGCTCCCGGGTGGTGCCGGAACTCGAGCTACCCAGCCGGGCGCCGTGCTACGCCAACGCCATCGCCGTACAGCAGCTGGCCGGCCGGCACAGCTACGCCAACATCCAACTCGACCAGGAGCCGGTCCTTATGCGGCTCTCTGCTGGCTCCAATAGAGCCGTCTCCGGAGACCGGCGGGGCAGCCGTACCGGCAGCATGCAGGAGCCGTTCTACACCGACATCGACTCGTGCCTGCACGAGAAGCTGTACATGGACATGAAGACCAAGTACAACCCTTTGTTCGGGATCTCCAACACCGCCGAACTCTTTTCTTCATCGGATTCTTTATGTACTAGAGGGCCGGAAAATTCCGGTTTGTCCTCAAAATATGCACCCAGTGTGATAACTAAAGGGAGTGTGAAAAGTTGCGGTGTGGACTACAACTACGGCTACAATGACTACCTCGTCCCGTTCGTTCGCCTGGACGCCATGAAGAAAGTGCGGGGAGCGAGGGGCAGTGTCAAGGACGGCAAACCTCCGCCACCACAGCGAGGCTCGTCCACCAAACGTACCAGCGACTCGGTCTACAGCAACCAGATGGTCGCCAACCTCGCCACACGGCACAGCGCGACCGTTCAGGGGGACGCCGGCAGCCGGAGGTCAGAGGTTGCCATGGTTGGCCAGAGGGTCAACCGGTGGTCCGATGTGGGCCAGGGTGGTCCACAGCGCCCCAAGAGCTCAGTGGCGGCCTATATGGTGACCGACTGCGTCAAGCTGAGCGGCACTGGTGACGCGGCGTCGACAGATGCGAGTCATGACTCAGTCGCGCACAACGAACTTGCTAACATTTATGATGACGTCATCATGCCCTACACTGTCTAGACATATCTATATATATATATATATATATATATATATATATATATATATATATATATATATGTGTGTGTACATAAAACAATTTAAATAAAGTTACTTTGATGTTGTTGTTTTTTTTAACTTTTTAGTTGAAATTTTGTAATCGTGCACAAATCAGGGCTCGGAAAAACATAGTTTTACGGTGTTGTCTGTCTGTCTGTCCGAAATTTTCATCCGGCGAATACTTGAAGCTTTGGGTGGAAGCCGGAAGGGAGGGGGAGCACTGTCTTCATTGAGTGGGACGTCTTCAAATATGGAAGATAGCGGGCCACTTCCCGTAAGGTAGATGGACGTCAACATAAATGGATACTAAGGCGACAACTGCGAACATCCCATAAGCAGTCGTGGACCAAACTTTCTACATTCAAAACTGTTTGGTCCCTTATTGAAAGGAAATTAACCCCACCTCGCCCACCCCCTCGTAGTTGTCCACAAAGTTTAATTAGACCGAGACTAACTACCATTTTCTTTTTAGCGCAATTTCCATACGGACAATTGCGATTATTAACTCGTCATTTCTGGATGGATGTGTGTCCCCAGCTTTAAGTCGTATCTCCTCCTCAACGAAGCAATATCGAGGACTAGTTCCAAGAGCAAATATGTTAAGCAAGTTCCGAGGATAAACATAGGCCAAAAAAATTCCCGGAATTCCTTCCTGGATTTCCCGGAAAAGCCAAAAAACTTCTAAAAAACGCAGTTTTTTGCCCATATCTCGACAACCAGACCACTTAGCGACTTGAAACATTTACCAATCGATTTCTGCCATAATTTAGAACAATATTGCCGAAAACAAGTTTTCAAAAATATCCTTTCGTTCGGTCACAAAAAATTAATTTCTTCTAATTTGTATTGGCTAAGATTACTAAGAATATACAAATATTTCTACCACCCTCATCCCTTCGCGTCTCACCACTAGAAGAAGCGAAGCGGTGAAGTTCCAAACCAAGCACACCGGCTGAGGCAGTCGCTAGTGAGAGGTAACGTCTACTTGTTTAAACTGAGCTTCGTGTAGGCCTACTCGTTAATAATTATCATTAAAAAAGTTTAAAAAAAACACGTTTTCTGATTGAACTAAAAAGTAGAAAATAAATGCTATACATCACAATAATGCAAGCGATCACTCTACTATAAGCGATGAAAAACGTGGGGCGCCGAAGTAAAAGTTTTTATCGGTCATTGTTAATATAAGATGTAAAAGTTATATTACTATTGATTAGATAATACTATTGACTTTTATTAGGGAGCTTGTAGAGAGTCAACAGTATTAGAAACTGTAAGAAAATCACGGCGCCCCACGTTTTTCATCGCTTATAGTAGAGTGATCGCTTGCATTATTGTGATGTATAGCATTTATTTTCTACTTTTTAGTTCAATCAGAAAACGTGGGTTTTTAAAAACTTTTTTAATGATAATTATTTTCTACTTTTTAGTCTTTGTTTGTTTGCTTTAAAATCTTGCTATCGATTTTATCTTTTCGCATTCACTTTTTTTTTTGGGTAAACGAAGACAACTCGTAAAAAACACGTGCCTTGAACACGTGTCGAGTGGGTTAGCAATCGTGTGCCCAACCACTCGACCATATCGTCTCCCCCATACTGACCACCAGTTGTTACGTTCTGGTTGTTTGTACACAAACACCGCGTGACAACTACTCAGTAAGCAAAAAGAGGGAGAGTACCGAACCTTGTTTTCATCAAATTACAATTACTGGGTTATGTCCCTTTTCCCCCACGTTTTTTGTACAATTATATAGCGGTCTAAAATGATCAATAAAATGTTTCCATGGATCAATTTAGTAATAATAACAATTGAATATTCTATTGTCATCGGAAACAAAGCTTCCCTGAAAATTTCAGCGCGCTAGCTAACTGGGAAGTGCCCGAAATTTCGATCGCAAGATTTGATTGGAAAGACGCGAAAGCAAGTTAAAGAAAATGTGGGAAAATAAAACTATTTCCGTTGATATAGGTTAATATAGTTGTCTTTATTTTTTACTTATTAATTCAAACGTTATTTTTGTACCCTATTAAATAATTTTAAAAAATTCTATTTTGTTTTAAAATTACATTATACATAATACACTACAGTACTATATAGCAATATAGAGAGCGCGACAACTAAATACCCCCTACACGTCCGCATATTTTTTTCAATCTCGTTAATAAATATTTTTTAAATTTTGTTTTGAATTATTAAAACTACTTGTGTTGCATTATTTAATTGCTGAATATATGATTTATCTCGATTTAAAATTGTTATGGATAACATAAGGAAATTGCGCTTAAATTGTCACTATACTTTTTATTAACTTGTTTAAACTGAGCATCGTGTAGGCCTACTCGTTAAAATAAAACTAGTTCCGTTGATATAGGTTAATATAGTTTTTTTTTTAGCGCAAAAACATATCCTTTCGTTTGGTCACAAAAAATTAAAAATTGTTATGGATAACATAAGGAAATTGCGCTTAAATTGTCACTAGACTTTTTATTAACTTGTTTTTTCTCCAAACGAAAGAAAACGAAGATCCTAAAAAGCTCATCTGGCACCAAGGACGCACCCCCCCCCCCCACACACAGAACAAAAAGGACAAACACCCCCCCCCCCCCCACCACATAGAGAACAAAAATTAATGTAACATTTTGCATTCCATCCGGCTGTTGTTTTACATCAAACAAACCGTCCACTAGGAGTCAAATTAAAAAGACATTATTTTATAATAAATATTTATTTACAATTCTGTCAGACCATCCAGATATTTAATAAATATTTATTTACAATTCTGTCAGACCATCCAGATATTTAATAAATATTTATTTACAATTCTGTCAGACCATCCAGATATTTAATAAATATTTATTTACAATTCTGTCAGACCATCCAGATATTTAATAAATATTTATTTACAATTCTGTCAGACCATCCAGATATTTAATAAATATTTATTTACAATTCTGTCAGACCATCCAGATATTTAATAAATATTTATTTACAATTCTGTCAGACCATCCAGATATTTAATAAATATTTATTTACAATTCTGTCAGACCATCCAGATATTTAATAAATATTTATTTACAATTCTGTCAGACCATCCAGATATTTAATAAATATTTATTTACAATTCTGTCAGACCATCCAGATATTTAATAAATATTTATTTACAATTCTGTCAGACCATCCAGATATTTAATAAATATTTATTTACAATTCTGTCAGACCATCCAGATATTTAATAAATATTTATTTACAATTCTGTCAGACCATCCAGATATTTAATAAATATTTATTTACAATTCTGTCAGACCATCCAGATATATAATAAATATTTATTTACAATTCTGTCAGACCATCCAGATATATAATAAATATTTATTTACAATTCTGTCAGACCATCCAGATATTTAATAAATATTTATTTACAATTCTGTCAGACCATCCAGATATTTAATAAATATTTATTTACAATTCTGTCAGACCATCCAGATATTTAATAAATATTTATTTACAATTCTGTCAGACCATCCAGATATTTAATAAATATTTATTTACAATTCTGTCAGACCATCCAGATATTTAATAAATATTTATTTACAATTCTGTCAGACCATCCAGATATTTAATAAATATTTATTTACAATTCTGTCAGACCATCCAGATATTTAATAAATATTTATTTACAATTCTGTCAGACCATCCAGATATTTAATAAATATTTATTTACAATTCTGTCAGACCATCCAGATATATAATAAATATTTATTTACAATTCTGTCAGACCATCCAGATATTTAATAAATATTTATTTACAATTCTGTCAGACCATCCAGATATTTAATAAATATTTATTTACAATTCTGTCAGACCATCCAGATATTTAATAAATATTTATTTACAATTCTGTCAGACCATCCAGATATATAATAAATATTTATTTACAATTCTGTCAGACCATCCAGATATTTAATAAATATTTATTTACAATTCTGTCAGACCATCCAGATATTTAATAAATATTTATTTACAATTCTGTCAGACCATCCAGATATTTAATAAATATTTATTTACAATTCTGTCAGACCATCCAGATATTTAATAAATATTTATTTACAATTCTGTCAGACCATCCAGATATTTAATAAATATTTATTTACAATTCTGTCAGACCATCCAGATATTTAATAAATATTTATTTACAATTCTGTCAGACCATCCAGATATTTAATAAATATTTATTTACAATTCTGTCAGACCATCCAGATATATAATAAATATTTATTTACAATTCTGTCAGACCATCCAGATATTTAATAAATATTTATTTACAATTCTGTCAGACCATCCAGATATTTAATAAATATTTATTTACAATTCTGTCAGACCATCCAGATATTTACTCAAGTTATGCTGCTGTAACATGGACATTAAAGTTGCTAGTTTTATTCAGTTTTCATTTGTCGGCTATTTTCAGCGTCTTCAAAGTCAGGCATTTTCAGCGTCTTCAAAGTCAGGCATTTTCAGCGTCTTCAAAGTCAGGCATTGTTCAAACATCCGTCCTAACTCTCCAACAAACGGTTGTATGAACAAACATTTGCTACACGATACAATAGTCGTCCCAAAATGTCCTATCCAGTCCTAGAATGTCCCGTGACGTCCTAGAATGTCCTGTTGTTTATGGCAACTCAATCCGAGGGAAGCTGGCGAGGGTTGCTATACCACATTCGTTGTTTGCGTTTCTCTTTAGTCGCATGTAGCCCTCCTCACCCCATGTAGTGCCCCAGCTGGTGAGATACATCATGGTGAGATAAGTCAAGGTAAGATAAGTGATGGTGAGGTAAGTGATGGTGAGGTAAGTGATGATGAAGTAAGTGATAGTGAGGTATGTGATGGTGAGATAAGTCATGGTGAGGTAAGTGAGGGTGAGATAGTGATGGTGAGATAAGTGATGGTGAGGTAAGTGATGGTGAGATAAGTGATGGTGAGATAAGTGATGGTGAGATAAGTGATGGTGAGATAAGTGATGGTGAGATAAGTGATGGTGAGATAAGTGATGGTGAGGTCAGTGGTGGAGAGATGATAGTGATATATGTGATGATGAGGTTACATCCTCCATGTGAAACCTACCTGTTTTTGATAAGCCAGTATTCAACTCCGGCCTGAGTCTTGCCATAGCCGGTCACCAACATGGCGTGATTCATCTTAAGAAAAGTTTTTTTACAGTTCTCATTTTCATACACACCTGCAACAAAATATAAGTGCTCACTCAGAACTCAATGCATTACAGTATTTCATTCATCCACCCAACATCCACCCCATAGATACAGACTACCCACCCCACCCCACACATCCACCCCACCCCACACATCCACCCCACCCCACCCCACACATCCACCCCACCCCACCCCACACATCCACCCCACCCCACACATCCACCCTACTGCACACATCCACCCCACCCCACACATCCACCCCACCCCACACATCCACCCCACCCCACCCCACACATCCACCCCACCCCACCCCACCCATCCACCCCACCCCACCCCACACATCCACCCCACCCCACCCATCCACCCCACCCCACACATCCACCCCACCCCACACATCCACCCTACTGCACACATCCACCCTACTGCACACATCCACCCCACCCCACACATCCACCCCACCCCACCCATCCACCCCACCCCACACATCCACCCCACAGATACAGACTACCCACCCCACCCCATAATTGAGACTACCCACCCCCCTGGTAGGTGGAGAAGGTCTGATGGTCAGCATCCACCCCCACAGAGATGGGTCCAATGTTGGCCACTGCGTCCTTCAGGTCACTCTCTTGACCCTCCCTGATGTAGCCACAGCCAGTTATCTTGACCTTGACCTTGGAATTGTCCGAGTGGCAGACATCTTTCTGTAGAAAAATCCCCAGGGTAAGTTGATGTCAGACACATCACAGCAACACATCACAACACACATCACATATCACAGCAACACATCACACATCACATCACACATCACAGCAACACATCACATCACACATCACATCACACATCACAGCAACACATTATAGCAACACATCACAACAACACATCACACATCACATCACACCACACATCACACATCACAGCAACACATCACATCACACATCACAGCAACACATCACATCAACACATCACAACAACACATCACACATCACACATCACAACAACACATCACACATCACATCACAACAACACATCACACATCACATCACACCACACATCACAGCAACACATCACATCACACATCACAACAACACATCACACATCACAGCAACACATCACACATCACAGCAACACATCACATCACACATCACAGCAACACATCACAGCAACACATCACATCACACATCACAGCAACACATCACATCACACATCACAGCAACACATCACATCACACATCACAGCAACACATCACATCACCACATCACATCACCACATCACATCACCACATCACACATCACAGCAACACATCATAGAAAAAAGCTGTTGTTAAATGGTCTGGTCCCAATTAGACTGCCAAATATATTCTGGGACATTCGGGAAGGTGGGGGTGGGGGTGGGTAGGACATATATACAAATAATTATTTTGTAGCCACATGACTCTACTGCTGCAGTGGGCCAAGTGGCCACATACTACTGCTGCAGTGTAGGGCCAAGTGGCCACATACTACTGCTGCAGTGGGCCAAGTGGCCAGGGGATTCTACTGCTGCACCGTAGGGCCATGTGGCCACATACTACTGCTGCAGTGGGCCAAGTGGCCAGGGGATTCTACTGCTGCACCGTAGGGCCATGTGGCCACATACTACTGCTGCAGTGGGCCAAGTGGCCAGGGGATTCTACTGCTGCACCGTAGGGCCATGTGGCCACATACTACTGCTGCAGTGGGCCATGTGGCTGGGCATGTTTAAAGTAGCTGTCCTAACAGCACACTGACAGGCAACAACCCACCCCCACATAGCCTACTGACCCCCACCCCCACACAGCCTACTGACCCCACCTGCACATAGCCCACTGACCCCCACCTGCACATAGCCCACTGACCCCCACCCCCACATAGCCTACTGACCCCCACCTGCACATAGCCCACTGACCACCACCTGCACATAGCCCACTGACCCCCACCTGCACATAGCCCACTGACCCCCACCTGCACATAGCCTACTGACCCCCACCTGCACATAGCCCACTGACCCCACCCCCACCTGCACATAGCCCACTGACCCCCACCTGCACATAGCCCACTGACCCCCACCCCCACATAGCCCACTGACCCCACCCCCACATAGCCCACTGACCCCACCTGCACATAGCCTGACCCCCACCAGCACATAGCCCACTGACCCCACCTGCACATAGTCTACTGACCCCCACCTGCACACAGCCTACTGACCCCCACCCCCACATAGCCTACTGACCCCCACCCCCACACAGCCTACAGACCCCCACCTGCACATAGCCCACTGACCCCCACCTGCACATAGCCCACTGACCCCCACCTGCACATAACCCACTGACCCCCACCTGCACATAACCCACTGACCCCCACCTGCACATAACCCACTGACCCCCACCTGCACATAACCCACTGACCCCCACCTGCACATAACCCACTGACCCCCACCTGCACATAGCCCACTGACCCCCACCTGCACATAGCCTGACCCCCACCTGCACACAGCCCACTGACCCCACCTGCACATAGCCTACTGACCCCACCTGCACATAACCCACTGACCCCCACCTGCACATAGCCTGACCCCCACCTGCACATAGCCCACTGACCCCCACCAGCACATAACCCACTGACCCCCACCTGCACATAGCCTGACCCCCACCTGCACATAGCCTGACCCCCACCTGCACATAGCCCACTGACCCCCACCTGCACATAACCCACTGACCCCCACCTGCACATAGCCTGACCCCCACCTGCACATAGCCCACAGCCCACTGACCCCCACCTGCACATAACCCACTGACCCCCACCTGCACATAGCCTGACCCCCACCTGCACATAACCCACTGACCCCCACCTGCACATAACCCACTGACCCCCACCTGCACATAACCCACTGACCCCCACCTGCACATAGCCCACTGACCCCCACCTGCACATAGCCTGACCCCCACCTGCACACAGCCCACTGACCCCACCTGCACATAGCCTACTGACCCCACCTGCACATAACCCACTGACCCCCACCTGCACATAGCCTGACCCCCACCTGCACATAGCCCACTGACCCCCACCAGCACATAACCCACTGACCCCCACCTGCACATAGCCTGACCCCCACCTGCACATAGCCCACTGACCCCCACCTGCACATAACCCACTGACCCCCACCTGCACATAGCCTGACCCCCACCTGCACATAGCCCACAGCCCACTGACCCCCACCTGCACATAACCCACTGACCCCCACCTGCACATAGCCTGACCCCCACCTGCACACAGCCCACTGACCCCACCTGCACATAGCCTACTGACCCCACCTGCACATAACCCACTGACCCCCACCTGCACATAGCCTGACCCCCACCTGCACATAGCCCACTGACCCCCACCTGCACATAACCCACTGACCCCCACCTGCACATAGCCTGACCCCCACCTGCACATAGCCCACTGACCCCCACCTGCACATAGCCCACTGACCCCCACCTGCACACAGCCCACTGACCCCACCTGCACATAGCCTACTGACCCCACCTGCACATAACCCACTGACCCCCACCTGCACATAGCCTGACCCCCACCTGCACATAGCCTGACCCCCACCTGCACATAGCCCACTGACCCCCACCTGCACATAACCCACTGACCCCCACCTGCACATAGCCTGACCCCCACCTGCACATAGCCTGACCCCCACCTGCACATAGCCCACTGACCCCCACCTGCACATAACCCACTGACCCCCACCTGCACATAGCCTGACCCCCACCTGCACATAGCCTGACCCCCACCTGCACATAGCCCACTGACCCCCACCTGCACATAACCCACTGACCCCCACCTGCACATAGTCTGACCCCCACCTGCACATAGCCTGACCCCCACCTGCACATAGCCTACTGACCCCACCTGCACATAACCCACTGACCCCCACCTGCACATAGCCTGACCCCCACCTGCACATAGCCTGACCCCCACCTGCACATAGCCTGACCCCCACCTGCACATAGCCTACTGACCCCACCTGCACATAACCCACTGACCCCCACCTGCACATAGCCTGACCCCCACCTGCACATAACCTGACCCCCACCTGCACATAACCCACTGACCCCCACCTGCACATAACCCACTGACCCCCACCTGCACATAGCCCACTGACCCCCACCTGCACATAGCCTACAGACCCCCCACAAAAATCCTACTGACCCTCAGCCCCCCTCTCAAACACATACATCCTCCCTCCCTCTCCCCCCCCCCCCCCTTAAACCCATGGTTACCATTGCTTTATAAGGGTAGTCCTTCTCCAGTTCCAAGCCTCCTGATTGGTTGATATATTTATAGGCGGCCTTCATGTAGCCGCCATCACAGCCGTCACAGTCAACATCCATGCAGCAGTCCAATATCTGCTGCTCGCTAAAGTCGGCCATCTTCCTCGTCTTTAGGTAGTACTGACCTTCAGTTGACCCCGTCTGGATACAAGGTTAAACGGGTGTCAATATTAGAATCTGGATACTAGGTTAAACGGGTGTCAATATTAGAATCTGGATACATGGTTAAACGGGTGTCAATATTAGAATCTGGATACAAGGTTAAACGGGTGTCAATATTAGAATCTGGATACAAGGTTAAACGGGTGTCAATATTAGAATCTGGATACAAGGTTAAACGGGTGTCAATATTAGAATCGTTCGGTCAACTCTATGATTCAGTCAACTCTATGATTCAGTCAACTCTATGATTCAGTCAACTCATATGATTCAGTCAACTCTATGATTCAGTCAACTCTATGATTCAGTCAACTCTATGATTCAGTCAACTCTATGATTCAGTCAACTCTATGATTCAGTCAACTCTATGATTCAGTCAACTCTATGATTCAGTCAACTCTATGATTCAGTCAACTCTATGATTCAGTCAACTCTATGATTCAGTCAACTCTATGATTCAGTCAACTCTATGATTCAGTCAACTCTATGATTCAGTCAACTCTATGACTGAGATCTAAAGGAATCAAGAAGTCACTTATGTGTGAAGATGAAGCAAACGTTACCGTGCTGAAGGTCCAGCAACCCCCACACCCGCCCTGCTCTTTGACGTAGCCGACTGCCCCCCGGGCGTGCCAGTCCATGGAGTCGGGGGACGAGTTGCTGGCCTTGTATTCTACACACCACGACAGTCTCTCCTGCCCCAACCGTGGGGCAAAGTCTCCCAGTCGGTTCACACGCTGGTACTCCTCAAACGTCTGCAGAAATCAGGTTTTATTTTTTTAAGACATCGAGGTCCAGCAACATAACAACTTCAACTGATTTTAAATTTAAACATGACCTATTTAAAACAACTTCAACTGATTTTAAATTTAAACATGACCTATTTAAAACAACTTCAACTGATTTTAAATTTAAACATGACCTATTTAAAACAACTTCAACTGATTTTAAATTTAAACATGACCTATTTAAAACAACTTCAATGGGACACCACTTATGAAATCACGAAACACATACGTACCAGGTCAGCAAATTGGTTGATCCCCAGAAAGTAGGTAACTTCTCCGGTTTGATATTTCCGGTTGTGATTTTCAATCTGCCTCACGTTGTCCAGAAAAATTTTGAAACGAATTTCACGTTCTGCTCTAGATCTGTAGGTCTTACCTACACAGACATTTTAGTTTTTGTCATTGTTTAATCTTTATTTGGTCATTGTTTAAACTGTATAAATAACATATTTAAAGGCTACATTACTTAAAGTAACATATTTAAAGCTACATGACTTAAAGCTTAAAGGCTACATGACTTACAGATTAAAGGCTACATGACTTACCAAACTGTTGTGCAAAGTGCAGGAACGAGTCGACGTAAGGACTGAAAGACAAACGGTACTTGTCGTCTGCTGGTATAGCCATGTTGACCTGACTGGGGGCGCCGTGCACCATGACAATGGTCACCAATGACAGCAGCAGACACGAATTCATTTTCTCCTAGAAAAGAAGTTCTCATGTTACCTAGCTATGCAATCACCATAAAAGATCTTTTAATTTAAAAATTGTAATTTATTTTTTTTTAAACTGACGCACTTTATTCAAGTTGGAAATCAACGGAAATCTTCAATTATAACCCCAACAATTTGTGACTAATACACTTGTATTGTCCAATGTCGCTAGTTCTAGCTGAACCTGTTTCACGATGTCGCTAGTTCTAGCTGATCCTGTTTCACGATGTTGCTAGTTCTAGCTGATCCTGTTTCACGATGTTGCTAGTTCTAGCTGATCCTGTTTCACGATGTCGCTAGTTCTAGCTGATCCTGTTTCACGATGTCGCTAGTTCTAGCTGATCCTGTTTCACGATGTTTTAGCTTCTACCGCCCGTCACTCTTGTTAGAGTATTGGCCACCAACTACTGGAGTATGGGCCACCAACTACAGAAGAATTGGCCACCAACTACTGGAGTATTGGCCACCAACTACAGCTCTCTTCTGGAGTATGGATTGGGCCACCAACTACAGCTCTCTAGAGTTCTCTGTCCTGCTGGAGTATGGGCCACCAAGAACATGTGGCCCATTGTTTTTTTCTCATCCACCAGATTTTTACAGGATTAAATTGGACATTGAGGTGTGTCCATGGAAGTGTTAGACATTAAGATGTTGGTCCATGAAAACATAAGCCGTAGATCATCCAAGAAAACCTCACAGCACTTTAATAATAAACCAACAAAACACGTCCTTAACGACTTTTTTTTTCAGATGTGTAGGCCTAAATAGTTTGTTTAAAAATTCCAAGTACCTACCCAGACGACAAGATGACCAGCAGAAGAGACTGGACCTGCCACTGTTTGCGCCTTTTATTTCTCCCATACGATAAACTTTGGGCACGGGGCAACAATCTGATTGGCTGATCAGTGAATGAACACAGGCACGTGACCTAGTTTTCTGATTAGGGCCTCGGGTCGGCAACAATGACACATAGATCTCCCCTCTAGACAATTTATCTACCCCCCCCCCCCCCCATCTTTCTCAGGTCACCCCTCTCGTGAGAAGCTTACACGACAACAGTGGCTGATGTGTTACAGGGTATGGCTGATGTAGGTCAATGGGTGACTATAAGTTCATGTGTCCAAGATTTAATCCACCCTCTGGCCATATTTCATGTGAGACGAGAATAGTGACCTACAAACTTTCCCGATCACACAACAAACGCCAACCTTTCTGCGCCCCTCACCACCATCCGCCCATATGGCGCTACTGAACACTGTCGAGCGGGGGGAAAGGTCACAGAAAAAAAAAAGTTTTTGCCTGGAAAAAGATTTTTTTTAAAGTTACAAAGAAATATTTTATCGGAAAAAAATTACAGAAATAAGTCACAAATGTGTATTAAGAGATATTTTAATTTACTAGTTGAGAATTGTAAATTTTTGTTTGTAAATATAAGTGTCTTTTTTGTACCATGTATAACCTGTAAAAAAATATTTTGTTTTCAATAAGAATAAGACTTTAATCTTCATCAGTAATTTACACAACAGCCTCAAATTTTGTTCCGTTTTTATTTGAATACCCGGCAGAGCGAGAAAGTTAGGCACACCATTATGTTTGTGTTTTTTTCCGACGGCCTTATTCGTCCATTCTGTGTATTGTTTACGTTTTGCGTCAATGATGGCCTTTGTACCGTGTCGGCCTTTTGTCTTGATCATTTATCATGTGCGCAGTAAAGGTGGTTGAACTATTGTTGCGATGAGTTGAGGACAGCATTTCATATTTACTAATAACTACGTCTTCTTCCAATTTCACGCTGATTCGAAGTAAGAAAGTAAAAAAAAAAAAAACACGATGAAAACTTAATTGTATTCTACAACGGAATTAAAACCCTACATAGTTTAGACTAACACACAAATACAACCTACGCATACATATACAATTTTTACATTACATTTAAATAATCATTTGCACTTTTTGGAATACACAATTGTGACTTTTTCTTGTCACCCCCCCCCCCCCCACTTTATATGCATCGCTTGCTTCATCTACTTCCACTAAGACCTGTTGTCTTTTATTCAAAGTCGTGACTTCCTGCTGCCGTCTACACATCCTCTATCTATCTATGCAGTGTTACTTTAGGGTTTTATTTTGACCCCCCCCCCCCCCCCCCCAGACCAAACCATCGTAGACTTCCCTTCACTACAAACCTAAACCTTGCACATGTTGCTAAACTAAAAAGCCAAACTACGTGCTCTGAACTAAAAAGCCAAACTACGTGCTCTGAACTAAAAAGCCAAACTACGTGCTCTGAACTAAAAAGCCAAACTACGTGCTCTGAACTAAAAAGCCAAACTACGTGCTCTGAACTAAAAAGCCAAACTACGTGCTCTGAACTAAAAAGCCAAACTACGTGCTCTGAACTAAAAAGCCAAACTACGTGCTCTGAACTAAAAAGCCAAACTACGTGCTCTGAACTAAAAAGCCAAACTACGTGCTCTGAACTAAAAAGCCAAACTACGTGCTCTGAACTAAAAAGCCAAACTACGTGCTCTGAACTAAAAAGCCAAACTACGTGCTCTGAACTAAAACCTCACAAGCTTGGGCTCAAGTTTTTAAAAAAATGGAACAATCAATATTGTTTCGTTTTTAATGGGCCTAATTAGATTCTACAAGAATGTAACCCTTGGTGAGAACATCTGATGATAAATATTGGTCATATCTTAGGCACGATCTGACGTCACAAAGATGGCGGACGTGTGACGTCATCGGGTGGACAGTGCGTGTTGTTGTTGACCGAGGTCCGTCATGTGATGTGAACTGTGTTAGTAGGTCAGGGCCGTGATAAAAGGGGAAACGGAGTAAAATAGAGTACACACAGATGGGGGGGGGGTAATATATACACTATATATATATATATATATATATTATGAGAGAGAGCCAGAGAGAGAGAGAGAAAGAGACTATAAATAGTTGCATGCCAAATTATAAAAGATCTCACGGTAAAACAGCTTAGAGGGAACATAGTATATGGCCAGTGGCGTAGCGAGGTGGGGTGTCTCCCGGTGCGGCACTTAATAGTGTCACCCTCCCAGAGGCGTAGCGATCCTTCCCGGCGCCCGGGGACAAACTTTCAATTTGGCGCGCTCTCTGGATCAACCTTTCAATTTGCACCCCCCCCCCTGTCGGGATTTGTCAAACTTGCTCTTAAAAGACTATTTAACACTCGAATTAATCAAATAATCACCCGGTGCGTTCCGCACCCCCCCCCCCCCCCCCTCGCTACGCTACTTTATATAGCCCACATTGACCACACACACCCTACATGTACCACACAACACCTATTGAATACTTGCAGTATAAAACAGATTTATTAAATAAAAATAAACATGGTTTACATGGAGCAGCACATACATCTTCCATTCAAGTTTTGTAAACATTTAAACAATAATATCAGATAGTCCATGTTTCATGTTTGTAAACGTTTGTCACATTGCTACATATTGTGTTACATTATTCCATACATTTTGACATTACATTGTAACATAAGCCATTTAGTTGTTGCCAGAATAGCTTGAGCTCGCTCAGCAACACAACCAGTTACAAAAAATTCACTTTCAAACATATATCCACACTGTCTAGAGACTAACATGTATCCACACTGCCATTCTAGAGACTTGAGTGACAAAAAATTGAGTAGAGCTACTTACAAGAACAAAACAAAGTCTTGAGATATTGGAGCATATTTACAGTGGGTTAAAAATTCATTGAGAAAATGACACAAATTTGTTTTTCACCTCAAATTCACGAATTGCCCTGAACTTGGGAGAGAAAGCTGCAGCTACATTTTATGGCTGGTTTATTTTTCTGGCTTTACATTTTAAATAACAGTGCGAAATAAACTTCAGATCCTCTTCAGTTGACTCGTATTTTCTTTTGGTCCAATTGTCTCCCCTCCCCTGCCCTGAGCTGAGTGTAGTGGTGCAGCATCAGGTTGATGAAGCCTGACACCAGGTAGTTGTTGTTGGCCGTCACAAACTGGACAAATCTCCTGTCTGAGGAAACAAGAAATGTCACAAACTGGACAAATCTCCTGTCTGAGGAAACAAGAAATGTCACAAACTGGACAAATCTCCTGTCTGAGGAAACAAGAAATGTCACAAACTGGACAAATCTCCTGTCTGAGGAAACAAGAAATGTCACAAACTGGACAAATCTCCTGTCTGAGGAAACAAGAAATGTCACAAACTGGACAAATCTCCTGTCTGAGGAAACAAGAAATGTCACAAACTGGACAAATCTCCTGTCTGAGGAAACAAGAAATGTCACAAACTGGACAAATCTCCTGTCTGAGGAAACAAGAAATGTCACAAACTGGACAAATCTCCTGTCTGAGGAAACAAGAAATGTCACAAACTGGACAAATCTCCTGTCTGAGGAAACAAGAAATGTCACAAACTGGACAAATCTCCTGTCTGAGGAAACAAGAAATGTCACAAACTGGACAAATCTCCTGTCTGAGGAAACAAGAAATGTCACAAACTGGACAAATCTCCTGTCTGAGGAAACAAGAAATGTCACAAACTGGACAAATCTCCTGTCTGAGGAAACAAGAAATGTCACAAACTGGACAAATCTCCTGTCTGAGGAAACAAGAAATGTCACAAACTGGACAAATCTCCTGTCTGAGGAAACAAGAAATGTCACAAACTGGACAAATCTCCTGTCTGAGGAAACAAGAAATGTCACAAACTGGACAAATCTTCTGTCTGAGGAAACAAGAAATGTCACAAACTGGACAAATCTCCTGTCTGAGGAAACAAGAAATGTCACAAACTGGACAAATCTCCTGTCTGAGGAAACAAGAAATGTCACAAACTGGACAAATCTCCTGTCTGAGGAAACAAGAAATGTCACAAACTGGACAAATCTTCTGTCTGAGGAAACAAGAAATGTCACAAACTGGACAAATCTTCTGTCTGAGGAAACAAGAAATGTCACAAACTGGACAAATCTTCTGTCTGAGGAAACAAGAAATGTCACAAACTGGACAAATCTTCTGTCTGAGGAAACAAGAAATGTCACAAACTGGACAAATCTTCTGTCTGAGGAAACAAGAAATGTCACAAACTGGACAAATCTCCTGTCTGAGGAAACAAGAAATGTCACAAACTGGACAAATCTTCTGTCTGAGGAAACAAGAAATGTCACAAACTGGACAAATCTCCTGTCTGAGGAAACAAGAAATGTCACAAACTGGACAAATCTCCTGTCTGAGGAAACAAGAAATGTCACAAACTGGACAAATCTCCTGTCTGAGGAAACAAGAAATGTCACAAACTAGACAAATCTCCTGTCTGAGGAAACAAGAAATGTCACAAACTGGACAAATCTCCTGTCTGAGGAAACAAGAAATGTCACAAACTGGACAAATCTTCTGTCTGAGGAAACAAGAAATGTCACAAACTGGACAAATCTCCTGTCTGAGGAAACAAGAAATGTCACAAACTGGACAAATCTCCTGTCTGAGGACTAAACTAAAGTTACCACCTACCATAACAAATGAAGTGAGACTATAGTCACCACCTACCATAACAAATGAAGTGAGACTAAACAAAAGTTACCACCTACCATAACAAATGAAGTGAGACTAAACAAAAGTTACCACCTACCATAACAAATGAAGTGAGACTAAAGTTACCACCTACCATTGACGAGGTAAGCAAAATTAACGACCTCCATCAGACAGCCTGTGGTGGCACCAAGTTCCGCCTCAGCGGCCAGGATTGTGTTGACCTCAGTCAGGTGCTTGACCAACTCTGGACACGCCCCAGCGAAGTTGTCCAGCAGGATCAGTTGCTGCAGCCACAGGTTGGGTTTACTGCGTACAGAGGTCTGTAGAGAGAAGGGACAGGTTGGGTTTACTGTGTACAGAGGTCTGTAGGGACAGGTTGGGTTTACTGTGTACAGAGGTCTGTAGAGAGAAGTGACAGGTTGGGTTTACTGTGTACAGAGGTCTGTAGAGAGAAGTGACAGGTTGGGTTTACTGTGTACAGAGGTCTGTAGGGACAGGTTGGGTTTACTGTGTACAGAGGTCTGTAGAGAGAAGTGACAGGTTGGGTTTACTGTGTACAGAGGTCTGTAGAGAGAAGTGACAGGTTGGGTTTACTGTGTACAGAGGTCTGTAGAGAGAAGTGACAGGTTGGGTTTACTGTGTACAGAGGTCTGTAGAGAGAAGGGGCAGGTTGGGTTTACTGTGTACAGAGGTCTGTAGAGAGAAGGGGCAGGTTGGGTTTACTGTGTACAGAGGTCTGTAGAGAGAAGTGACAGGTTGGGTTTACTGTGTACAGAGGTCTGTAGAGAGAAGGGGCAGGTTGGGTTTACTGTGTACAGAGGTCTGTAGAGACAGGTTGGGTTTACTGTGTACAGAGGTCTGTAGAGAGAAGTGACAGGTTGGGTTTACTGTGTACAGAGGTCTGTAGAGAGAAGGGGCAGGTTGGGTTTACTGTGTACAGAGGTCTTTAGGGACAGGTTGGGTTTACTGCGTACAGAGGTCTGTAGAGAGAAGGGGCAGGTTGGGTTTACTGTGTACAGAGGTCTGTAGGGACAGGTTGGGTTTACTGTGTACAGAGGTCTGTAGAGAGAAGTGACAGGTTGGGTTTACTGTGTACAGAGGTCTGTAGAGAGAAGTGACAGGTTGGGTTTACTGTGTACAGAGGTCTGTAGAGAGAAGTGACAGGTTGGGTTTACTGCGTACAGAGGTCTGTAGAGAGAAGTGACAGGTTGGGTTTACTGTGTACAGAGGTCTGTAGAGAGAAGTGACAGGTTGGGTTTACTGTGTACAGAGGTCTGTAGAGAGAAGTGACAGGTTGGGTTTACTGTGTACAGAGGTCTGTAGAGAGAAGTGACAGGTTGGGTTTACTGCGTACAGAGGTCTGTAGAGAGAAGTGACAGGTTGGGTTTACTGTGTACAGAGGTCTGTAGAGAGAAGTGACAGGTTGGGTTTACTGTGTACAGAGGTCTGTAGAGAGAAGTGACAGGTTGGGTTTACTGTGTACAGAGGTCTGTAGGGACAGGTTGGGTTTACTGTGTACAGAGGTCTGTAGAGAGAAGTGACAGGTTGGGTTTACTGTGTACAGAGGTCTGTAGAGAGAAGGGGCAGGTTGGGTTTACTGTGTACAGAGGTCTGTAGAGAGAAGGGGCAGGTTGGGTTTACTGTGTACAGAGGTCTGTAGGGACAGGTTGGGTTTACTGTGTACAGAGGCCTGTAGAGAGAAGTGACAGGTTGGGTTTACTGTGTACAGAGGTCTGTAGAGAGAAGGGACAGGTTGGGTTTACTGTGTACAGAGGTCTGTAGAGAGAAGTGACAGGTTGGGTTTACTGTGTACAGAGGTCTGTAGAGAGAAGGGACAGGTTGGGTTTACTGTGTACAGAGGTCTGTAGGGGCAGGTTGGGTTTACTGTGTACAGAGGCCTGTAGAGAGAAGGGACAGGTTGGGTTTACTGTGTACAGAGGTCTGTAGGGACAGGTTGGGTTTACTGTGTACAGAGGTCTGTAGAGAGAAGTGACAGGTTGGGTTTACTGTGTACAGAGGTCTGTAGAGAGAAGTGACAGGTTGGGTTTACTGTGTACAGAGGTCTGTAGAGAGAAGGGACAGGTTGGGTTTACTGTGTACAGAGGTCTGTAGAGAGAAGTGACAGGTTGGGTTTACTGTGTACAGAGGTCTGTAGGGACAGGTTGGGTTTACTGTGTACAGAGGTCTGTAGAGAGAAGTGACAGGTTGGGTTTACTGTGTACAGAGGTCTGTAGAGAGAAGGGGCAGGTTGGGTTTACTGTGTACAGAGGTCTGTAGAGAGAAGTGACAGGTTGGGTTTACTGTGTACAGAGGTCTGTAGAGAGAAGGGGCAGGTTGGGTTTACTGTGTACAGAGGTCTGTAGGGACAGGTTGGGTTTACTGTGTACAGAGGTCTGTAGAGAGAAGGGGCAGGTTGGGTTTACTGTGTACAGAGGTCTGTAGAGAGAAGTGACAGGTTGGGTTTACTGTGTACAGAGGTCTGTAGAGAGAAGTGACAGGTTGGGTTTACTGTGTACAGAGGTCTGTAGAGAGAAGTGACAGGTTGGGTTTACTGTGTACAGAGGTCTGTAGAGAGAAGGGACAGGTTGGGTTTACTGTGTACAGAGGTCTGTAGAGAGAAGTGACAGGTTGGGTTTACTGTGTACAGAGGTCTGTAGAGAGAAGGGTTAATGGTTCAAGCATGTGGGAGGGGGGTGAGTAGAACTTCCAGAAGAGAAAACTTACTGCACTGAATGACCTGGCCAGTATATACAAGAGGCCAGTGGTCAGCCTGGTTAGGGCAGCTGTGGTCAGAAGAATCAGGCGGCTGCCAGGGTTCAAATGCTGTGGAAGCAATAAACAACAGCTAGAAACATGGAAGCCATAAACAACAGCTAGAAACATGGAAGCAATAAACAACAGCTAGAAACATGGAAGCAATAAACAACAGCTAGAAACATGGAAGCCATAAACAACAGCTAGAAACATGGAAGCCATAAACAACAGCTAGAAACATGGAAGTAATAAACAACAGCTAGAAACATGTAAGCAATAAACAACAGCTAGAAACATGGAAGCCATAAACAACAGCTAGAAACATGGAAGCAATAAACAACAGCTAGAAACATGGAAGCAATAAACAACAGCTAGAAACATGGAAGCCATAAACAACAGCTAGAAACATGGAAGCAATAAACAACAGCTAGAAACATGGAAGTAATAAACAACAGCTAGAAACATGGAAGCCATAAACAACAGCTAGAAACATGGAAGCAATAAACAACAGCTAGAAACATGGAAGTAATAAACAACAGCTAGAAACATGGAAGCAATAAACAACAGCTAGAAACATGGAAGCCATAAACAACAGCTAGAAACATGGAAGCAATAAACAACAGCTAGAAACATGGAAGCCATAAACAACAGCTAGAAACATGGAAGCAATAAACAACAGCTAGAAACATGGAAGTAATAAACAACAGCTAGAAACATGGAAGCCATAAACAACAGCTAGAAACATGGAAGTAATAAACAACAGCTAGAAACATGGAAGTAATAAACAACAGCTAGAAACATGGAAGTAATAAACAACAGCTAGAAACATGGAAGCAATGGTTAGATTTTCATTTTACAATTAGCTTAAAGAAAAGAAGGGGAGGAAAGAATGTAAGAAAAATATGTGAGAATGTGTCCTTGTTTTTTTTCTAAAAATAGTTGTACATTCGTTTACAGAAACCAAAAACTGAGAAAAACTTTACCCTTAAAATAGTCAGCACCCTCTGTGTAAGTTTTCTCCTGAGCTGCAGCTCTTCAAGTGGGGAGGGGGAGAAGGTAGAGGAGGGGCCTGCAGGGCTGAACCAAGTGGCGCCACAAAACACCTGCAGCCTGCAGTCAGAGCTGGTGACCACGGAGACAAACTCCGGTACGCTGGTGACTCTCCGCACGCTGACGCTGCTGGTGACATGACGCATGAAGGACTCGTACACCAGCGAGGGGGCGCCACCCTCGTCTACATCATCCCAGAACACAAACTGGTTGCTTCCCCTGGAGGGGTGGCTGCCTGCGGGCTGGGGGGTGTCAGACAGGACAGCCTCCCACACCACCCCCGCCAACATCTTGCCTGTGCCACTACAGTGCTGCTTGTAGCTCGTCTCACGACACTTTTTATACTGAAAGTTGGAACAATTCAAAGATGGGTACATTAACAACATGACCAGTCTCTCTACACTTTTTATACTGAAAGTTGGAACAATTCAAAGATGAGTACACTTTTTATACTGAAAGTTGGAACAATTCAAAGATGAGTACACTTTTTATACTGAAAGTTGGAACAATTCAAAGATGAGTACACTTTTTATACTGAAAGTTGGAACAATTCAAAGATGAGTACACTTTTTATACTGAAAGTTGGAACAATTCAAAGATGAGTACACTTTTTATACTGAAAGTTGGAACAATTCAAAGATGAGTACACTTTTTATACTGAAAGTTGGAACAATTCAAAGATGGGTACACTTTTTATACTGAAAGTTGGAACAATTCAAAGATGGGTACACTTTTTATACTGAAAGTTGGAACAATTTGAAGATCAGTACACTTTTTATACTGAAAGTTGGAACAATTCAAAGATCAGTACACTTTTTATACTGAAAGTTGGAACAATTCAAAGATGAGTACACTTTTTATACTGAAAGTTGGAACAATTCAAAGATGAGTACACTTTTTATACTGAAAGTTGGAACAATTCAAAGATGGGTACACTTTTTATACTGAAAGTTGGAACAATTCAAAGATGGGTGCACTTTTTATACTGAAAGTTGGAACAATTCAAAGATGAGTACACTTTTTATACTGAAAGTTGGAACAATTCAAAGATGAGTACACTTTTTATACTGAAAGTTGGAACAATTCAAAGATGAGTACACTTTTTATACTGAAAGTTGGAACAATTCAAAGATGAGTACACTTTTTATACTGAAAGTTGGAACAATTCAAAGATGAGTACACTTTTTATACTGAAAGTTGGAACAATTCAAAGATGGGTGCACTTTTTATACTGAAAGTTGGAACAATTCAAAGATGGGTGCACTTTTTATACTGAAAGTTGGAACAATTCAAAGATGAGTACACTTTTTATACTGAAAGTTGGAACAATTCAAAGATGAGTACACTTTTTATACTGAAAGTTGGAACAATTCAAAGATGAGTACACTTTTTATACTGAAAGTTGGAACAATTCAAAGGAGTACACTTTTTATACTGAAAGTTGGAACAATTCAATGATCAGTCCCACCCAGCTGTACACAATTTACTGACTTAACTAATCTATTTTTAGCTACACCAATGAAGTAGAGAGAACTGAATAACTTAGAGTGACTGCAGCAGAAAACGTCTAGTGACCTACCAGATGACTGTGACTTACATCAGAGTGACTTAACAGGATGTTGAGATCAGTCATGAGGGTGACATCACACACTTGAGAGTTGGTGATGACAGAGAAGGCGTCACCTTTCTCCACATCATTCCACTCCACCACCTCTGTGTCTTCTAGCTGGTTACTGCACTGGGGAGGAGAATACAGGTGTTACCTAAGTCATTTACCTGTCATTTTAAAATACAGGTGTTACCTAGTCATTTACCTGTCATTTTAAATTTTAAAATACAAGTGTTACCTAAGTCATTTACCTGTAATTTTAAACAGACTGACCTACTGATTTACCTGTAATTTTAAACAGACTGACCTACTGATTTACCTGTAATTTTAATCAGGACTGACCTACTCATTTACCTGTCATTTTAAAATACAGGTGTTACCTAGTCATTTACCTGTCATTTTAAATTTTAAAATACAAGTGTTACCTAAGTCATTTACCTGTCATTTTAAACAGACTGACCTACTGATTTACCTGTAATTTTAAACAGACTGACCAACTGATTTACCTGTAATTTTAAACAGACTGACCTACTGACTTACCTGTAATTTTAAACAGACTGACCTACTGATTTACCTGTAATTTTAAACAGACTGACCTACTGATTCACCTGTAATTTTAATCAGATTGACCTACTGATTTACCTGTAATTTTAATCCCGGGTGAACAATGTCCCTTATCTCCATGAGCTCAACGCGCTCTGCCCAGGGCATGGAGTTGAGGTTCTGGCGCAGATGAAAGGTGCCCTTTAAGTTTTTATGGCGCCAGATTGGCTGAAAAGCTTTGTGTTGCCCAGAAAATTTGGCAAAGTAAAAGGAGGACATCTGAGGAGAGAACAATTGTGTACACGTCTCATCATGGATCTACATGTCATGTACATCACTGACCAATGACATCAAATGTCATTAGAATGTCCCCAACTACTCACATCTCTCTGGATGACATCAAATGTCATTAGAATGTCCCCAACTACACACATCTCTCTGGATGACATCAAATGTCATTAGAATGTCCCCAACTACACACATCTCTCTGGATGACATCAAATGTCATTAGAATGTCCCCAACTACTCACATCTCTCTGGATGACATCAAATGTCATTAGAATGTCCCCAACTACACACATCTCTCTGGATGACATCAAATGTCATTAGAATGTCCCCAACTACTCACATCTCTCTGGATGACATCAAATGTCATTAGAATGTCCCCAACTACACACATCTCTCTGGATGACATCAAATGTCATCAGAATGTCCCCAACTACTCACATCTCTCTGGATGACATCAAATGTCACTAGAATGTCCCCAACTACTCACATCTCTCTGGATGACATCAAATGTCATTAGAATGTCCCCAACTACACACATCTCTCTGGATGACATCAAATGTCACTAGAATGTCCCCAACTACTCACATCTCTCTGGATGACAGCCACCCTCTTGATGCTGCGCCTGTGCCCAACCTGCACCTTCTCCTGGAAGAGCTTTAGGGCCAGCTCCTGTTTCCTGGCCAGCTGCGTCAGGCCCTGGGGGCGCTCAAACAGCTGGACGTTGGTCTCAATGGTCTGCATCTGCCAGTGGGAGAACTGCATGCAGCAGTGCCTGTGCTCCTGCAGGAACAGGGCAGGGATCTCTTCAATCAAGCGTAATGTGCCAGGTACATCCCTGTCTTGTTAGAGAACATTTTTTTTTTACTACTGTCACTTACACTCTACTACACAAAGTAAGTACTTAGATCTTTCAATGGATCCTATATGTTAGATCCCCAATATGTTAGAGTGTGTGTTTGCATGTGTATGCATGAGTCTATGTGTATGAGTGAGTATGTATGTATATGTGAGAGTGCATTGGTGTGCATGGAGAATGCTAGATGACATCACACTCTTCAAACTGAAAGCGTTTCGCCACCTATCCGATAATTTCAGGACTTGACAAGAGGCACTCACAAACTAAAAGGTCAAGCAGTTTCCATCACTCACAAACTAAAAGGTCAAGCAGTTTCCATCACTCACAAACTAAAAGGTCAAGCAGTTTCCATCACTCACAAACTAAAAGGTCAAGCAGTTTCCATCACTCACAAACTAAAAGGTCAAGCAGTTTCCATAATGTGCTGTCCTTGACTTTCTTCCTGTAGTCCAGACAGACCAGATAGATCTCTGAGTTCCCACTTTTACTGGTGGCTGGCTTGATGGCATGGACCTGGCATGGACAAACTAGGTCAGTGGATTGATGGCATGGACAAAACTAGGTCAGTGGATTGATGGCATGAGCAAAACTAGGTCAGTGGCTTGATGGCATGGACAAAACTAGGTCAGTGGATTGATGGCATGAGCAAAACTAGGTCAGTGGCTTGATGGCATGGGCAAAACTAGGTCAGTGGATTGATGGCATGGGCAAAACTAGGTCAGTGGATTGATAACATGGGAAAAACTAGGTCAGTGGATTGATGGCATGGACAAAACTAGGTCAGTGGATTGATGGTGTGGACAAAACTAGGTCAGTGTATTGATGGTGTGGACAAAACTAGGTCAGTGGATTGATGGCATGGACAAAACTAGGTCAGTGGCTTGATGGCATGGGCAAAACTAGGTCAGTGGATTGATGGCATGGGCAAAACTAGGTCAGTGGATTGATAACATGGGCAAAACTAGGTCAGTGGATTGATGGCATGGACAAAACTAGGTCAGTGGATTGATGGTGTGGACAAAACTAGGTCAGTGTATTGATGGTGTGGACAAAACTAGGTCAGTGGATTGATGGCATGTGCAAAATAGGTCAGTGGATTGATGGCATGGACAAACTAGGTCAGTGGATTGATGGCATGGACAAAACTAGTCAAATTTAAAACCTGACTGTAACAGGTACAGCAGGATGCAACAGTCTCACCTCAGTGAACAAGACATTGAGCAGGAAGAGCATCACCACTGAGGACGGCTCAAACAACGTGAAGACTTTCAGGACAAAGTTCCCGTGCTGGGAGAGGAAGAGGCAGGCTGTCAACAATTCACAGTAGTGTAGCCGCGACACCAAAACTTCCTGCTCCGCTGGGTTGGTCTGGCAGTCTCTACTACCATCTGCTGTCACCTGCAGCAACAACATCTTTCAACACTGAGACAACATCTTTCAACACTGAGACAACAACATCTTTCAACAGTGTGACAACATCTTTCAACAGGGTGACAACAACATCTTTCAACAGTGTGACAACATCTTTCAACAGGGTGACAACAACATCTTTCAACACTGAGACAACAACATCTTTCAACAGTGTGACAACATCTTTCAACAGTGTGACAACATCTTTCAACAGTGTGACAACAACATCTTTCAACAGTGTGACAACAACATCTTTCAACAGTGTGACAACATCTTTCAACGGTGTGACAACAACATCTTTCAACAGTGTGACAACAACATCTTTCAACAGTGTGACAACATCTTTCAACAGTGTGACAACAACATCTTTCAACAGTGTGACAACAACATCTTTCAACGGTGTGACAACAACATCTTTCAACAGTGTGACAACAACATCTTTCAACAGTGTGACAACATCTTTCAACAGTGTGACAGCATCTTTCAACACTGAGACAACAACATCTTTCAACAGTGTGACAACATCTTTCAACAGTGTGACAACATCTTTCAACAGTGTGACAACAACATCTTTCAACAGTTGAACTTCTACATCTTGATGTAAGCAGCCAAAAGCCTTACCAGTAATAGTTTTAAGTCCTCATCTTCCATCACCCCTTGCATGTATGTGTACAAATCTTTGACGTAGCCCTGTGCTGTAATGTCCCCCCTACCACTGCTACCAAAATACCACTGAGTGTATGTGTGCCTGATCAAACGATCATCCGCCACCATTTCCTCGTTAGAGTTGGCCTCGTAGTATGGGTGAAGTGTGGTGGCACGCCAGTCCCAGATGTGATTGAAGGCTTGGGAAAATAATAGTGTCTGGTTAGGGTGTACCAAAATGTGGAGAAATTTGATACACGTAAGTGTCTGGTTAGGGTGTACCAAAATGTGGAGAAATTTGATACACGTAAATGGTTGGGATAAACAAACACAAACCCACAGTTAATTAGGCTGCTTTAATGAGACATTAAATGAGGCTGCTTTAATGAGACATGAGTGTGATAGTGGTACAATAAATTCAACATCAGATGCAGTTTGTCCGAAGTCAAAAATCATTTAGGTTATTTAGGTAAGCTGTAGGAAGTGATTTGAAGGTCAACATAATCAAGGTCAACCTACCTGTAAGTTCAGGAAGTGATTTGAAGGTCAACATAATCAAGGTCAACCTACCTGTAAGCTGTAGGAAGTGATTTGAAGGTCAACATAATCAAGGTCAACCTACCTGAAAGCTGTAGGAAATGATTTAAAGCCGTAACAAAAGCCCCGGGAGCTTCACACAGGTGAAGTGACAAAAAACTTTCCTGTGGGCAGACGGGGAAGTTGCTGAGGATTTCATAGAACTTGACCCAGGCTTGTGTACACAGCTCCACCCCCAGCTCCCTGGGGACAGACAGCAAATATATAGGAATCACACAGTATCAGGACAGACCAAATATATAGGAATCAACAGCTACCCAGTATCAGGACAGACCAAATATATAGGAGTCACACAGTATCAGGACAGACCAAATATATAGGAGTCACACAGTATCAGGACAGACCAAATATATAGGAATCACACAGTATCAGGACAGACCAAATATATAGGAATCACACAGTATCAGGACAGACCAAATATATAGGAATCACACAGTATCAGGACAGACCAAATATATAGGAATCACACAGTATCAGGACAGACCAAATATATAGGAATCACACAGTATCAGGACAGACCAAATATATAGGAGTCACACAGTATCAGGACAGACCAAATATATAGTAATCACACAGTATCAGGACAGACCAAATATATAGGAATCACACAGTATCATGACAGACAAAATATATAGGAATCACACAGTATCAGGACAGACCAAATATATAGGAATCAACAGCTACCCAGTATCAGGACAGACCAAATATATAGGAGTCACACAGTATCAGGACAGACCAAATATATAGGAGTCACACAGTATCAGGACAGACCAAATATATAGGAGTCACACAGTATCAGGACAGACCAAATATATAGGAGTCACACAGTATCAGGACAGACCAAATATATAGGAATCACACAGTATCAGGACAGACAACAAATATAGGAATCAACAGCTACCCAGTATCAGGACAGACAAAATATATAGGAATCACACAGTATCATGACAGACAAAATATATAGGAATCAACAGCTACCTACCTACTGACATTTATAAATACATGAATCTAGTTAGCATAAATGACTGGAGTTTCACAGGTTGATAATCTATAGCGGCACCTAAAGTAATCAAGTGTGTTGAAAGCACCTCAAGTAATTCTATGTGTGTTGAAAGCACCTCAGTGTCATATACTCACATACAGGGTTGACACAAATGACCACAAGCATGACCTACTTGACAAAGGGGATGACCAGGGCTGCCAGATTGCACTTGGTTGTGTGACTGTGCCAGGTTTCTATGTCTTGAGAGCTAAGCCTGTCTTTTGTTGTGTTCAATTCTTTCTTCAACGCTGACAGTTCGAAATCTTCAGGCAGGTTTTCTGTCAAGCTTGGTTCATCTAAAATAATATATGGAAGCAAACATCAAGTTGTGCCACTAGCACACACACACACACACCAGCTGCTAGCAAATACACACACCAAGAAACTTGCGCAACTAAAGGGAGTAAACTAAACTAAACTTATTGGCATGTAAATATGACCATCCTGATAAAGACTAAAGCTTATTTTCTACTAATAGGCTGCATGTTGGTCAGTCTTAAAGATACGTATACATTCAATCTGCATAAATTATGCATTATTTATATATTCAATCTGCGTAAATTATACATAATTTATACATTCAATCTGTATAAATTATGCATAATTTACACAGAGAGGGCAGTGCATGGGCACACAGAGAGGGCAGTGCTTGGTCACACAGAGAGGGCAGTGCTTGGTCACACAGAGAGGGCAGTGCTTGGTCACACAGAGGGCAGTGCATGGGCACACAGAGGGCAGTGCTTGGTCACACAGAGAGGGCAGTGCATGGTCACACACAGAGGGCACACAGAGAGGGCAGTGCATGGGCACACAGAGAGGGCAGTGCATGGTCACACACAGAGGGCACACAGAGAGGGCAGTGCATGGTCACACAGAGAGGGCAGTGAATGGGCACACAGAGAGGGCAGTGCATGGTCACACAGAGAGGGCAGTGCATGGGCACACAGAGAGGGCAGTGCATGGTCACACACAGAGGGCACACAGAGAGGGCAGTGCACTGTCACACAGAGAGGGCAGTGCTTGGTCACACAGAGAGGGCAGTGCATGGTCACACAGAGAGGGCAGTGCATGGTCACACACAGAGGGCACACAGAGAGGGCAGTGCTTGGTCACACAGAGAGGGCAGTGCATGGGCACACACAGAGGGCAGTGCATGGGCACACAGAGAGGGCACACAGAGAGGGCAGTGCATGGTCACATAGAGGGCAGTGCATGGGCACACAGAGAGGGCACACAGAGAGGGCAGTGCATGGTCACACAGAGGGCAGTGCATGGGCACACAGAGAGGGCACACAGAGAGGGCAGTGCATGGTCACACACAGAGGGCAGTGCTTGGTCACACAGAGAGGGCAGTGCATGGTTACACAGAGGGCAGTGCTTGGTCACACACAGAGGGCAGTGCTTGGTCACACAGAGAGGGCAGTGCATGGTTACACAGAGGGCAGTGCTTGGTCACACACAGAGGGCAGTGCATGGTCACACACAGAGGGCAGTGCATGGTCACACACAGAGGGCAGTGCATGGTCACACACAGAGGGCAGTGCATGGTCACACACAGAGGGCAGTGCTTGGTCACACAGAGAGGGCAGTGCATGGTTACACAGAGGGCAGTGCTTGGTCACACACAGAGGGCAGTGCTTGGTCACACAGAGAGGGCAGTGCATGGTTACACAGAGGGCAGTGCTTGGTCACACACAGAGGGCAGTGCATGGTCACACACAGAGGGCAGTGCATGGTCACACACAGAGGGCAGTGCATGGTCACACACAGAGGGCAGTGCATGGTCACACAGAGAGGGCAGTGCATGGTCACACAGAGAGGGCAGTGCATGGTCACACAGAGAGGGCACACAGAGAGGGCACACAGAGAGGGCAGTGCATGGTCACACAGAGAGGGCACACAGAGAGGGCAGTGCTTGGTCACACAGAGAGGGCAGTGCATGGTCACACAGAGAGGGCAGTGCATGGTCACACAGAGGGGGCACACAGAGAGGGCAGTGCATGGGCACACAGAGAGGGCAGTGCTTGGTCACACACACAGAGGGCAGTGCATGGTCACACAGAGAGGGCAGTGCATGGTCACACACAGAGGGCACACACAGAGGGCAGTGCTTGGTCACACAGAGAGGGCACACAGAGAGGGCACACAGAGAGGGCAGTGCTTGGTCACACAGAGAGGGCAGTGCATGGTCACACAGAGAGGGCAGTGCATGGTCACACAGAGGGGGCACACAGAGAGGGCAGTGCATGGGCACACAGAGAGGGCAGTGCTTGGTCACACACACAGAGGGCAGTGCATGGTCACACAGAGAGGGCAGTGCATGGTCACACACAGAGGGCACACACAGAGGGCACACAGAGAGGGCAGTGCATGGTCACACAGAGAGGGCACACAGAGAGGGCAGTGCTTGGTCACACAGAGAGGGCAGTGCATGGTCACACAGAGGGGGCACACAGAGAGGGCAGTGCATGGGCACACAGAGAGGGCAGTGCTTGGTCACACACACAGAGGGCAGTGCATGGGCACACAGAGAGGGCAGTGCTTGGTCACACACACAGAGGGCAGTGCATGGTCACACACAGAGGGCAGTGCTTGGTCACACAGAGAGGGCACACAGAGAGGGCAGTGCATGGGCACACAGAGAGGGCAGTGCTTGGTCACACACACAGAGGGCAGTGCATGGTCACACAGAGAGGGCAGTGCATGGTCACACACAGAGGGCACACACAGAGGGCAGTGCTTGGTCACACAGAGAGGGCAGTGCATGAGCACACAGAGAGGGCAGTGCATGGTCACACACACAGAGGGCAGTGCATGGTCACACAGAGAGGGCAGTGCATGGTCACACAGAGAGGGCAGTGCATGGGCACACAGAGAGGGCAGTGCATGGTCACACAGAGAGGGCAGTGCATGAGCACACAGAGAGGGCAGTGCATGGTCACACACAGAGAGGGCAGTGCATGGGCAATAAACGGCTACACTAAATAAAAAAAAGAACCAACCTCCAATCCATGCTTCCAGCCAAGTGCTGCCATCTTGCAGACAAGGAAGCTGAGAGAAAGAAAACTTTTTCTTGAAGAGGGACTGGACCTCATCGACTTCCTCCTTGGTGAGCTCAGGTGAGGCACTGTGCTGCATGTTACCTGCTTACGTCTGTTCTCTCTAGGCTTGTTTTCATACTGGCCCTACTTTTCTCAAATACATTCTTGCAGTTCTAATGAAAACAAAACTTCTGTTACATCACAAAACTCTTAGTAAGTGTTAGGCGTATCGAACAAATTCAGTATATGATCATGGCCAAACACTGCAGTGAAACAGATGCCTTTTTTATTTTATGCTTTTTTATGCTTTTCTGAATTCATGCGTTAAATAATTACTACTAATTACTCTAATCTAGTTTATTTTGGTTAAGGCACGACACACAACACTGTGCGTGCCTGGTGTGTGGCCTGACCGAACTGATCGAGATTGTTTATATTATTGTTTTGAGTTTATATGTAACTCAATGCAACAAGCCCGCCGGTTGGTTGAGGCCACGACGGGGGGACGTTCTGACCGGGATTCAAAGGGTCGACTCAAAATATCATCCCTTTTACTTTATTAAGATAACAGAGAGATCTAGATTCTAGCAGCAGTAGGAATAGGATCTAGATCTAGATCTAGTCCTAGAATCTATAGTAGATTCTAGAATCTAGATCTAGATCTTCAGTGAGTAGATCTAGATTCTAGATCTAGTGAGTTTTCAGTGTCTACTTTTTAGTCTTTTAGTTTAGTACTTTAGACTTTACTTTAGTAAACTTTAGTTAGTCTGCTAAACTCAAACTGGTTAACTAATAAACTATAATAACTAACAAATTGAAATTAGTAAATACTAGATCATCTAGATCTAGATTCTAAAAAAGTCTAGATCTAGTCACTAGTCTGTCTAGATTTTCTAGTTCTAGATACATAGTCTATGAGTTAGGTTAGTCCTAAGTTCCTAGCTAGCTACTATAGATCTAGATCTAGATTCACTAGATCTAATTAAATCTAATAAAAGTGTTAAGTACTGTAAAGTGTAAGATCAAGCTTTCAGCATTTTTCACCTTTTCTAAAAATGTAAACACTTCCTGTTTTTTAAAAACCCGGTAGGTCCTAGGACTTGGCTAGGCCTAGACCTCGAGAAATCTGTAGGCTAGGTTTTATTTTAAAAGCCTAGATCTACTCCAAATCAAGAGGTTAAAATCATCTTCTTAATAGATAAACTGTTGGTTTAGCTCAAATATTGTTAATTTATTTTAAATCAGTCATAGATCTAGATTTATACACTATAAAATATTTTTAACAGATGGTCGTTATTAGTTCTTTTTAAGCCTCATCTATTAATCCCAGTAAAGTAACGTAACTCTAGATTCTAGTTCTAGGTCTATCTATGCCTACTCTTGTTTTGAATCATTTTTTTCCCATCACAGCTTTTAAAAAATCCTGGTTCCCGCTGTATAAATATCTAGATCTAGTCTACGCAGATTCAACCAATGCCGTTAGCCTACTCACCAGAAGCGAACCGTTTAAGTTAAGAGTAGGCCTTATATAATAATATTAATAGTAGATCTAGAGATTCTAAATAGGTTTCTAGATTGTTTTTCCAGATTTCTCTTGACTCTAATCTAAGATATAGATCTAGTCTAGATCTAGAATCTATAGCTAGATTCTACTAGCTAGTTAGATCAGTAGATCTAGACTAGATTTAGATACTCGAGTAAATTTTTAGGCCTTAGGGCTTAGCCTAGGGGTAAAGCAGGGCACTTCACTAAGACGTGACTAAGTAAGAGATGGTGGTACTGGTATTAGCAGTATTAGATCTAGATTCTATGACCTTATCATTAATTATTAATCCCACTGCTCTTTCCCTAAAATTTCTCATCTCCATAAAATATAAAACCATCATTTTGTGAACTTTTTTCCAGGGTTCTAGAATCTAGATCTAGATCTAGATTCTAGATCTACACTTATAGATCTAGAATCTACATAGAATCTAGATCTAAATCTAGCTTAGGAAACTTCCTTTTGTAAATAACCAAATGAGTTTTTCAAGACCATTTTTTGTTCCTGTATTAAAGTTTTTTAAAGCATTGGTTGCTGTACAACTGTTCACTTTAACACCGTTTTTAGAATCTATAACTATGGCTTGAATAGTTTTATTTTGGTGAATTTTTTTTTCTACATTGATTTTAGTTGATGCCAAAACAAAATGGCAGATATTTGTCTGATTTTACCATCATGCTATAAAATTTTTATCATTATCATAGAAAAACTTGACTGATCAATATCAGAATGGTTTTATTTGTTAGATAATAACTAAATCTAGATCTACATGAATACATTTTATTTTCCCTTATCAGCCTTATGTGAGTTAAGTACTCTCCAGAACTGGGTGGACTCATGGATGTTCTAGTTCTGCTGTGTTGAACTGGAGACTTGTGTTAGCAGTCTAGCTCTACCACTAGGCCACATTGCCTCACACTTTCCTTGTAAGCTGACTTGTGTATTTTGTATATCTCCAGATCTCATAACCTGTGTTTTGGCGTGTCTACAATCTGCTGTATATTAATGCTCTAGTCTGCAATGTAACACGTGCATTACAGTACATCATGTCTGAACTAGCTAAAAAGAAAGAAGATGCTAAGAAAGAAATTAGGTCCTTACTTTTGTCTGCACCATTGGGGCTGACTATACAAGAATTAAGGAAAGATTACCTTGAATATATTGGCCGAAGACTTCCAAGTAGAGAGTTGGGATATAGCAATGATGATGAGTTTTTGGCTGAACTCACCGATGTTGTTGAGGTAAGACTTGTGTACAAGTTTTACAAGGGTTTGTATGCAGTCTGGAAATTTGGGATAATCTAGTTAATTTGAAGAAGTGTGTAATTCAGTCTTTAAAATGTCTAGAAAATTCCTTCTAGTTAAATTTAGTTAAAGGCTGGGTTAAAAAATGGAAAAAGTTTGTAATACAAAATAATTTAAACATGTCATGTAAAAGTTAGATGTTACTGATGTAATGTAAATGATTTTGAGATTATAGATGTCATGAAAAAAATGTAGATAGATGTCATTGTAAAAGATTTAGATGTTGTAAATGCCATGTAAAAGATTTAGATGTTGTAGATGCCATGTAAAAGATTTAGATGTTGTAAATGCCATGTAAAAGATTTAGATGTTGTAGATGCCATGTAAAAGATTTAGATGTTGTAGATGCCATGTAAATGTAAAAGATTTAGATGTTGTAGATGCCATGTAAAAGATTTAGATGTTGTAAATGCCATGTAAAAGATTTAGTTGTTGTAAATGCCATGTAAACATTTAGTTCTGTTGTTTCAGGTGTCATGGAAAGGCAATACTATGGTGCTTACTGCTGTGTCTAATGCAGCCACTGAACACATCCACAGGCTAGTGGCCAACCAGAGGATAGATCCAAGGAAAAAGAGAAACCAAAAGAAGTCTTTTTCTTTCCTGGCCCCCTATGGCAATAGATATCCTGAGAGAGGACCTCCAGCTTACAATGGCTATGTCAGTAACTGGAGGAACACAACACCGCCCAGGTTCAGAGCACAGGCCAAGCACAGGACAGTACCTTGTGTGCCTGCACCAGTACAGAAACAAATCAAAGAACTTCTGAAGAACCACCCCGAGGGCTTGCCCTTTACACACTTCACTACAATATTTCGCTGTCGTTTTGGTGTGCAGCTTGATTCCTTCAGCATGGGATTTAACAGTGACCAGGAGATGCTGAGCAGTCTAAGTGATATTCTGGTGCTGAAAGAGTTTGGGGACCACAGGAGGAATGAGTGCGAGGTGAGAGTTGTGTCTGTGGAGGCTGCCAGGGCCATGACGAGCCAGCCACATGAGAGGAAATATCCCCAGTCTGCCACTTACAATGGGCCTGTCCAGAACAACAGAGATCACACTGGTAAGTTTGCCAATCTTACTCGATGCTTCAACTAAAAGTTGGCACTTCATCCATTTATTCATAATATGAAATTTAAAGTGTCTGAACAGATTTTGGCTGCCATTTTCTTACAAAGTTTAATAGACACCAATGAGAATAGTGTCGAAAATGTCATAAGTCCCATTAAATATTTAAAAAATCATGTGCAATGTTATCAAGACCAGCATTTTTTTAGCATTTTTTGTAACTGAACAAAAAAAAAAGAACCTAAAACAAATTTTCATTTTGTCACTGAAAACATACATAAACATGGCATAACAAGGCCTTGTGTAATTTTTAAATAAAAGTTTGTATCTGCAAAGTAAACTGTAAACATATCATATTCAGTATTGTATAAATAAAATGTTTTATTTAACTTCAATTTAAGGATTGGGTGGTTGTGTGTCTAGATTTAATTGTGAATGAAGCAGTTAATGACTTTTGAAAAAAGTATACTCAGCTTTCATTTTCAGAAACAAAAATTAAAACTATTTTTGAGTTTAATTAAAAACTATTTTTTTGTGTCTCCATTCCCTCTTCCTCGCACTCCCTACATCTCTCTCTTCCACTCCCCTCCTAACGGTGAACGGAAAAAAAGTCACAGGAAAAAAAACAGAAAAAAGTCAGTTTTTGCTAGGAAAAAAAAGTCATAGAAAAAAAAGTCACAAAGAAAATTTTTTTTCAGATATAAAGTCACAGAAAAAAAAATCAAGTTTTAATAAAAATTTTGATTTTAGTTGTTGAGAATTGTAAAATGTTGGGAGTTTATTGATGTGGGTTGTTTTTTTGTAGCATATTTATAAACGATAAAAGCATTACGGTTGATAACACTTATAATAAGTAAATATACTGTAACCTAATTTACACAGCAACTTCAACTTTTGTAATGAATTTAGTTAAATATGCTCTAGAAATGTTAATTATAAACGAAATTTAGGCACATTGTGTTTTGCATGTTGTTTTCTCAGTTGGCCTTGCCCATCCTCCATATTGTGTGTTGTTGACATTTTGTGTCAATGACAGCCTTTGTACAGTGTCGGCTTTCTGTTTTGATCCTATGCATTATGTAATGAGCGTGGTAAATATGAGCAGTACAGGTGGTTGACCTATTGCTGCAATGAGTTGAGAGCAGCAAGTCACATTAACTACGTCTTTATGCTATTTCGTGCTAATTCAAAGTTAGTATTGAACAAACACTATGAATAAAGAGAAGGTTGTAATATTTTTATTCAATTCTATTCAACATTATGTGTATTAAGGAATTAAAATGTAAATACTTCACACTAAATATTTATGTATGTTATAAATATCACTATACGCATACAACCTACGCACATTTCATTATAATTAATTAATCTAAGTTAATTCGCACAATCTGAATATTTAATACATAAAAGTATTAAAAAATTCCATGCAAATATATATTTGTGACTTTCCTGTGACTTTTTTTCTGTTTTTTTCCTGTGACTTTTTCCTACATATCTCCCAACAACCCCCTCCCCACAGTCTAGAACACTTAAGCTCTACCTGGCCAGGACTAGTCTATCCAAGCACCAAGATTGAGGTCATGTTGGCTATATTTAGTGCACAGATTGGCCTCCCCTAGGTGGTTTATTGTTTTCTTTGTCACAACACACATAATTTTTGCCTCCTGATCCCATTTAACCTCTGACCTATATAATGAATGCAATACGTGTTGATAAATGTATGGGCTTAGTGCCAGCTGTATAACTTGTTGATATTAAAGTAAGTAGTTCAGTGAATTAGTCAGTAGTTGAGATGTCAATACACTGAAATCTTTTGTCTACAAGTCTTTTTGTATGTTCAAACTATTTTTGTTTGTTCCTGTTGAACTTACCATCACACCATTCTCTAGACATGATGCTGTCTTTGTTATCATCACACCATTCTCTAGACATGATGCTGCCTTTGTTACCATCACACCATTCTCTAGACATGATGCTGCCTTTATCACACCATTCTCTAGACATGATGCTGCCTTTGTTACCATCACACCATTCTCTAGACATGATGCTGCCTTTGTTATCATCACACCATTCTCTAGACATGATGCTGCCGTTGTTACCATCACACCATTCTCTAGACATGATGCTGCCTTTGTTATCATCACACCATTCTCTAGACATGATGCTGCCTTTGTTATCATCACACCATTCTCTAGACATGATGCTGCCTTTGTTATCATCACACCATTCTCTAGACATGATGCTGCCTTTATCACACCATTCTCTAGACATGATGCTGCCTTTGTTATCATCACACCATTCTCTAGACATGATGCTGCCTTTATCACACCATTCTCTAGACATGATGCTGCCTTTGTTACCATCACACCATTCTCTAGACATGATGCTGCCTTTATCACACCATTCTCTAGACATGATGCTGCCTTTATCACACCATTCTCTAGACATGATGCTGCCTTTATCACACCATTCTCTAGACATGATGCTGCCTTTATCACACCATTCTCTAGACATGATGCTGTCTTTCTTCAAACCCTGGTCTAAACATGTCTAACTCAAACTTTTGTTGAAACTTTCTGCATCAGCTCTATGTTGGTTCACCAACTAGGATTTATGCGTTTTGATTGGTCTTCTTTTTTCAGGACAGATACGAGAGAGTGTTGTCAAGTCTCAAAGCCCAGACTTTGGGCAGAAAAAAGAGAACACCACCAAACCTGTAATCTCAGACCTAGGGCAGAAGAGGGAGGGCATAACCAAACCTGTAATCTCAGACCTAGGGCAGAAGAGGGAGGGCATAACCAAACCTGTAATCTCAAACTTAGAAGAGAAGAGGGAGAGAATTGTCAAGCCACAGGAAGAAGAGGCTGAGAACTATTGTTGTAATATACCAACATTTGTTCAAGACAACATTAGAGAGGTATCACATCCTACTGTAATGTACAATAGATGTCCAACATTAGACAGGTATCACATCCTTCTGTAGTCTACAATATATGTCCAACATTAGACAGGTATCACATCCTACTATAATGTACAATATATGTCCAACATTAGACAGGTATCACATCCTTCTGTAGTCTACAATATATGTCCAACATTAGACAGGTATCACATCCTACATTGGAGACATTCTTATATGATTTTGAAAAGGCATTGTTGATTTTCTCTGGATAACCATGGCTGAGGTTGCGCATGTTTAGGGTATCAAAAGCCTTTTCAAAATCAGTGTATAATGTAGACTTAGCAAAGGAAGGTTTCTAATTCCTCTGTATTGGCATATTCTAAAGAGGGTTTAAAATTCCTCTGTATTGGCTCATTCTAAGGAAGGTTTAAAATTCCTCTGTATTGGCTCATTCTAAGGAAGGTTTAAAATTCCTCTGTATTGGCATATTCTAAAGAGGGTTTAAAATTCCTCTGTATTGGCTCATTCTAAGGAAGGTTTAAAATTCCTCTGTATTGGCATATTCTAAAGAGGGTTTAAAATTCCTCTGTATTGGCTCATTCTAAGGAAGGTTTAAAATTCCTCTGTATTGGCTCATTCTAAGGAAGGTTTAAAATTCCTCTGTATTGGCTCATTCTAAGGAAGGTTTAAAATTCCTCTGTATTGGCTCATTCTAAGGAAGGTTTAAAATTCCTCTGTATTGGCTCATTCTAAGGAAGGTTTAAAATTCCTCTGTATTGGCTCATCCTAAGGAAGGTTTAAAATTCCTCTGTATTGGCTCATTCTAAGGAAGGTTTAAAATTCCTCTGTATTGGCTCATTCTAAGGAAGGTTTAAAATTCCTCTGTATTGGCTCATTCTAAGGAAGGTTTAAAATTCCTCTGTATTGGCTCATTCTAAGGAAGGTTTAAAATTCCTCTGTATTGGCTCAGTGTAATGGCAAGGTGTAGACTGGTGGTCTGGACAATCAGCAGATACTTGAATCATCTTCCTGTCAGCAAGCTCATTAGTTGTTTGTCCCCTCTCCTGTCTACCATGTCTCACCTGTAGTTGTCACAACAGTCCCCTCTCCTGTCTACCATGTCTCACCTGTACTTGTCACAACAGTCCCCTCTCCTGTCTGTTTCACCTGTAGTTGTCACAACAGTCCCCTCTCCTGTCTACCATGTCTCACCTGTAGTTGTCACAACAGTCCCCTCTCCTGTCTGTCTCACCTGTAGTTGTCACAACAGTCCCCTCTCCTGTCTACCATGTCTCACCTGTAGTTGTCACAACAGTCCCCTCTCCTGTCTGTTTCACCTGTAGTTGTCACAACAGTCCCCTCTCCTGTCTACCATGTCTCACCTGTAGTTGTCACAACAGTCCCCTCTCCTGTCTGTTTCACCTGTAGTTGTCACAACAGTCCCCTCTCCTGTCTACCATGTCTCACCTGTAGTTGGGTGTCACAACAGTCCCCTCTCCTGTCTACCATGTCTCACTTGTAGTTGTCACAACAGTCCCCTCTCCTGTCTACCATGTCTCACTTGTAGTTGTCACAACAGTCCCCTCTCCTGTCTACCAGAAAGAAATTTTAAAGAATTTCCTCTACTTTGATCTTTTTTTTACAGATCATTTCAAGAAGACCTAAAGGAATATTTTGTAGTCGTTTGCCCCATGAATATAAAGTAAGTTAAGTCACCTGGTCAGCCTCTGTTTATCAGTTTAGAACAAAATGGAAAATTTACAGTTAAGGCCTAAAATGCGACGAATAAAATTTGAATTTTTACAGATAAGTTGTTTTTATTTTTCAGAATTTCTTTGACAAAGAGCTTCCTTTCAAAACGTATGGCTATAATAGCGTAATAGAATTTGTATCTGATCTCCCACATATCATTCGTATAGAGAAACCTCACCCAGAGGGCGGCTGGATTCTTCATCCTGCAGAAATGTCCTCGAATGAATCCACTGTCAAACAGGGCAAGTCCAATTTTACCTGTGGTATTGCCACATCAAATCTAACCTTTGTTCTTGCTAATCAAGAAGCACAAGAATCTGTCAGCTGCGTGCTCTTAATTCTTGTCCTTGTTTCCTCTCTAGAAAGCAAAGAAGAGCAGGGAAGCAAACTGAATTACCTTGGATACATACCAGTTGATGAAAATGTGAAAGATGCCATCGCCCAAGTCCTTTGCTTAAATCCTGATGGTATTCCCATAGAAAAATTTCAAGATACCTTTAAAGTAAGATATTAAATAAACTGAACAATGATTTAACAAAGCTGTTTTCATAAAGTGTTGAGAATTTGGAACAACAATGGTTTAGTAATTTTATTCAGGCATGCTCATCTATTCAAAGAACAGACACTTTAGTTGCAAAACAAAAGTCAGCAGCTTCAAAATGACCCCGACAAAGGGGCCCAGTCAAATTGAGCTCGCCAAAAGGGCCAACGACAAATATGTACCACATCATTTAGGCTTCTGACAAAAGGGCTCAGTCATTTAGGCTCCTGACCTATTGGCCCAACAAATGAGCTCATGGCTACTGATAAGTCAGGAGTTTATTGGTGAGGAGTCCATATGTCAGGAGCCATGGCTACTGATAAGTCAGGAGTTTATTGGTCCATATGTCAGGAGCCATGGCTACTGATAAGTCAGGAGTTTATTGGTGAGGAGTCCATATGTCAGGAGCTCATGGCTACTGATAAGTCAGGAGTTTATTGGTCCATATGTCAGGAGCCATGGCTACTGATAAGTCAGGAGTTTATTGGTGAGGAGTCCATATGTCAGGAGCCATGGCTACTGATAAGTCAGGAGTTTATTGGTGAGGAGTCCATATGTCAGGAGTTTATTGGTCCATATGTCAGGAGCTCATGGCTACTGATAAGTCAGGAGTTTATTGGTGAGGAGTCCATATGTCATGAGCCATGGCTACTGATAAGTCAGGAGTTTATTGGTGAGGAGTCCATATGTCATGAGCCATGGCTACTGATAAGTCAGGAGTTTATTGGTCCATATGTCAGGAGCCATGGCTACTGATAAGTCAAGAGTTTATTGGTGAGGAGTCCATATGTCAGGAGCTCATGGCTACTGATAAGTCAGGAGTTTATTGGTGAGGAGTCCATATGTCATGAGCCATGGCTACTGATAAGTCAGGAGTTTATTGGTGAGGAGTCCATATGTCAGGAGTTTATTGGTCCATATGTCAGGAGCTCATGGCTACTGATAAGTCAGGAGTTTATTGGTGAGGAGTCCATATGTCATGAGCCATGGCTACTGATAAGTCAGGAGTTTATTGGTGAGGAGTCCATATGTCATGAGCCATGGCTACTGATAAGTCAGGAGTTTATTGGTCCATATGTCAGGAGCCATGGCTACTGATAAGTCAGGAGTTTATTGGTGAGGAGTCCATATGTCAGGAGCCATGGCTACTGATAAGTCAGGAGTTTATTGGTGAGGAGTCCATATGTCAGGAGCCATGGCTACTGATAAGTCAGGAGTTTATTGGTGAGGAGTCCATATGTCAGGAGTTTATTGGTCCATATGTCAGGAGCCTTGGCTACTGATAAGTCAGGAGTTTATTGGTGAGGAGTCCATATGTCAGGAGCCATGGAACCTGTATGTTGTGAGACAGTATGACTGGAGGCTATTGGAGGGGGCTATTTAGTCAAGGGTCTCTTTGGTGGTACACCAAACATGAAATAAAATATATAATATCACATGCATAATATTGTTAAAGATTTGAGCAGCGGTTCATAAAAATGACCAGACATGGTGTTAACTGTAAGCTGTGTAAAATAGACAAGGTTTGTAAGTAAGTTCTGTGTGGAAAACAGACTTTGGCTGCTGTATATGACACACCATTCTTGTAATGATAAGAAAAATCTAAAGATAGTTTTAAATTGAATGCCATCAAAATTGCATTTTTTTCTGAATTTTAAAAAAATGTAAAAGCCAAATTAGATCTTTTTATTGGACTATTCGTTTTTAGGAATCTATTTTATATCTTTTTTTTACAACAAGGATTTGTGCATTACTGTAAGTGTAAGTGTTGTGGGTATTGCATTGTATTGAATTGTGCCAAGTGTGTAAAGCATGGTAGTGTGTGTACTTCAATGATGGAGTGGGGGCGGGGCTTAAGGTTGAATATGGGAGGGGTCTAGGAGAAAGCCAAACCACCCCTTACCTGATATCAGTATCTGGGTTGACAGAAGCCAAATTGTTTTCATAAAATGTTGAAATGTTTTCAAAATCTGTGAGTTGAATGAGAAATACGGCAGCAGTCATTCTCTCCCTTTCTACTTGACCTATCCACTTGTTCTGTTTTCTTGAAAAGGCGGTTACATCTCTATACATATTTGATATCTAGAAAAGATAACTAAATATTTTCATGAATCTATTCTCAATAAAGTTGTGGCATTTGCAATTTTATTTTTAAAAGTATTTATAATTGACTTGAAAGCATTTTATTGATGATTGTGCAGTGGTTTTTCCAATGAATAGCTGTGTGCTCATGTTGAGTTAAATTTTTAAATTTTCCAATGAATAACTGTGTGCTCATGTTGAGTTAATTTTTAAATTTTCCAATGAATAGCTGTGTGCTCATGTTGAGTTAATTTTTAAATTTTCCAATGAATAGCTGTGTGCTCATGTTGAGTTAAATTTTTAAATTTTCCAATGAATAGCTGTGTGCTCATGTTGAGTTAAATTTTTAAATTTTCCAATGAATAGCTGTGTGCTCATGTTGAGTTAAATTTCTAAATTTTCCAATGAATAGCTGTGTGCTAATGTTGAGTTAAATTTTCTAGGAAATGACTGGCAAAGCTCTAGACGTGGGTAAATATGGTTGCAATGGCTTGAAGACATTGCTACATAGTCTGCCTGATATTCTCTACATCTCCATCAATGCTTCAGGTGAGGTGTAGGTTGTCAGCTGATTCAGTGGGACATCTCTTTATTCAGTGGGACATCTCTTTATTCAGTGGGGCATCTCTTTATTCAGTGGGGCATCTCTTTATTCAGTGGGACATCTCTTTATTCAGTGGGACATCTCTTTATTCAGTGGGACATCTCTTTATTCAGTGGGACATCTCTTTATTCAGTGGGACATCTCTTTATTCAGTGGGACATCTCTTTATTCAGTGGGACAGCTCTTTATTCAGTGGGACAGCTCTTTATTCAGTGGGACAGCTCTTTATTCAGTGGGACAGCTCTTTATTCAGTGGGACAGCTCTTTATTCAGTGGGACAGCTCTTTATTCAGTGGGACATCTCTTTATTCAGTGGGACATCTCTTTAGGTTTATTCAGTGGGACATCTCTTGAAATTTATTCATTTATAATAAACTTAAGTACTCTACAGTTTGAATCCATATTTAAAAATAAACACACTTCTATTTACAAGTGTTTTTTTTTATTGTTATGGACTTATTCAAATAATGTTCTCATTTCTTAGACAAAACAATTGTGTGTCCAAAGATGGATCATGTTCCTAGAAGATTTGATAAGCTGCTAAGTCAGTACCAACCAACATCTTTAGAACAGGTATGTCTAAATTTTATACTTCACAAGTTTTCTCATCTTGAAAATATTATTAGTGTAAAAATGGTCTGGAATTTCTCAACTTCTGAGCTGATTGTAATGCTGAAATATAAAGAAAATAAAACATGATGACCTTGAAATTACTCAAGCTGTAGGTCTAGAGTTAATATTCACAGCTTTTGTATGCCATTTTCCCCATACAATGTGGAGTCTGCTCAACTATGTTTTTTTCCCCACAGAATATGGAGTCAGCTGAACTATATTTCCCCCCCCCCCCCCCCCCCCCCCCCACAGAATATGGAGTCAGCTCAACTATATTTTTTCCCCACAGAATATGGAGTCAGCCCAACTATATTTTTCCCCCACAGAATATGGAGTCAGCAGAAGTATATTTTTTCCCCACAGAATATGGAGTCAACTGAACTATATTTTTTCCCCACAGAATATGCAGTCAGCTGAACTATATTTTTTCCCCACAGAATATGGAGTCAGCTGAACTATATTTTTTCCCCACAGAATATGGAGTCAGCTGAACTATATTTTTTCCCCACAGAATATGCAGTCAACTGAACTATATTTTTTCCCCACAGAATATGCAGTCAGCTGAACTATATATTTTTTCCCCACAGAATATGCAGTCAGCTGAACTATATTTTTTCCCCACAGAATATGGAGTCAGCCCAACAGTTGCCTGGTGATGCTGTAAGTCCAGGCTGCTGTTTCCGAGCTCAGCCCCTCCCCTCTCTGAGTGTGGACAGATACATTGAGCTCTATGTATCTAATGTGGTGTCTCCATCTGTGTTCTGGGTGCAGGTCAGAGGTCAGGCTACCACTGTGGCACTGGAGGATCTTATGGATGGTTTAGAGACAGTCTAGTAGGTGTATGCTTGTAAACTAGTTTTTAAAAATATAGATATATATAGTTATTTAAATTTTCCTATTTTTAAAGAAAATTATTAATTTTCTCCTTTTTTAGTGCATAATTATAAAAGCTTGTTGATAAAAAAATAAATAATTAATTTAGTGTGTGTGGTCTTATCATTATTTTATTGTGTTTTCAGCTTTTCAAAGCCTTGCAAAGATTACCAGATGACCCCAAAATTGGCTAAAAGAGGAATGGTCTGTGCAGTCTTATTTCCCGAGGATGGTTTCTGGTATCGTGGTATTATCCTTGGAGTCAAAGATAATCTTTATGAGGTAGATAATTAGGGTACTAAGGTCTCAATTGATTCAATTCCTACTTTGCTTATTCTGCCTAGCATCGACCTTTTTTTTTCTACAGGTCTACTATGTTGACTATGGTAACACTTGCTTTTTAAATATCAAGCAAATGCGAATTCTAAAGTAAGTTTTCTTTCTTCTGAACAGCTCAATATCAATTTTTTTATTTCAACCATTGTTTTCTAAGGCCACTGAAATATTTGTTAAAATTTCAGAGTATTTCAACCATTGTTTTCTAAGGCCACTGAAATATTTGTTCCAATTTCAGATCCAAATTTATGAGTCTGCCAGCGCAAGCTATTCGTGCCAGACTGAGTCACATACAGCCAGCTAATGGGGTGAGAGGTTTTATAGCGTCTTTCTCACTGGCTTCTAGATTAAGTTGGGTGGCCTGGGCCATCTAGTTGTTTGGGTGGCCTGGGCCATCTGGTTGTTTGGGTGGCCTGGGCCATCTGGTTGTTTGGGTGGCCTGGGCCATCTGGTTGTTTGGGTGGCCTGGGTAGTCTGTGTGGAGGGCGTGTAAGGTTTAATTCTATGCCAAGTTGAGTTATCGCCCACCATGATAAGTTGTCTAGCTTGCTATATGAACTCTGAATCATAAGTTGTCTAGCTTGAACTCTGAATCATCCTGTTCAATGACTTGGTGGACATGAGATACCATGATAAGTTGTCTAGCTTGCTATATGAACTCTGAATCATCCTGTTCAATTACTTGGTGGGCAAGAGATGCGTGGTTGACTGTTGTCATTGTGCTCAACTAATTCAGTCTACATTTCTTTTATGATGAAGAAAATGGTTTTTTTTTCTATTTATAATATAACAATGCTATTTAATATTATATTTACTTGTAATTCCTACTTTATCCTCTGCTTTTAATAAACTACCAAAATAGAGTGTAGAAAAAGTGCCATTGTAGAAATTTGATAGAGTTTACAAAAAAGCGAATGTGTTTACTATAAATGACCATGAAAAAAAAACCCCATAGGAAATGAGGCAGTCTTGACCTGCAGACATTGTTACTGTAGCAGCAGTTTAAAAATGTATGTCAAGAGACACCCTTTGCAAGAGTGACCTTAAGTTCAATGTTTTTTTTTCAGAACTGGGCCCCCAATGCCAGAGATCGTCTGTTAGAGTTGTGTAGAGAGAAGCCACTAGTTGGGCTAGTTACAAGTTTTAAGGTGGGTTTGTCTCAAGTCTGTTAGAGTTGTGTAGAGAGAAGCCACTAGTTGGGCTAGTTACAAGTTTTAAGGTGGGTTTGTCTTAAGTCTGTTAGAGTTGTGTAGAGAGAAGCCACTAGTTGGGCTAGTTACAAGTTTTAAGGTGGGTTTGTCTCAAGTCTGTTAGAGTTGTGTAGAGAGAAGCCACTAGTTGGGCTAGTTACAAGTTTTAAGGTGGGTTTGTCTCAAGTCTGTTAGAGTTGTGTAGAGAGAAGCCACTAGTTGGGCTAGTTACAAGTTTTAAGGTGGGTTTGTCTCAAGTCTGTTAGAGTTGTGTAGAGAGAAGCCACTAGTTGGGCTAGTTACAAGTTTTAATGTGGGTTTGTCTTAAGTCTGTTAGAGTTGTGTAGAGAGAAGCCACTAGTTGGGCTAGTTACAAGTTTTAAGGTGGGTTTGTCTTCTTAAGTCTGTTAGAGTTGTGTAGAGAGAAGCCACTAGTTGGGCTAGTTACAAGTTTTAAGGTGGGTTTGTCTCAAGTCTGTTAGAGTTGTGTAGAGAGAAGCCACTAGTTAGGCTAGTTACAAGTTTTAAGGTGGGTTTGTCTCAAGTCTGTTAGAGTTGTGTAGAGAGAAGCCACTAGTTGGGCTAGTTACAAGTTTTAAGGTGGGTTTGTCTTAAGTCTGTTAGAGTTGTGTAGAGAGAAGCCACTAGTTGGGCTGGTTACAAGTTTTAATGTGGGTTTGTCTTAAGTCTGTTAGAGTTGTGTAGAGAGAAGCCACTAGTTGGGCTAGTTAAAAGTTTTAAGGTGGGTTTGTCTTCTTAAGTCTGTTAGAGTTGTGTAGAGAGAAGCCACTAGTTGGGCTAGTTACAAGTTTTAAGGTGGGTTTGTCTTCTTAAGTCTGTTAGAGTTGTGTAGAGAGAAGCCACTAGTTGGGCTAGTTACAAGTTTTAAGGTGGGTTTGTCTTCTTAAGTCTGTTAGAGTTGTGTAGAGAGAAGCCACTAGTTGGGCTAGTTACAAGTTTTAAGGTGGGTTTGTCTTCTTAAGTCTGTTAGAGTTGTGTAGAGAGAAGCCACTAGTTGGGCTAGTTACAAGTTTTAAGGTGGGTTTGTCTTAAGTCTGTTAGAGTTGTGTAGAGAGAAGCCACTAGTTGGGCTAGTTACAAGTTTTAAGGTGGGTTTGTCTTAAGTCTGTTAGAGTTGTGTAGAGAGAAGCCACTAGTTGGGCTAGTTACAAGTTTTAAGGTGGGTTTGTCTTCTTAAGTCTGTTAGAGTTGTGTAGAGAGAAGCCACTAGTTGGGCTAGTTACAAGTTTTAAGGTGGGTTTGTCTTCTTAAGTCTGTTAGAGTTGTGTAGAGAGAAGCCACTAGGACCATTGTTTCTGGATGTTGTGTAAAATATTTTTATGAAATCTGAGCTGGTCCCTTAAAACCTATAACCTCAACAGTTTGTTTTGTTTCCCCTGATTAGGAGGGAGTTCTTTCCCTTTGCTTGTCTGACACAACAGGAGAGGAGGATGTTCACATCAATGACCTGATGGTGGAGGAAGGTTACGCCAAGTTTGTCAGGGACCAGCCCACAATGGAGAGTGACTCTCACACGCAGGTATCTACCTCCATCTGTCGGCTACAGGACATTACCCCCCTGGATATTTCCCCCCCGGACATTTACCCCCCAAAGCAATTACCCCGCTGTCAATAACCCCCCTCTCCCCCCCCCCCCCTCTCAAGTTAAAATCCTAACTCTAACTAGAATTTTATACCTATATACTACTTTAATCCAAATCTTAAGAAAAAGACCAAAACCTAAGCGTCCACCTTAGCCTAAAACTTCACACAAAACCAAAACCAAAGCTAGACACAACCCTAACCCTAAAACTAGCTCTAATCCTAGCCCTAAACCTAGCCCTAAACCTAGCCCTAACCCTAAAACCTAACCCTAGCCCTAACCCTAACCCTAGCCCAGAACCTAACCCTAAAACCTAACCCTAAAACCTAACCCTAGCCCTAAAACCTAACCCTAAAACCTAACCCTAAAACCTAACCCTAACTCTAACCCTGTCGGGGGGGGGGGGGTAATTGACAGGGGGGAAATGCCCTGTTCCCCCATCTGTCACCCCCACCCATCTCAACCTGTCACCCCCACCCATCTCAACCTGTCACCCTCACCCATCTCAACCTGTCACCCCCACCCTGTCACCCCCACCCATCTCAACCTGTCACCCCCCACCCATCTCAACCTGTCACCCCCACCCATCTCAACCTGTCACCCCCACCCATCTCAACCTGTCACCCCCACCCATCTCAACCTGTCAATGATCCCACCCATCTCAACCTGTCACCCCCACCCTGTCACCCCCACCCATCTCAACCTGTCACCCCCACCCATCTCAACCTGTCAATGATCCCACCCTGTCAACAAATCAGCCCGCCGCCCCCCCCCCCCCCATGACCTGACGTAAACTGTGACACCTTTCATGTGTGACACTAGCATTTTTCATCAGTCTGATTTAATCAACTTCCATTTCAAAGTTCAAACTCAAGCCTTTGGAGTGCTAGAAGAAATGAATTTTAATGTAAACAGACCATCAAGACAAATGTTATGTAATGTCGCAATAGCCACCAAAATTAATGTAAACAGACCATCAAGACTAATGTAATGTAATGTCGCAATAGCCATCAAAATTAATGTAAACACTATCAAGACAAATGTTATGTAATGTTGGAATAGCCACCAAAATTAATGTAAACAGACCATCAAGACAAATGTTATGTAATGTTGGAATAGCCACCAAAATTAATGTAACCAGACCATCAAGACTAATGTTATGTAATGTTGGAATAGCCACCAAAATTAATGTAAACACTATCAAGACAAATGTTATGTAATGTTGGAATAGACACCAAACATTGTCATTGTGGTTGTCCATGATGATGTCATGCTTTTTAATCAATTTTTTACCTACCCCCACCCTTATCACAGTGTCACACCTTAGTGTCCTACCCCCACCCTTATCACAGTGTCACACCTTAGTGTCCTACCCCCACCCTTATCACAGTGTCACACCTTAGTGTCCTACCCCCACCCTAATCACAGTGTCACACCTTAGTGTCCTACCCCAACCCTTATCACAGTGTCACACCTTAGTGTCCTACCCCCACCCTAATCACAGTGTCACACCTTAGTGTCCTACCCCCACCCTAATCACAGTGTCACACCTTAGTGTCCTACCCCCACCCTAATCACAGTGTCACACCTTAGTGTCCTACCCCCACCCTAATCACAGTGTCCTACCCCCACCCTAATCACAGTGTCACACCTTAGTGTCCTACCCCAACCCTTATCACAGTGTCACACCTTAGTGTCCTACCCCCACCATAATCACAGTGTCACACCTTAGTGTCCTACCCCCATCCTTATCACAATGTCACACCTTAGTGTCCTACCCCAACCCTTATCACAGTGTCACACCTTAGTGTCCTACCCCCACCCTTATCACAGTGTCACACCTTAGTGTCCTACCCCAACCCTTATCACAGTGTCACACCTTAGTGTCCTACCCCCACCCTTATCACAGTGTCACACCTTAGTGTCCTACCCCCACCCTTATCACAGTGTCACACCTTAGTGTCCTACCCCCATCCTAATCACAGTGTCACACCTTAGTGTCCTACCCCCAGCCTTATCACAGTGTCACACCTTAGTGTCCTACCCCAACCCTTATCACAGTGTCACACCTTAGTGTCCTACCCTCACCCTAATCACAGTGTCACACCTTAGTGTCCTACCCCCACCCTTATCACAGTGTCACACCTTAGTGTCCTACCCCCATCCTAATCACAGTGTCACACCTTAGTGTCCTACCCCCAGCCTTATCACAGTGTCACACCTTAGTGTCCTACCCCCAGCCTTATCACAGTGTCACACCTTAGTGTCCTACCCCCACCCTTATCACAGTGTCATACCTTAGTGTCCTACCCCCACCCTAATCACAGTGTCACACCTTAGTGTCCTACCCCAACCCTTATCACAGTGTCACACCTTAGTGTCCTACCCCCACCCTAATCACAGTGTCACACCTTAGTGTCCTACCCCCACCCTAATCACAGTGTCACACCTTAGTGTCCTACCCCCACCCTAATCACAGTGTCACACCTTAGTGTCCTACCCCCACCCTAATCACAGTGTCACACCTTAGTGTCCTACCCCCATCCTAATCACAGTGTCACACCTTAGTGTCCTACCCCCACCCTTATCACAGTATCACACCTTAGTGTCCTACCCCCACCCTAATCACAGTGTCACACCTTAGTGTCCTACCCCCACCCTTATCACAGTATCACACCTTAGTGTCCTACCCCCACCCTTATCACAGTGTCACACCTTAGTGCCTAGAGCTCTCAAAATTGGATCAAGCTCAGTCAACATTGAATAATTTTTAAGATTTTCAAAAAGTCTTTTTAAAATCTGGAATAAAAGCCAGAATTTAAAACTGTGTTAAAAAGATTACAAATGCTATTGTGTCATTACATTTTCTATACCCTCTCCTTCATCACACATTGTCATAGAAACTCCTTCTTAGAATTTTACGTCATTTATGGACATCAGGTGACAGTCATCATTATTCAACAGTTAAAAATAAAAAATCCAAACAATTGTCTTGCAACATTCAACAGTTAATAAACTAAACAATTGTCTTGCAACATTCAACAGTTAAAAATAAAAAATCTAAACAATTGTCTTGCAACATTCAACAGTTAAAAATCTAAACAATTGTCTTGCAACATTCAACAGTTAAAAATAAAAAATCCAACAATTGTCTTGCAACATTCAACAGTTAAAAATCCAAACAATTGTCTTGCAACATTCAACAGTTAATAAACTAAACAATTGTCTTGCAACATTCAACAGTTAAAAATAAAAAATCCAAACAATTGTCTTGCAACATTCAACAGTTAAAAATAAAAAATCTAAACAATTGTCTTGCAACATTCAACAGTTAAAAATCTAAACAATTGTCTTGCAACATTCAACAGTTAAAAATAAAAAATCCAACAATTGTCTTGCAACATTCAACAGTTAAAAATCCAAACAATTGTCTTGCAACATTCAACAGTTAATAAACTAAACAATTGTCTTGCAACATTCAACAGTTAAAAATAAAAAATCCAAACAATTGTCTTGCAACATTCAACAGTTAAAAATAAAAAATCTAAACAATTGTCTTGCAACATTCAACAGTTAAAAATAAAAAATCTAAACAATTGTCTTGCAACTTTCAACAGTTAAAAATCTAAACAATTGTCTTGCAACATTCAACAGTTAAAAATCTAAACAATTATTTTGCAACATTGAACAAGTGCCAATCTACATGATGATTTGCCAAGTCTCTATGAGCTAACATCATTTGTAGGGAGAAATGTTTAGTGCTGGTGTTATATGTGGGTGAAGGTTAATTGTGACAACTACAGCTCAACTTTTGGCTTTCCAATTTGCTCAGATAGTTGACCAACTTTGGGCCCACCAAGTGGCTAGAGATAGTTAAAAAACTTGAGGTCCCCTTGTGAGTTGACCAACTTTGGGCCCACCAAGTGGCTAGAGATAGTTAAAAAACTTGAGGTCCCCTTGTGAGTTGACCAACTTTGGGCCCACCAAGTGGCTAGAGATAGTTAAAAAACTTGAGATCCCCTTGTGAGTTGACCAACTTTGGGCCCACCAAGTGGCTAGAGATAGTTAAAAAACTTGAGGTCCCCTTGTGAGTTGACCAACTTTGGGCCCACCAAGTGGCTAGAGATAGTTAAAAAACTTGAGGTCCCCTTGTGAGTTGACCAACTTTGGGCCCACCAAGTGGCTAGAGATAGTTAAAAAACTTGAGGTCCCCTTGTGAGTTGACCAACTTTGGGCCCACCAAGTGGCTAGAGATAGTTAAAAAACTTGAGGTCCCCTTGTGAGTTGACCAACTTTGGGCCCACCAAGTGGCTAGAGATAGTTAAAAAACTTGAGGTCCCCTTGTGAGTTGACCAACTTTGGGCCCACCAAGTGGCTAGAGATAGTTAAAAAACTTGAGGTCCCCTTGTGAGTTGACCAACTTTGGGCCCACCAAGTGGCTAGAGATAGTTAAAAAACTTGAGGTCCCCTTGTGAGTTGACCAACTTTGGGCCCACCAAGTGGCTAGAGATAGTTAAAAAACTTGAGGTCCCCTTGTGAGTTGACCAACTTTGGGCCCACCAAGTGGCCAGAGATAGTTAAAAAACTTGAGGTCCCCTTGTGAGTTGACCAACTTTGGGCCCACCAAGTGGCTAGAGATAGTTAAAAAACTTGAGGTCCCCTTGTGAGTTGACCAACTTTGGGCCCACCAAGTGGCTAGAGATAGTTAAAAAACTTGAGGTCCCCTTGTGAGTTGACCAACTTTGGGCCCACCAAGTGGCTAGAGATAGTTAAAAAACTTGAGGTCCCCTTGTGAGTTGACCAACTTTGGGCCCACCAAGTGGCTAGAGATAGTTAAAAAACTTGAGGTCCCCTTGTGAGTTGACCAACTTTGGGCCCACCAAGTGGCTAGAGATAGTTAAAAAACTTGAGATGCCCTTGTGAGTTGACCAACTTTGGGCCCACCAAGTGGCTAGAGATAGTTAAAAAACTTGAGGTCCCCTTGTGAGTTGACCAACTTTGGGCCCACCAAGTGGCTAGAGATAGTTAAAAAACTTGAGGTCCCCTTGTGAGTTGACCAACTTTGGGCCCACCAAGTGGCTAGAGATAGTTAAAAAACTTGAGGTCCCCTTGTGAGTTGACCAACTTTGGGCCCACCAAGTGGCTAGAGATAGTTAAAAAACTTGAGGTCCCCTTGTGAGTTGACCAACTTTGGGCCCACCAAGTGGCTAGAGATAGTTAAAAAACTTGAGGTCCCCTTGTGAGTTGACCAACTTTGGGCCCACCAAGTGGCTAGAGATAGTTAAAAAAACTTGAGGTCCCCTTGTGAGTTGACCAACTTTGGGCCCACCAAGTGGCTAGAGATAGTTAAAAAACTTGAGGTCCCCTTGTGAGTTGACCAACTTTGGGCCCACCAAGTGGCCAGAGATAGTTAAAAAACTTGAGGTCCCCTTGTGAGTTGACCAACTTTGGGCCCACCAAGTGGCTAGAGATAGTTAAAAAACTTGAGGTCCCCTTGTGAGTTGACCAACTTTGGGCCCACCAAGTGGCTAGAGATAGTTAAAAAACTTGAGGTCCCCTTGTGAGTTGACCAACTTTGGGCCCACCAAGTGGCTAGAGATAGTTAAAAAACTTGAGGTCCCCTTGTGAGTTGACCAACTTTGGGCCCACTAAGTGGCTAGAGATAGTTAAAAAACTTGAGGTCCCCTTGTGAGTTGACCAACTTTGGGCCCACCAAGTGGCTAGAGATAGTTAAAAAACTTGAGGTCCCCTTGTGAGTTGACCAATAGGAGACACTTGTCTGGGGTGGTACTGATGAAGCGGATATGCTCACTGGGGAAGTAGCACCTCTGTAAGTGTCCCTCATAGCTGAGGATGTCTATACGGCCATCCCGTTTGTCAAAGACAATGACGTTCTGCTCTGTGTCCGTACAGACGGCGTCCGGCCCTTGGTATAACTCCTCCTCCGCGTCTGTGTTGCCGTACTCGAACATGAATTCCCCATTGGGCTTGAACCCCAGCACACTGTGCCTGCCTGGGTCTGTGACAAAGAAACAGCCCTGGGCGTCCACTGCGATGTGCTGGGGACGGTCAAACAGGTAGAGGTTGAGTTGGGTGAACGTCTCGTTGGTGATGACGCGCTCGAGCGTGCCGTCCTTGGCGTAGATGGTGATGTTGCCACCATACTTGGCGGAACGGCCGTGGACGGAATTGGCCGTGGCATACCTGTTGGCTGAGACGAGAATCTTGCCCTCTCTTGTAGCTGTGACCGAGTTGAGCCCGAAGCTTTCAATCTGGACGTCAGCCAGCGTGTTGACGCTGTTCTCCCCCGACATGATCCTCACTTTGTACTTGTTCTCACTCCTGGGCAGGACCAGGTTCACCTTGCCATCAGCTGATATCGAGTGGACCACCCAGCTTTTCTCTATGGGGATCTGACCGATGACAATGGCATGTTTCTCCAGGATAAAGACTTTGCTACACCCCCCGGGAGAGACGGTGGCCACAAGAATGTTGCCTTGTTGGTTGACGCCCACCCCCTTGATGCTCTCAGAGAGGAAGGGGTCGGGCAGGCGCATCTCTCTGAGGACACTGTCCAGGTTGTGGCAGGGCACTTGGTCGTGAGCTGTGGATGAGTGGACGTTGGTGTCTGGCACCTCGGCTAACCTGGGCGACACACTGGCAGCCATCTTGAAGTCGTCATTGCTGTTGGCACTGAGAGAGAGCAGGGAGGAGCCAGGCCTGAAGGCGTCGCTGGTGTTGCTGGCACTCAACATGTCCGTGTCCTCCTCCTCTTCCTCCTCCAGACCCGCCAGCTCGGGCACGATTTCCTCTGTGGAGGACACCGAGCTGGCCTTCATTCTGCGGCTCATCATCCCCAGGTCAATACTCTGTGAAGCTGTTTGAATTTTTCTTCTACTGGCTGGTGAGGCCTCCTTTCTTAAGTCACCGAACATCTCACACACCATGTCCACTGTCACGTTGGGTTCGTTGAGTGTGCGCTTGACCAACTTGAAGGTCCTCATGGGCAGTTCTTCCTCACACAGCTCTCGAACTCGCCGCCCAATTTTCCGTCTCATCGAGACTTTCTCTTCCTCTGAGCCGAAGGTCAGGAGCTTGTCGGTCAGTTCTGTCACGGCTTTGATGGACTCGATACAGTTCCGCACTGTGGCCTCGCGCTCTTTTATGGCTGACACGTTCTGCGCATGCTTCTTCTCGATTTCCAAAACTAGAATATTCTCGTACTCTCGAATCATGTTGCACAGAACATCTGTTCTCTGTCTGGCGGCAGTTTTCAAGTCCTGCATGTTGTTCGTGGCCTGTTGTCTGGCAAGCTCCAGCTTTGAGAGGACTTTATGGAGAGTGGCGCTGTCCTTCTTGAGTTCCTCTAGCGGCTGTTTGATTTTGTTCTCAAAGTTTTGAGCGATGGCGCCCAGCTCGGCGCACCTGTGGTCGGCGTGTTTGGTGTTGTGGCACTCGGGGCAGGCCAGCAGCTCGCAGTCCACACAGAAGAGGCAGCCGATGTCCATGTCGTCGTAGTACTGGCAGCACCTCTGTAGAGTGGGCTGCTGTGTGGCCACCTCGCCGTCCTCGTAGTGGTCGATGTCCTGGGTCCTGTGGCTGGACGTCTCCACTTGCTGCAGGTGGCCCAGCGAGCACTGCTGGCACAGGAACTCGTCACAGTTGATGCAGTGGACCGTGGCCGTGCCCTCGCACGACCCGCACTTCCGCTCTCGCCGGCACCGCGTTGTGCTTGGACAGCTGAGCCGGCGCGCAAATGCGTTGTCCGGCAACTGTACCGGCGCTTGGTCGGCCATGATGATTTCCGTATCGCAGACGGGACAGGTGAAGCTGCTGTCCGGCTTGCTGTTTGCCTCGATGTGGTCGTCAATACAGGCGGCACAGAAGGAGTGCAGACACGGCAGGTACTTGGGCTCGTGGTACTCGTCCCTGCACAGGGGGCAGCAAAGGAACTCCCTGGGCACGACTTCACTGTGTAGGTCCTCCATGCACACAGACCCTGGGGATAGATAAGTGGCAACTAGATGAGCAAAGCTCCAGCTAGCCTTAATAGATAGAATAGACTGCCTGTATCAAGTCTAGATCACGTGACACCACGAGGACAGTCTACTAGACTACCCACGGGGCTCGTCGTTTAGCATTTTATTACCATTTGTGTGTGTGTGATAAACATCACGCCCTTGTGTCTCATCCCTCCCCCTTGTGACAAATGTCACACCTCTCCCGTCATGTAAGGCCCCTCCACTTGTGAGTAAGACCCCCCCCCTACTTCTGAGTAAGACCCCCTTCCGCCTTGTTAGAAAGACCCCTCGCCTCCTTGTAAGAAAGACCCCTCCCTTGTAAGAAAGACTCCTCCCCCGCCTTGTAAGAAAGACCCCTCCCCCACCTTGTAAGAAAGATCCCTCCCCAACTTTGTAAGAAAAATCCCTCCCCAACTTTGTAAGAAAGACCTCTCCATCGCCATGTAAGAAAGACCCCTCCCCAACCTTGTAAGAAAGACCCCTCCATCGCCATGTAAGAAAGACCCATCCCCAACCTTGTAAGAAAGACCCCTCCCCCACCTTGTAAGAAAAATCCCTCCCCAACTTTGTAAGAAAGACCTCTCCATCGCCATGTAAGAAAGACCCCTCCCCAACCTTGTAAGAAAGACCCCTCCCCCGCCTTGTAAGAAAGACCCCTCCCCCCGCCTTGTGAAAGACCCCTCCCCCCGCCTTGTGAAAGACCCCTCCCCCCGCCTTGTGAAAGACCCCTCCCCCGCCTTGTGAAAGACCCCTCCCCCGCCTTGTAAAAGACCCCTCCCGCCAAGAGCCCTGACTGTGAGACAGCGGGCTGCCACTTGTGCTGACATAGCTGTGTCGTCATGTCGTGTTGAAAGTGTTTGACTTACTCGTGCACTGGAATGGTAGCTGCTACTAAAATATGCCTTTGAAAATAAAAAAAATGCGGCGTTATTTATCTAACTCTATTTCCTTGGTCCTAAACTGTTTCCATTATAGTACATGAGATTTTAAAGCTACGGCTAACCTCCCTACAGTTAACGCCTCCACACCTTGTACAAACACGCCCCACCCTCGTCTAACGATTTTACCGCAGCCGTTGAACAAGGTATAGATTTATTGATTGATCGAACCCAACTTGTATTGAGGGGATCTATGATCGCTTGAATTGTTCGATAGCACAGTTTCGCCTTCAGGGCACTTTTTGCTGCTGTCAAATAAACGGCCTTGAATTGATTTTAATTTGACATGAAACCTTATAGTCTTCTACAGAAATGGAGTGCGGGGGGGGGGGGGGGCCATTTCTCCGTGTACCCATCATGTAATGGAGGAGAGGAAGCTCGGTGGGTAGTTTTGTGGCTAAAGTTTGGTGGATGTTTGTGCCGCGAGGGTTTGGTGGATGTTTGTGGCAAGGGTTTGGTGGATGTTTGTGGCAAGGGTTTGGTGGATGTTTGTGGCTAAAGTTTGGTGGATGTTTGTGCCGCGAGGGTTTGGTGGATGTTTGTGCCGCGATGGGTTTGGTGGATGTTTGTGGCATGGGTTTGGTGGATGTTTGTGGCTAAAGTTTGGTGGATGTTTGTGGCAAGGGTTTGGTGGATGTTTGTGGCTAAAGTTTGGTGGATGTTTGTGCCGCGAGGGTTTGGTGGATGTTTGTGCCGCGAGGGTTTGGTGGATGTTTGTGGCAAGGGTTTGGTGGATGTTTGTGGCAAGGGTTTGGTGGATGTTTGTGGCTAAAGTTTGGTGGATGTTTGTGGCAAGGGTTTGGTGGATGTTTGTGGCAAGGGTTAGGTGGATGTTTGTGACAAGGGTTTGGTGGATGTTTGTGGCTAAAGTTTGGTGGATGTTTGTGCCGCGAGGGTTTGGTGGATGTTTGTGGCGCGAGGGTTTGGTGGATGTTTGTGGCTAAAGTTTGGTGGATGTTTGTGGCAAGGGTTTGGTGGATGTTTGTGGCTAAGGTTTGGTGGATGTTTGTGGCAAGGGTTTGGTGGATGTTTGTGGCTAAAGTTTGGTGGATGTTTGTGGCAAGGGTTTGGTGGATGTTTGTGGCTAAAGTTTGGTGGATGTTTGTGGCTAAGGTTAGGTGGATGTTTGTGGCAAGGGTTAGGTGGATGTTTGTGGCTAAAGTTAGGTGGATGTTTGTGGCAAGGGTTTGGTGGATGTTTGTGGCTAAAGTTTGGTGGATGTTTGTGGCTAAAGTTTGGTGGATGTTTGTGACAAGGGTTTGGTGGATGTTTGTGGCAAGGGTTAGGTGGATGTTTGTGGCAAGGGTTTGGTGGATGTTTGTGGCAAGGGTTTGGTGGATGTTTGTGGCTAAAGTTTGGTGGATGTTTGTGGCTAAAGTTTGGTGGATGTTTGTGGCAAGGGTTTGGTGGATGTTTGTGACAAGGGTTTGGTGGATGTTTGTGGCTAAAGTTTGGTGGATGTTTGTGCCGCGAGGGTTTGGTGGATGTTTGTGGCGCGAGGGTTTGGTGGATGTTTGTGGCTAAGGTTTGGTGGATGTTTGTGGCAAGGGTTTGGTGGATGTTTGTGGCTAAAGTTTGGTGGATGTTTGTGGCTAAGGTTAGGTGGATGTTTGTGGCAAGGGTTTGGTGGATGTTTGTGGCATGGGTTTGGTGGATGTTTGTGACAAGGGTTAGGTGGATGTTTGTGGCTAAAGTTTGGTGGATGTTTGTGGCTAAGGTTAGGTGGATGTTTGTGGCAAGGGTTTGGTGGATGTTTGTGGCATGGGTTTGGTGGATGTTTGTGGCAAGGGTTTGGTGGATGTTTGTGGCTAAAGTTTGGTGGATGTTTGTGGCAAGGGTTAGGTGGATGTTTGTGGCAAGGGTTAGGTGGATGTTTGTGGCAAGGGTTTGGTGGATGTTTGTGGCTAAAGTTTGGTGGATGTTTGTGGCTAAGGTTAGGTGGATGTTTGTGGCAAGGGTTTGGTGGATGTTTGTGGCAAGGGTTAGGTGGATGTTTGTGGCAAGGGTTAGGTGGATGTTTGTGGCTAAAGTTTGGTGGATGTTTGTGGCAAGGGTTTGGTGGATGTTTGTGGCAAGGGTTTGGTGGATGTTTGTGACAAGGGTTAGGTGGATGTTTGTGGCTAAAGTTTGGTGGATGTTTGTGGCTAAAGTTTGGTGGATGTTTGTGGCTAAAGTTTGGTGGATGTTTGTGGCAAGGGTTAGGTGGATGTTTGTGGCAAGGGTTTGGTGGATGTTTGTGGCTAAAGTTTGGTGGATGTTTGTGGCTAAAGTTTGGTGGATGTTTGTGGCAAGGGTTAGGTGGATGTTTGTGGCAAGGGTTAGGTGGATGTTTGTGGCTAAAGTTTGGTGGATGTTTGTGGCTAAGGTTAGGTGGATGTTTGTGGCAAGGGTTAGGTGGATGTTTGTGGCAAGGGTTAGGTGGATGTTTGTGGCTAAAGTTTGGTGGATGTTTGTGGCTAAAGTTTGGTGGATGTTTGTGGCTAAAGTTTGGTGGATGTTTGTGGCTAAAGTTTGGTGGATGTTTGTGACAAGGGTTTGGTGGATGTTTGTGGCAAGGGTTAGGTGGATGTTTGTGGCTAAAGTTTGGTGGATGTTTGTGGCAAGGGTTTGGTGGATGTTTGTGGCAAGGGTTAGGTGGATGTTTGTGGCTAAGGTTAGGTGGATGTTTGTGGCTAAAGTTTGGTGGATGTTTGTGGCTAAGGTTAGGTGGATGTTTGTGGCAAGGGTTAGGTGGATGTTTGTGGCAAGGGTTAGGTGGATGTTTTTGGGTAAAGTTTGGTGGATGTTTGTGGCTAAAGTTTGGTGGATGTTTGTGGCTAAAGTTTGGTGGATGTTTGTGGCAAGGGTTTGGTGGATGTTTGTGGCTAAAGTTTGGTGGATGTTTGTGGCTAAAGTTTGGTGGATATTATATTGTGAGTGACCAGCTGTCAGAAATAATAGGGAGGGTAACGTGTTCAATGTATACAACATACGTACACGATTGGAAGGCTTATTACGTTTTTAAATAGCTGCCATTGTTTCATTCCTGAAACAAAGACGGTCCACAGTGAAGACTAGACAGTGTGGATCAAAACTGTAATGACAGCTAATCCAATACTTGGATGTTGATAGATCTCTCTCCCCCCCCCCCCCCCCACAGACACACACACACAACACAGTTACTGCTTCTATCGTCTGAAAGAAGCTTATTGAAGGTTCAGATCAAAGAAATCAGTGTCTAATCTCGTGTCAACAATTACCTGTTTGTCACAAGTCCAGGAATGTAAAAACAAGTACAGTTTTGTGTTGTTTTTAAAAAAATACTAACATAAGTAGCTCCAGTATGTCCCACAGAGTGAATGTACTAGTACAGTGTTTGAGGAGAGCCAACGTGTCAACACGGCCGCTTATGTTGTTCTACAACATTTAAAGGGCCGTTGTGTGGAGAAGCGGGCAACGGTAGACTGGTGCCAGCACCATGGCTAGGCACCACACCTAGGCTATAGTCTCATGTTTGCACCATGACTAGGCACCACACCTAGGCTATAGTCTCATGTTTGAAACAACGCCATTTACATTTGTTTCTACCAATGTCTCGAGGATCTGCCCCAGGAATCCGCCCATTGTTTCACATGCTGGCTACCTTGTTTCATCTGTTCTGGTTGAACTAAGTGTGGCTGCTGCTCCACAGTTCGCGGATCAATATCACTTGACTGACCACCTATCATATGCAGCCTTATTATGTATATAGATAAACTCAAATGTGGAGAAGGGAGAGCTGTATTTTCTTATATAAACATGAACTTTTTTTTATAACAAGTTAACAAAGACGCCGTTTGGTCCATGTGTAGGCTACGGGAAATAACTTTCTAAAGTAATAGTTTTTCAATAGATTTTATACTAAAGTATAAACATCCAGGTGAAAAAAAAAATGACGATATTGAGCATACATTGGAATAAGAATTTCACTATATATTTTCACTTTATATCCCAATAAAAATGTAGAAATTAACTGTAAAAATACATGTAGATAATTTTAAAAAACAAGTTAATAAAAAGTCTAGTGACAATTTAAGCACAATTTCCTTAATTAATTTTTTAGAATTCACAGACCTACGTAAAAATCCTTTCGAACCTCCGCTCATTCGCTATGGTAAAATCCTTTCGAACCTCAGCGCTTTGCGCTGAAAACCTACACGATGCTCAATTTAAATTAAAAATATCATCCTAGGCCTACACGATGCTCAGTTTAAAAATTCTTAATTATTTTTTTGTGACCGAACGAAACGATATTTTTGAAAACTTTCTTCGGCAATATTGTTCTTAATTATGGCAGGAATCGATTGGTAAATGTTTCAAGTCGCTAAGTGGTCTGGTTGCCGAGATATGGGCCAAAATTGCATTTTTTTCCTAGGTTTTTTTACTTTTCCGGGAAATCCAGGAAGGAATTCCGGGAATTTTTTTGGCCTATGTTCATCCTCGGAACTTGCTTAACATATTTGCTTTTGGAACTAGTCCTCGATATTGCTTCGTTGAGGAGGAGATACGACTTAAAGCTGCGGACACGCTGCAGACACACATCCATCCATCCGAAAATGACGAGTTAATAATCGCAATCCCCCAGTATGGAAATTGCGCTAAAAATTCTAATTACATTCCAGGTCGACGAGCATTTTAAAACAAAAGGAAACTAATTTAAGCGCTCCACATAACATCTAATGAACATTAATTAATCTTTGAAATTTTCAGGTTAAATTTGAATTAGAATTGGACGTTTTGTATAAATAAACAATTTTTAGTGAATAAAATATACATCATAAAAATAGGCCTGCTACATAACTATTTTAAACTGGAGACTTTATAGAAAGCAGCCCCCCCCCCCTCTCTCTCTTTCTCCAGAGCACGCTAATCGACATGTATGAAATAAGTGAAATAGAAAGAAATGTCTTGGTTATTATTGTTTGAAAAAATAATTTTACGTTTAAAATGTTGGTATTAAATTAGCATCAGTGCAAAGTGTAGTATTGGTTTAATGATTAGACAGCTGAATTAAAAGATTGTTAGGCAAATGTTTTTCTAAAACCTAAGTGAAGCGAGGCAGTATGCCTAGTTAATACATAGAAATGTTTTTCTAAAACCTAAGTGAAGCGAGGCAGTATGCCTAGTTAATACATAGTTCTCTTTGTTTGAACAGAGCAATGAGCATTAGCAGTCATTCAGTGACATCAAATTATTTTTTTTAAATAACCTAATAATTTTTTCCATACTAAGTGTAACTGTGCAACCATTTAAAATTTAAAATTATTATTTTTTAGTTAACACTCCCTCCCCTCTCCAGTAAAACGAATTCATGAGAAACGTGACCCGGGTTCTATACTTAGTGACGTGCCATCCTTCACTCTGTATGTCTGTGAGTGTGTGTTTAATTACTTAGCACACTGCTACCTTTTGTCATAGTTGTAACACTTTTTGTTTGTTTGTGTGTGTGTAAGTACGTGTGTGTGTAAAAAAAATAAGTAGGTACTAAAATGAGGATTTGAATAAGTTAGCAGACTGCTACCTTTTCTCATAGTTGTAAGATTTGTGTTGACATCACACCACTTGTCGACTGGTTGACTGGCTTGTCTCATCTCCATCTTGGCTGAATACTGCTGACACTGTTGACGTGTGTGTCGTCAGATACCTTGTTAGTTCATCTCTAATCGATAGCTCGCGGGTAGATACATGAGCCTGGCATTGTACGGGCACGAGACCAACCTGAAAACATTTCTAGCATTGTATGACCAACAGACGGCTAGGGGAGGGAGAGGAGGGGAGGAAGCGTACATTGATTATTTATGTGCCAATCGTTGTCTACATGCCCTACACGTGTAGGAGACTATGGATAGAAGTGGGTGAAGGGGATCACACACAATTCACCGCATGCTTGACTGTTTACGCTGGCCATAGTACCTACAGCTGTAGTGGTCTCTTAAAGCCAGAGGGTAGCATTCACCGTACCTACAGCTGTAGTGGTCTCTTAAAGCTGAAAAATGGCATTCATCGTACCTACAGCTGTAGTGGTCTCTTAAAGCTGAAAAATGGCATTCACCGTACCTACAGTTGTAGTGGTCTCTTAAAGCTGAAAAATGGCATTCATCGTACCTACAGCTGTAGTGGTCTCTTAAAGCTGAAAAATGGCATTCATCGTACCTACAGTTGTAGTGTTGTCTTACTATAAGCTGGTGAGATCTTACTAATAGCTAGAGAAGGACAAAGTTGAACTCACCTGAATGTGACGGCCAGCAGTAGGCGAGTGAGAGATGAAACGTTTGATCCACGCCTCACTTGACGGCTGGAACCAGATCTTCGTCTGCTGCTGGATCGCTGTGCTGTGCTGGTCCATGGGGGGGTCGCATCGATTTGTGCCTGAAGTGGGCGTGTTCTACTGCTATAGTGGGCATGTTCTACTGATGGCCAAAGTGGGCGTGTTCTATTGGTGGCCAAAGTGGGCGTGTTCTACTGGCGGCCAAAGTGGGCGTGTTCTACTGGCGGCCAAAGTGGGCGTGTTCTACTGGTGGCCAAAGTGGGCGTGTTCTACTGATGGCCAAAGTGGGCGTGTTCTACTGCTATAGTGGGCGTGTTCTACTGATGGCCAAAGTGGGCGTGTTCTACTGATGGCCAAAGTGGGCGTGTTCTACTGGCGGCCCCAAAGTGGGCGTGTTCTACTGGTGGCCAAAGTGGGCGAGTTCTACTGATGGCCAAAGTGGGCGTGTTCTACTGATGGCCAAAGTGGGCGTGTTCTACTGCTATAGTGGGCGTGTTCTACTGATGGCCAAAGTGGGCGTGTTCTACTGCTATAGTGGGCGTGTTCTACTGATGGCCAAAGTGGTCGTGTTCTACTGGTGGCCAAAGTGGGCGTGTTCTACTGATGGCCAAAGTGGGCGTGTTCTACTGGTGGCCAAAGTGGGCGTGTTCTACTGATGGCCAAAGTGGGCGTGTTCTACTGGTGGCCAAAGTGGGTGTGTTCTACTGATGGCCAAAGTGGGCATGTTCTACTGGCGGCCAAAGTGGGCGTGTTCTACTGGTGGCCAAAGTGGGCATGTTCTACTGGTGACTAAAGTGGACAGCCAGGTATAGGTTTGTCCATACACTTGTCTCTGGTGGGCTTGGTATACTTGTCTCACGTGGGCTTGGTATACTTGTCTCATGTGGGCTTGGTATACTTGTCTCACGTGGGCTTGGTATACTTGTCTCTGGTGGGCTTGGTATACTTGTCTCACGTGGGCTTGGTATACTTGTCTCTGGTGGGCTTGGTATACTTGTCTCTTGTGGGCTTGGTATACTTGTCTCACGTGGGCTTGGTATAATTGTCTCTGGTGGGCTTGGTATACTTGTCTCTGGTGGGCTTGGTATACTTGTCTCTGGTGGGCTTGGTATACTTGTCTCTGGTGGGCTTGGTATACTTGTCTCACGTGGGCTTGGTATACTTGTCTCACGTGGGCTTGGTATACTTGTCTCATGTGGGCTTGGTATACTTGTCTCATGTGGGCTTGGTATACTTGTCTCTGGTGGGCTTGGTATACTTGTCTCATGTGGGCTTGGTTTACTTGTCTCTGGTGGGCTTGGTATACTTGTCTCACGTGGGCTTGGCATACTTGTCTCACGTGGGCTTGGTATACTTGTCTCACGTGGGCTTGGTATACTTGTCTCACGTGGGCTTGGTATACTTGTCTCACGTGGGCTTGGTATACTTGTCTCACGTGGGCTTGGTATACTTGTCTCTGGTGGGCTTGGTATACTTGTCTCTGGTGGGCTTGGTATACTTGTCTCTGGTGGGCTTGGTATACTTGTCTCACGTGGGCTTGGTATACTTGTCTCTGGTGGGCTTGGTATACTTGTCTCTGGTGGGCTTGGTATACTTATCTCTGGTGGGCTTGGTATACTTGTCTCACGTGGGCTTGGTATACTTGTCTCTGGTGGGCTTGGTATACTTGTCTCTGGTGGGCTTGGTATACTTGTCTCTGGTGGGCTTGGTATACTTGTCTCTGGTGGGCTTGGTATACTTGTCTCTGGTGGGCTTGGTATACTTGTCTCTGGTGGGCTTGGTATACTTGTCTCTGGTGGGCTTGGTATACTTGTCTCATGTGGGCTTGGTTTACTTGTCTCTGGTGGGCTTGGTGCACTTTGAGAGGTATGTGCACACACATTTACCCAATACTCCAAGATCCTAGCTCTGAAAACAAACTCAAATAAATGTTCCAACATAAGACTGGTATGGGCAGCCATTGTTTGGCAGGTGATTAGTGCTAGTCTCACCATGAGGGTCCATCATTATTCAAGCTTGACTTAGTTAGCTGCTAGTCTTACCATGAGTTAGCTACTAGTCTCACCATGAGTTAGCTGCTAGTCTCACCATGAGTTAGCTACTAGTCTCACTATCAAGGTTCTCATGTTTATCTTACAGGCACCCAGCATGGACCTGCTGTATGGCAGAGCATCTGAGGCCGTGGAGGAAGACAGCTGTGAAGGTCAAGGCCAGAGCCCTGAACCTTCTCCATGTAGATATGTCAGACAGTGAGTATTAGCTGTTCAGGCAGGTGCTGACTTACATGACAGGTGCTGACTTACATGACAGGTGCTGACTTACATGGCAGGTGCTGACTTACATGGCAGGTGCTGACTTACATGGCATGTGCTGACTTACATGACAGGTGCTGACTTACATGGCAGGTGCTGACTTACATGGCAGGTGCTGACTTACATGGCAGGTGCTGACTTACATGACAGGTGCTGACTTACATGACAGGTGCTGACTTACATGACAGGTGCTGACTTACATGGCAGGTGCTGACTTACATGACAGGTGCTGACTTACATGACAGCTGCTGACTTACATGGCAGGTGCTGACTTACAAGGCAGGTGCTGACTTACATGGCAGGTGCTGACTTACATGACAGGTGCTGACTTACATGACAGGTGCTGACTTACATGGCAGGTGCTGACTTACATGACAGGTGTTTTAGATGACTGACTGACTGTACCAAACTGCCCATGTTACACATGACTGAATGACTGTACCAAAGTCTCCATGTTACACATGACTTTACCAAAGTCTCCATGTTACACATGACTTTACCAAAGTGTCCATGTTACACATGACTTTACCAAAGTGTCCATGTTACACATGACTTTACCAAACTGCCCATGTTACACATGACTGAATGACTGTACCAAAGTGTCCATGTTACACATGACTTTACCAAAGTCTCCATGTTACACATGACTTTACCAAAGTGTCCATGTTACACATGACTGAATGACTGTACCAAAGTGTCCATGATACACATGACTGAATGACTGTACCAAAGTGTCCATGTTACACATGACTGTACCAAAGTGTCCATGTTACAGGGCCCAAGTAACAGATGACTGTAACATCAATTTGATCAACCTGGATGGACACTTGTACCTGCTGTCTTCAGAGATCTCAAGCTTTTTCTTTGAAGAGGACATCATTAGTGCTAAGGTAGTGTTAGAGGACATTATCAGTGCTAAGGTAGTGTTAGAGGACATCATTAGTGCTAAGGTAGTGTTAGAGGACATCATTAGTGCTAAGGTAGTGTTAGAGGACATCATTAGTGCTAAGGTAGTGTTCACTTATCTTAGAGGACATCATTAGTGCTAAGGTAGTGTTAGAGGACATCATTAGTGCTAAGGTAGTGTTAGAGGACATCATTAGTGCTAAGGTAGTGTTCACTTATCTTAGAGGACATCATTAGTGCTAAGGTAGTGTTAGAGGACATCATTAGTGCTAAGGTAGTGTTAGAGGACATCATTAGTGCTAAGGTAGTGTTCACTATGAATGGAGTGAGGCCATGGTCAGGTTATGAATGGAGTGAGGCCATCACATGGTCAGGTTATGAATGGAGTGAGGCCATGGTCAGGTTATGAATGGAGTGAGGCCATCACATGGTCAGGTTATGAATGGAGTGAGGCCATCACATGGTCAGGTTATGAATGGAGTGAGGCCATCACATGGTCAGGTTATGAATGGAGTGAGGCCATGGTCAGGTTATGAATGGAGTGAGGCCATCACATGGTCAGGTTATGAATGGAGTGAGGCCATCACATGGTCAGGTTATGAATGGAGTGAGGCCATCACATGGTCAGGTTATGAATGGAGTGAGGCCATCACATGGTCAGGTTATGAATGGAGTGAGGCCATGGTCAGGCTATGAATGAAGTGAGGCCATCACATGGTCAGGTTATGAATGGAATGAGGCCATGGTCAGGTTATGAATGGAGTGAGACCAAGGTCAGGTTATGAATGGAGTGAGGCCATGGTCAGGTTATGAATGGAGTGAGGCCATGGTCAGGTTATGAATGGAGTGAGGCCATGGTCAGGTTATGAATGGAGTGAGGCCATCACATGGTCAGGTTATGAATGGAGTGAGGCCATGGTCAGGTTATGAATGGAATGAGGCCATGGTCAGGCTATGAATGGAGTGAGGCCATCACATGGTCAGGTTATGAATGGAGTGAGGCCATCACATGGTCAGGTTATGAATGGAGTGAGGCCATGGTCAGGCTATGAATGGAGTGAGACCATGGTCAGGTTATGAATGGTGAGGCCATGGTCAGGTTATGAATGGAGTGAGGCCATGGTCAGGTTATGAATGGAGTGAGGCCATGGTCAGGTTATGAATGGAGTGAGGCCATGGTCAGGTTATGAATGGAGTGAGGCCATCACATGGTCAGGTTATGAATGGAGTGAGGCCATGGTCAGGTTATGAATGGAGTGAGGCCATGGTCAGGCTATGAATGAAGTGAGGCCATCACATGGTCAGGTTATGAATGGAGTGAGGCCATGGTCAGGTTATGAATGGAGTGAGGCCATGGTCAGGTTATGAATGGAGTGAGGCCATCACATGGTCAGGTTATGAATGGAGTGAGGCCATGGTCAGGTTATGAATGGAGTGAGGCCATCACATGGTCAGGTTATGAATGGAGTGAGGCCATGGTCAGGTTATGAATGGAGTGAGGCCATGGTCAGGTTATGAATGGAGTGAGGCCATGGTCAGGTTATGAATGGAGTGAGGCCATCACATGGTCAGGTTATGAATGGAGTGAGGCCATGGTCAGGCTATGAATGGAGTGAGACCATGGTCAGGTTATGAATGGAGTGAGGCCATGGTCAGGTTATGAATGGAGTGAGGCCATGGTCAGGTTATGAATGGAGTGAGGCCATGGTCAGGTTATGAATGGAGTGAGGCCATGGTCAGGTTATGAATGGAGTGAGGCCATGGTCAGGTTATGAATGGAGTGAGGCCATGGTCAAGTTATGAATGGAGTGAGGCCATGGTCAGGTTATGAATGGAGTGAGGCCATGGTCAGGTTATGAATGGAGTGAGGCCATGGTCAGGTTATGAATGGAGTGAGGCCATGGTCAAGTTATGAATGGAGTGAGGCCATGGTCAGGTTATGAATGGAGTGAGGCCATGGTCAGGTTATGAATGGAGTGAGGCCATGGTCAGGTTATGAATGGAGTGAGGCCATGGTCAGGTTATGAATGGAGTGAGGCCATGGTCAGGTTATGAATGGAGTGAGGCCATCACATGGTCAGGTTATGAATGGAGTGAGGCCATGGTCAGGTTATGAATGGAGTGAGGCCATCACATGGTCAGGTTATGAATGGAGTGAGGCCATCACATGGTCAGGTTATGAATGGAGTGAGGCCATCACATGGTCAGGTTATGAATGGAGTGAGGCCATGGTCAGGCTATGAATGGAGTGAGGCCATGGTCAGGTTATGAATGGAGTGAGGCCATGGTCAGGCTATGAATGGAGTGAGGCCATCACATGGTCAGGTTATGAATGGAGTAAGGCCATGGTCAGGTTATGAATGGAGTGAGGCCATCACATGGTCAGGTTATGAATGGAGTGAGGCCATGGTCAGGTTATGAATGGAGTGAGGCCATGGTCAGGTTATGAATGGAGTGAGGCCATCACATGGTCAGGTTATGAATGGAGTGAGGCCATCACATGGTCAGGTTATGAATGGAGTGAGGCCATGGTCAGGTTATGAATGGAGTGAGGCCATCACATGGTCAGGTTATGAATGGAGTGAGGCCATGTTTAGGTTATGAATGGAGTGAGGCCATGGTCAGGTTATGAATGGAGTGAGGCCATCACATGGTCAGGTTATGAATGGAGTGAGGCCATGGTCAGGTTATGAATGGAGTGAGGCCATGGTCAGGTTATGAATGGAGTGAGGCCATGGTCAGGTTATGAATGGAGTGAGGCCATGGTCAGGTTATGAATGGAGTGAGGCCATCACATGGTCAGGTTATGAATGGAGTGAGGCCATCACATGGTCAGGTTATTCAGGTTATGAATGGAGTGAGGCCATGGTCAGGTTATGAATGGAGTGAGGCCATCACATGGTCAGGTTATGAATGGAGTGAGGCCATCACATGGTCAGGTTATGAATGGAGTGAGGCCATCACATGGTCAGGTTATGAATGGAGTGAGGCCATCACATGGTCAGGTTATGAATGGAGTGAGGCCATGGTCAGGCTATGAATGAAGTGAGGCCATCACATGGTCAGGTTATGAATGGAGTGAGGCCATGGTCAGGTTATGAATGGAGTGAGACCAAGGTCAGGTTATGAATGGAATGAGGCCATGGTCAGGTTATGAATGGAGTGAGACCATGGTCAGGTTATGAATGGAGTGAGGCCATGGTCAGGTTATGAATGGAGTGAGGCCATGGTCAGGTTATGAATGGAGTGAGGCCATGGTCAGGTTATGAATGGAGTGAGGCCATCACATGGTCAGGTTATGAATGGAGTGAGGCCATGGTCAGGCTATGAATGGAGTGAGGCCATCACATGGTCAGGTTATGAATGGAGTGAGGCCATCACATGGTCAGGTTATGAATGGAGTGAGGCCATCACATGGTCAGGTTATGAATGGAGTGAGGCCATGGTCAGGTTATGAATGGAGTGAGGCCATCACATGGTCAGGTTATGAATGGAGTGAGGCCATCACATGGTCAGGTTATGAATGGAGTGAGGCCATCACATGGTCAGGTTATGAATGGAGTGAGGCCATCACATGGTCAGGTTATGAATGGAGTGAGGCCATGGTCAGGCTATGAATGAAGTGAGGCCATCACATGGTCAGGTTATGAATGGAATGAGGCCATGGTCAGGTTATGAATGGAGTGAGACCAAGGTCAGGTTATGAATGGAGTGAGGCCATGGTCAGGTTATGAATGGAGTGAGGCCATGGTCAGGTTATGAATGGAGTGAGGCCATCACATGGTCAGGTTATGAATGGAGTGAGGCCATGGTCAGGCTATGAATGGAGTGAGGCCATGGTCAGGTTATGAATGGAGTGAGGCAATGGTCAGGTTATGAATGGTGAGGCCATGGTCAGGTTATGAATGGAGTGAGGCCATGGTCAGGTTATGAATGGAGTGAGGCCATGGTCAGGTTATGAATGGAGTGAGGCCATGGTCAGGTTATGAATGGAGTGAGGCCATGGTCAAGTTATGAATGGAGTGAGGCCATGGTCAGGTTATGAATGGAGTGAGGCCATGGTCAGGTTATGAATGGAGTGAGGCCATGGTCAGGTTATGAATGGAGTGAGGCCATGGTCAAGTTATGAATGGAGTGAGGCCATGGTCAGGTTATGAATGGAGTGAGGCCATGGTCAGGTTATGAATGGAGTGAGGCCATGGTCAAGTTATGAATGGAGTGAGGCCATGGTCAGGTTATGAATGGAGTGAGGCCATGGTCAGGTTATGAATGGAGTGAGGCCATCACATGGTCAGGTTATGAATGGAGTGAGGCCATGGTCAGGTTATGAATGGAGTGAGGCCATCACATGGTCAGGTTATGAATGGAGTGAGGCCATGGTCAGGTTATGAACGGAGTGAGGCCATCACATGGTCAGGTTATGAATGGAGTGAGGCCATGGTCAGGTTATGAATGGAGTGAGGCCATGGTCAGGTTATGAATGGAGTGAGGCCATCACATGGTCAGGTTATGAATGGAGTGAGGCCATGGTCAGGCTATGAATGGAGGCCATGGTCAGGCTATGAATGGAGTGAGGCCATGGTCAGGTTATGAATGGAGTGAGGCCATGGTCAGGTTATGAATGGAGTGAGGCCATGGTCAGGTTATGAATGGAGTGAGGCCATCACATGGTCAGGTTATGAATGGAGTGAGGCCATCACATGGTCAGGTTATGAATGGAGTGAGGCCATGGTCAGGTTATGAATGGAGTGAGGCCATCACATGGTCAGGTTATGAATGGAGTGAGGCCATGGTCAGGTTATGAATGGAGTGAGGCCATCACATGGTCAGGTTATGAATGGAGTGAGGCCATGGTCAGGTTATGAACGGAGTGAGGCCATCACATGGTCAGGTTATAAATGGAGTGAGGCCATGGTCAGGTTATGAATGGAGTGAGGCCATGGTCAGGTTATGAATGGAGTGAGGCCATCACATGGTCAGGTTATGAATGGAGTGAGGCCATGGTCAGGCTATGAATGGAGTGAGGCCATGGTCAGGTTATGAATGGAGTGAGGCCATGGTCAGGTTATGAATGGAGTGAGGCCATGGTCAGGTTATGAATGGAGTGAGGCCATCACATGGTCAGGTTATGAATGGAGTGAGGCCATCACATGGTCAGGTTATGAATGGAGTGAGGCCATCACATGGTCAGGTTATGAATGGAGTGAGGCCATGGTCAGGTTATGAATGGAGTGAGGCCATCACATGGTCAGGTTATGAATGGAGTGAGGCCATCACATGGTCAGGTTATGAATGGAGTGAGGCCATCACATGGTCAGGTTATGAATGGAGTGAGGCCATCACATGGTCAGGTTATGAATGGAGTGAGGCCATGGTCAGGCTATGAATGAAGTGAGGCCATCACATGGTCAGGTTATGAATGGAATGAGGCCATGGTCAGGTTATGAATGGAGTGAGACCAAGGTCAGGTTATGAATGGAGTGAGGCCATGGTCAGGTTATGAATGGAGTGAGGCCATGGTCAGGTTATGAATGGAGTGAGGCCATGGTCAGGTTATGAATGGAGTGAGGCCATGGTCAGGTTATGAATGGAGTGAGGCCATCACATGGTCAGGTTATGAATGGAGTGAGGCCATGGTCAGGTTATGAATGGAGTGAGGCCATGGTCAGGTTATGAATGGAGTGAGGCCATGGTCAGGTTATGAATGGAGTGAGGCCATGGTCAGGTTATGAATGGAGTGAGGCCATGGTCAGGTTATGAATGGAGTGAGGCCATGGTCAGGTTATGAATGGAGTGAGGCCATGGTCAGGTTATGAATGGAGTGAGGCCATGGTCAGGTTATGAATGGAGTGAGGCCATGGTCAGGTTATGAATGGAGTGAGGCCATGGTCAGGTTATGAATGGAGTGAGGCCATGGTCAAGTTATGAATGGAGTGAGGCCATGGTCAGGTTATGAATGGAGTGAGGCCATCACATGGTCAGGTTATGAATGGAGTGAGGCCATCACATGGTCAGGTTATGAATGGAGTGAGGCCATGGTCAGGTTATGAATGGAGTGAGGCCATCACATGGTCAGGTTATGAATGGAGTGAGGCCATGGTCAAGTTATGAATGGAGTGAGGCCATGGTCAGGTTATGAATGGAGTGAGGCCATGCCAATGAAAGCAACTCACTTTCTCCCCCAGCTGAAGAGTGCCAATGCTGATGTGCCTAAAGTGATAGTCAGCAGGCACAAGTACCCAGAACTCTTCAATGAACTCAGCATGTAAGTCACACTACTTGTTTTAGGGCACAACCATGAGTAAGATCCTTAGAATACACACACCTCCATCCATATAGCATTATTATTAACCCTCTGCTGCCTGATATGTATGTCAAAATGTACTCAATATGATTCAATCTATATATATATATATATATATATATATATATATATATATATATATATATATATATATATATAAAGCAGTGCATGTGTGTTTGTCTGTTTTTCTTTTATGCATTACTACACCTTTTATCCCATTGCCATGAAACTTTGGGAAGTTGTTGAGAATACTCCTGTGGTGATTTATACTGAAAAAAATTTCATATTTGCATAGGTGGCACCCTGGCCTGTCGTGATTAAAATAAAAGTTTGACACCGTTCATTCGATCGCCATAAAAAATTTGCGGTTGATAATAATTCTAAGTTTCTGCACACACAAAAACTATTCTTATTGGCAGCGCCTGGGAGGGTACACTTTTAGTCAAGTTTGGCGCCCAGAGTTCCAGAGTGGCTATCGTAGCACTTGGTATCTGTTAATCAAGCGTCCTGCATAGTGGGAAAGGGGTACTACTATATTTAGCGCTTAAAACAGATACAGCCACAGGCACCCTGTGATTGCGTATTCCAAAGCGCCTTGGGCTCCCCTGTGAGCACTATGGCGTCTGTTTTTCAAAAAGTCTATATTCTATAATCTGTCTGTTTTTCAAAAAGTCTATATTCTATAATCTGTCTGTTTTTCAAAAAGTCTATATTCTATAATATGTTTTTCAAAAAGTCTATATTCTATAATCTGTCTGTTTTTCAAAAAGTCTATATTCTATAATCTGTCTGTTTTTCAAAAAGTCTATATTCTATAATCTGTCTGTTTTTCAAAAAGTCTATATTCTATAATCTGTCTGTTTTTCAAAAAGTCTATATTCTATAATCTGTCTGTTTTTCAAAAAGTCTATATTCTATAATCTGTCTGTTTTTCAAAAAGTCTATATTCTATAATCTGTTTGTTTTTCAAATTCTGTTGCAGGTATGGTGTCAAGAGTGTTACAGAAGACAAAAAATTATTAAGTCTGTTTTCATTAACTGCGTAAGTGTGAATTTAACTTTAGATTAGCTACCATTTTCTTTTGATTTAGAAAGCACATGACAGTAAACATAATTTATCTTTCATACGAGAGTGACATGAATGATTGTTATAACTAATGTTAACCATTTGAAAGGGTGCCATTTATCATTGTTATGAGAGTGACATGAATGATTGTTATAACTAATGTTAACCATTTGAAAGGGTGCCATTTATCATTGTTATGAGAGTGACATGAATGATTGTTATAACTAATGTTAACCATTTGAAAGGGTGCCATTTATCATTGAACTCTATGGGAAGAATGCTGAACATGATGACCTCAAGTCCACGGTGCTAGAGATTCTTAATTGGTTTGACCCTGATGACCCTTACTGGAAGGTAGCTTAAGTAGACTTGTGTTTGTTGTAGAGAGGTGTTTGTTGACCCATGTTTGTGTTTGTAGAGAGGTGTTTGTTGACCCATGTTTGTAGAGAGGTGTTTGTTGACCCATGTTTGTAGCGAGGTGTTGTTGACCAGTGTTTGTAGAGTGTTTGTTGACCCATGTTTGTAGAGAGGTGTTTGTTGACCCATGTTTGTAGAGAGGTGTTTGTTGACCCATGTTTGTAGAGAGGTGTTTGTTGACCCATGTTTGTAGCGAGATGTTTGTTGACCTGTGTTTGAAGGGAGGTGTTTGTTGACCCATGTTTGTAGAGAGATGTTTGTTGACCCATGTTTGTAGAGAGATGTTTGTTGACCTGTGTTTAAAGGGAGGTGTTTGTTGACCCATGTTTGTAGCGAGATGTTTGTTGACCTGTGTTTGAAGGGAGGTGTTTGTTGACCCATGTTTGTAGAGAGATGTTTGTTGACCCATGTTTGTAGAGAGATGTTTGTTGACCTGTGTTTAAAGGGAGGTGTTTGTTGACCCATGTTTGTAGAGAGATGTTTGTTGACCTGTGTTTGAAGGGAGGTGTTTGTTGACCCATGTTTGTTGACCCATGTTTGTTGACCCATGTTTGTAGAGAGATGTTTGTTGACCCATGTTTGTAGAGAGGTGTTTGTTGACCCATGTTTGTTGACCCATGTTTGTTGACCCATGTTTGTAGAGAGATGTTTGTTGACCCATGTTTGTAGAGAGATGTTTGTTGACCCATGTTTGTAGAGAGATGTTTGTTGACCCATGTTTGTTGACCCATGTTTGTAGCGAGGTGTTTGTTGACCAGTGTTTGTAGAGTGTTTGTTGACCCATGTTTGTAGAGAGGTGTTTGTTGACCTGTGTTTGAAGGGAGGTGTTTGTTGACCTGTGTTTGAAGGGAGGTGTTTGTTGACCAGTGTTTGTGTTTGTAGGGAGGTGTTTGTTGACCAGTGTTTGTAGAGTGTTTGTTGACCCATGTTTGTAGAGAGGTGTTTGTTGACCTGTGTTTGAAGGGAGGTGTTTGTTGACCTGTGTTTGAAGGGAGGTGTTTGTTGACCAGTGTTTGTGTTTGTAGGGAGGTGTTTGTTGACCCATGTTTGTTGACCCATGTTTGTGTTTGTAGAGAGGTGTTTGTTGACCTGTGTGTAGAGAGGTGTTTGTTGACCCAAGTTTGTAGCGAGATGTTTGTTGACCTGTGTTTGTAGAGAGATGTTTGTTGACCCAAGTTTGTAGGGAGGTGTTTGTTGACCCATGTTTGTAGCGAGATGTTTGTTGACCTGTGTTTGTAGGGAGGTGTTTGTTGACCAGTGTTTGTAGAGAGATGTTTGTTGACCTGTGTTTGTGTTTGTAGGGAGGTGTTTGTTGACCTGTGTTTGTAGGGAGGTGTTTGTTGACTTGTGTTTGTAGAGAGATGTTTGTTGACCCATGTTTGTGTTTGTAGGGAGATGTTTGTTGACCCATTTTTGTGTATGTAGGGAGATGTTTGTTGACCCATGTTTGTGTTTGTAGGGAGATGTTTGTAGGGAGATGTTTGTTGACCCATGTTTGTAGAGAGATGTTTGTTGACCCATGTTTGTAGAGAGATGTTTGTTGACCCATGTTTGTAGAGAGATGTTTGTTGACCCATGTTTGTAGAGAGATGTTTGTTGACCCATGTTTGTAGAGAGATGTTTGTTGACCCATGTTTGTTGACCCATGTTTGTGTTTGTAGGGAGAAGATGATAACAGCTCTGTGACAACTCAGGAAGAAACTACTAGCGTAGTTGAGGACCCTGATGTGCCTGGCTTGGATGACCTTCAACTTGTGCTTAATTCTTTGAATATTAAACGGTAAGGTTGTTCATTTGGACCTTAGGAAAAATGGCTTAACTAGTCTTTATCCCCAGGTAACATAATGCTAGTCTTTACCCTTAGATAATGTATTGCTAGTCTTTACCCTCAGGAAATGTAATGCTAGTCTTTACCCTCCAGAAATGTAATGCTAGTCTTTACCCTCCAGAAATGTAATGCTAGTCTTTACCCTCCAGAAATGTAATGCTAGTCTTTACCCTCCAGAAATGTAATGCTAGTCTTTACCCTCAGGAAATGTAATGCTAGTCTTTACCCTTCAGAAATGTAATGCTAGTCTTTACCCTCCAGAAATGTAATGCTAGTCTTTACCCCCAGGAAACATAATGCTAGTCTTTACCCTCCAGAAATGTAATGCTAGTCTTTACCCCCCAGAAATGTAATGCTAGTCTTTACCCTCCAGAAATGTAATGCTAGTCTTTACCCCCCAGAAATGTAATGCTAGTCTTTACCCCCCAGAAATGTAATGCTAGTCTTTACCCTCAGGAAACGTATCCTGAACACAATGTTGACTGAGGTGCCTTGCTCGCCCCAGCATGTCAATGAGCTGAATGAGGTGGAATACAAAATCAAGAAAGTTCAAAATCTGATCAACAACTTAGGTAAATTTGGATTGGGTGGCTTTATGGCTGAGGATTGTATGGCTGGTAAATTGTTTGTAGACATGCCTACTGTCCCCCTAAAAGCCAAATTGTTTTGATTTGGATTGGTTGGCTGTATAGCTGGTGGATTGGTTGGCTGTATGGCTGGTGGATTGGTTGGCTGTATGGCTGGTGGATTGGTTGGCTCTATGCTGGTGGATTGGTTGGCTGTATGGCTGGTGGATTGGATGTCTGTATGGCTGGTGGATTGGTTGGCTGTATGGCTGGTGGATTGGTTGGCTGTATGGCTGGTGGATTGGTTGGCTGTATGGCTGGTGGATTGGTTGGCTGTATGGCTGGTGAATTGGTTGGCTGTATGGCTGGTGGATTGGTTGGCTGTATGGCTGGTGGATTGGTTGGCTGTATGGCTGGTGGATTGGTTGGCTGTATGGCTGGTGGATTGGTTGGCTGTATGGCTGGTGGATTGGTTGGCTGTATGGCTGGTGGATTGGTTGGCTGTATGGCTGGTGGATTGGTTGGCTGTATGGCTGGTGGATTGGTTGGCTACTGCATTGGTTGGCTGTATGGCTGGTGGATTGGTTGGCTGTATGGCTGGTGGATTGGTTGGCTGTATGGCTGGTGGATTGGTTGGCTTGTATGGCTGGTGGATTGGTTGGCTGTATGGCTGGTGGATTGGTTGGCTGTATGGCTGGTGGATTGGTTGGTATCTTGGATGGCTGTGTGGGGCTGGGTTTTGCCCAATGTGTTGTGATGAGTAGTTAGGTCAACTGGGTTTGTTGTGATGAGTAGTTGGGTCAACTGGGTTTGTTGTGATGAGTAGTTGGGTCAACTGGGTTTGTTGTGATGAGTAGTTGGGTCAACTGGGTTTGTTGTGATGAGTAGTTGGGTCAACTGGGTTTGTATGAGTAGTTGGGTCAACTGGGTTTGTATGAGAAGTTGGGTCAACTGGGTTTGTTGTGATGAGTAGTTGGGTCAACTGGGTTTGTATGAGTAGTTGGGTCAACTGGGTTTGTTGTGATGAGTAGTTGGGTCAACTGGGTTTGTTGTGATGAGTAGTTGGGTCAACTGGGTTTGTTGTGATGAGTAGTTGGGTCAACTGGGTTTGTTGTGATGAGTAGTTGGGTCAACTGGGTTTGTTGTGATGAGAAGTTGGGTCAACTGGGTTTGTATGAGTAGTTGGGTCAACTGGGTTTGTTGTGATGAGTAGTTGGGTCAACTGGGTTTGTTGTGATGAGTAGTTGGGTCAACTGGGTTTGTTGTGATGAGTAGTTGGGTCAACTGGGTTTGTTGTGATGAGTAGTTGGGTCAACTGGGTTTGTATGAGTAGTTGGGTCAACTGGGTTTGTATGAGAAGTTGGGTCAACTGGGTTTGTTGTGATGAGTAGTTGGGTCAACTGGGTTTGTTGTGATGAGAAGTTGGGTCAACTGGGTTTGTTGTGATGAGTAGTTGGGTCAACTGGGTTTGTATGAGTAGTTGGGTCAACTGGGTTTGTATGAGTAGTTGGGTCAACTGGGTTTGTTGTGATGAGTAGTTGGGTCAACTGGGTTTGTTGTGATGAGTAGTTGGGTCAACTGGGTTTGTTGTGATGAGTAGTTGGGTCAACTGGGTTTGTAGTGATGAGAAGTTGGGTCAACTGGGTTTGTTGTGATGAGTAGTTGGGTCAACTGGGTTTGTATGAGTAGTTGGGTCAACTGGGTTTGTTGTGATGAGTAGTTGGGTCAACTGGGTTTGTAGTGATGAGAAGTTGGGTCAACTGGGTTTGTAGTGATGAGTAGTTGGGTCAACTGGGTTTGTTGTGATGAGTAGTTGGGTCAACTGGGTTTGTATGAGTAGTTGGGTCAACTGGGTTTGTATGAGTAGTTGGGTCAACTGGGTTTGTTGTGATGAGTAGTTGGGTCAACTGGGTTTGTTGTGATGAGTAGTTGGGTCAACTGGGTTTGTATGAGTAGTTGGGTCAACTGGGTTTGTATGAGTAGTTGGGTCAACTGGGTTTGTTGTGATGAGTAGTTGGGTCAACTGGGTTTGTTGTGATGAGTAGTTGGGTCAACTGGGTTTGTTGTGATGAGTAGTTGGGTCAACTGGGTTTGTATGAGTAGTTGGGTCAACTGGGTTTGTATGAGTAGTTGGGTCAACTGGGTTTGTTGTGATGAGTAGTTGGGTCAACTGGGTTTGTTGTGATGAGTAGTTGGGTCAACTGGGTTTGTTGTGATGAGTAGTTGGGTCAACTGGGTTTGTTGTGATGAGTAGTTGGGTCAACTGGGTTTGTTGTGATGAGTAGTTGGGTCAACTGGGTTTGTATGAGTAGTTGGGTCAACTGGGTTTGTATGAGAAGTTGGGTCAACTGGGTTTGTATGAGTAGTTGGGTCAACTGGGTTTGTATGAGTAGTTGGGTCAACTGGGTTTGTTGTGATGAGAAGTTGGGTCAACTGGGTTTGTTGTGATGAGTAGTTGGGTCAACTGGGTTTGTATGAGTAGTTGGGTCAACTGGGTTTGTATGAGTAGTTGGGTCAACTGGGTTTGTTGTGATGAGAAGTTGGGTCAACTGGGTTTGTATGAGTAGTTGGGTCAACTGGGTTTGTTGTGATGAGAAGTTGGGTCAACTGGGTTTGTTGTGATGAGTAGTTGGGTCAACTGGGTTTGTATGAGTAGTTGGGTCAACTGGGTTTGTATGAGTAGTTGGGTCAACTGGGTTTGTTGTGATGAGTAGTTGGGTCAACTGGGTTTGTTGTGATGAGTAGTTGGGTCAACTGGGTTTGTTGTGATGAGTAGTTGGGTCAACTGGGTTTGTATGAGTAGTTGGGTCAACTGGGTTTGTTGTGATGAGTAGTTGGGTCAACTGGGTTTGTTGTGATGAGAAGTTGGGTCAACTGGGTTTGTATGAGTAGTTGGGTCAACTGGGTTTGTATGAGTAGTTGGGTCAACTGGGTTTGTTGTGATGAGTAGTTGGGTCAACTGGGTTTGTTGTGATGAGTAGTTGGGTCAACTGGGTTTGTATGAGTAGTTGGGTCAACTGGGTTTGTATGAGTAGTTGGGTCAACTGGGTTTGTATGAGTAGTTGGGTCAACTGGGTTTGTATGAGTAGTTGGGTCAACTGGGTTTGTTGTGATGAGTAGTTGGGTCAACTGGGTTTGTTGTGATGAGTAGTTGGGTCAACTGGGTTTGTTGTGATGAGTAGTTGGGTCAACTGGGTTTGTTGTGATGAGTAGTTGGGTCAACTGGGTTTGTTGTGATGAGTAGTTGGGTCAACTGGGTTTGTAGTGATGAGAAGTTGGGTCAACTGGGTTTGTATGAGTAGTTGGGTCAACTGGGTTTGTATGAGAAGTTGGGTCAACTGGGTTTGTATGAGTAGTTGGGTCAACTGGGTTTGTATGAGTAGTTGGGTCAACTGGGTTTGTATGAGTAGTTGGGTCAACTGGGTTTGTTGTGATGAGTAGTTGGGTCAACTGGGTTTGTTGTGATGAGTAGTTGGGTCAACTGGGTTTGTTGTGATGAGAAGTTGGGTCAACTGGGTTTGTATGAGTAGTTGGGTCAACTGGGTTTGTTGTGATGAGTAGTTGGGTCAACTGGGTTTGTAGTGATGAGAAGTTGGGTCAACTGGGTTTGTAGTGATGAGAAGTTGGGTCAACTGGGTTTGTATGAGTAGTTGGGTCAACTGGGTTTGTATGAGTAGTTGGGTCAACTGGGTTTGTATGAGTAGTTGGGTCAACTGGGTTTGTTGTGATGAGAAGTTGGGTCAACTGGGTTTGTTGTGATGAGAAGTTGGGTCAACTGGGTTTGTTGTGATGAGTAGTTGGGTCAACTGGGTTTGTTGTGATGAGTAGTTGGGTCAACTGGGTTTGTATGAGTAGTTGGGTCAACTGGGTTTGTATGAGTAGTTGGGTCAACTGGGTTTGTTGTGATGAGTAGTTGGGTCAACTGGGTTTGTATGAGTAGTTGGGTCAACTGGGTTTGTATGAGTAGTTGGGTCAACTGGGTTTGTTGTGATGAGTAGTTGGGTCAACTGGGTTTGTTGTGATGAGTAGTTGGGTCAACTGGGTTTGTTGTGATGAGTAGTTGGGTCAACTGGGTTTGTATGAGTAGTTGGGTCAACTGGGTTTGTTGTGATGAGTAGTTGGGTCAACTGGGTTTGTATGAGTAGTTGGGTCAACTGGGTTTGTATGAGAAGTTGGGTCAACTGGGTTTGTTGTGATGAGAAGTTGGGTCAACTGGGTTTGTTGTGATGAGTAGTTGGGTCAACTGGGTTTGTATGAGTAGTTGGGTCAACTGGGTTTGTATGAGAAGTTGGGTCAACTGGGTTTGTATGAGTAGTTGGGTCAACTGGGTTTGTATGAGTAGTTGGGTCAACTGGGTTTGTATGAGTAGTTGGGTCAACTGGGTTTGTTGTGATGAGTAGTTGGGTCAACTGGGTTTGTTGTGATGAGTAGTTGGGTCAACTGGGTTTGTTGTGATGAGAAGTTGGGTCAACTGGGTTTGTATGAGTAGTTGGGTCAACTGGGTTTGTTGTGATGAGTAGTTGGGTCAACTGGGTTTGTAGTGATGAGAAGTTGGGTCAACTGGGTTTGTAGTGATGAGAAGTTGGGTCAACTGGGTTTGTATGAGTAGTTGGGTCAACTGGGTTTGTATGAGTAGTTGGGTCAACTGGGTTTGTATGAGTAGTTGGGTCAACTGGGTTTGTTGTGATGAGAAGTTGGGTCAACTGGGTTTGTTGTGATGAGAAGTTGGGTCAACTGGGTTTGTTGTGATGAGTAGTTGGGTCAACTGGGTTTGTTGTGATGAGTAGTTGGGTCAACTGGGTTTGTATGAGTAGTTGGGTCAACTGGGTTTGTTGTGATGAGTAGTTGGGTCAACTGGGTTTGTATGAGTAGTTGGGTCAACTGGGTTTGTATGAGTAGTTGGGTCAACTGGGTTTGTTGTGATGAGTAGTTGGGTCAACTGGGTTTGTTGTGATGAGTAGTTGGGTCAACTGGGTTTGTTGTGATGAGTAGTTGGGTCAACTGGGTTTGTATGAGTAGTTGGGTCAACTGGGTTTGTATGAGTAGTTGGGTCAACTGGGTTTGTTGTGATGAGTAGTTGGGTCAACTGGGTTTGTTGTGATGAGTAGTTGGGTCAACTGGGTTTGTATGAGTAGTTGGGTCAACTGGGTTTGTATGAGTAGTTGGGTCAACTGGGTTTGTTGTGATGAGTAGTTGGGTCAACTGGGTTTGTATGAGTAGTTGGGTCAACTGGGTTTGTTGTGATGAGTAGTTGGGTCAACTGGGTTTGTTGTTATTGAACTTTTTTTTTTCAGACCAGACATCTCCAACCATTGGTAAACGTGAAACAACTGAACCATCATTAGTAAGTTTAGACTGACACCCTCTAACATTTTGTTATCATGTCCACAGTTGATTGAAAAAACCCAATGATGTCCAAACACTTTAGAATGTTGCACTTGAGTGACATTTATTATGTACATTGATAAGTTCAGCATTTATAAAGTTTATATAGACATTTATTATGTACATTGATAAGTTCAGCATTTATAAAGTTTATATAGACATTTATTATGTACATTGATAAGTTCAGCATTTATAAAGTTTATATAGACATTTATTATGTACATTGATAAGTTCAGCATTTATAAAGTTTATATAGACATTTATTATGTACATTGATAAGTTCAGCATTTATAAAGTTGATTCTTTACAGGAAAAACATTGAAGAGAATGGGCAATAGTTGTGTGAAAATAATTCTAGAAATAGATTTGTTTCACTGAAAAGTAAATAAGTTTTTTAGAGTACATTTCTCTTTTAATGTGCTGCACTTTTTGGCAATCAAAAAAATAATTCTGGAGGTGCTATCAGTAACATTTTGTTTTAGAAAAGATTGTCTGAAATTATGTGGCACTCTGTACATGTGTGCCTGTTGTACAGGGTGGCATAGGTTGAGTTGTCATGTCAAATAGTGGGATTATAGTTTGTCTGAGAATGTGCTGTGTGCAATGATTGATGTCTCTTTCAGCCATCTGTGGTGAGCACCCAGATGAAGTCGACCCAGAAAGTTGCCCCCATTGTCCAGAGCTCACAGAGCAGCCAGCCTGCAGGGTTAGACACATCTGTGCTGGTCCAGCAGCTGCTGCTGCACAGACTGATGATGGAGCAACTGGGCATGTCTAAAGATGTAAGTCACACACTCTTGGCTGCTTAACTCTGGGCTACTCTATGGCTCATTTCAGTTCACAAACAGCAATAGATGCTGTGTCCCATATAGTGGGCACTGGACTAGAACTGCTGCTGTGATTGATTTGTGTAGGTTGATTTCTAGTTGAATCTTTAAGCTGCACGGTCCGTTTCTTTCATTTCAGCCTGCCCTTATTCAAGCAGCCTTACCTGGGCTGCCTTTAGGACTTGGGTTAACCAACCATCCACTTCAGCAAGGGTTAACCAACCATCCACTTCAGCAAGGGTTAACCAACCATCCACTTCAGCAAGGGTTAACCAACCATCCACTTCAGCAAGGTTTAACTACCTTACAACAGAGCCATCTACAACAACAAGGCCTCAACACACTGGGTTCTTTGTCATCTTTAGGTACTTGAATGACAGTTGTTAGCAGTTCTAGTTTAGGTCAGACTTTACTGGAGGGTGTCAGGACTAACTTTTCTTTCCCACTCTGGTTCTAAATCAAGTCTAGCACTTGTCAATTATGGAACTGCATAGTTGGGTGGTAGAGCACATGACTGCTAATCCAGAGTACAAACTTGTTCAGATCCTGAGCTCAAGTCAGTAGAACTTTCCCTAGTCCACCCAGCTCTCATGAGTACAAACTTGTTCAGATCCTGAGCTTAAGTCAGTAGAACTTTCCCTAGTCCACCCAGCTCTCATGAGTACAAACTTGAATCATGCTAGGAGAGGTCATAGTGGCTGGACATTGTGCTGACCACACTATTCCTTCATATGGCAAGGTCACAGAAACAGGTGAATTCTACTTCACCTGGTCCATGGACCACCAGTGTAACTTGTGCTGATAAAATTTGTCATTGATACTCATGGTCACCCTTTACTTGTGTAGGTCAGTCCTGTCTTTATGTAGATGATGATCTTTGTGTTATTTATACTCAGGTCAGGCTATAATATGAGTTGAGCCATGTGTTGACCTTATGCCCCTAGGTCCCCTAGTGAGCCATGTGTTGACCTTATGCCCCAGGTCCCCTAGTGAGCCATGTGTTGACCTTATGTCCCCTAGTGAGCCATGTGTTGACCTTATGTCCCCTAGTGAGCCATGTGTTGACCTTATGCCCCAGGTCCCCTAGTGAGCCATGTGTTGACCTTATGCCCCTAGGTCCCCTAGTGAGCCATGTGTTGACCTTATGTCCCCTAGTGAGCCATGTGTTGACCTTATGCCCCCAGGTCCCCTAGTGAGCCATGTGTTGACCTTATGCCCCAGGTCCCCTAGTGAGCCATGTGTTGACCTTATGCCCCCTAGTGAGCCATGTGTTGACCTTATGCCCCCAGGTCCCCTAGTGAGCCATGTGTTGACCTTATGCCCCTAGGTCCCCTAGTGAGCCATGTGTTGACCTTATGTCCCCTAGTGAGCCATGTGTTGACCTTATGCCCCCAGGTCCCCTAGTGAGCCATGTGTTGACCTTATGCCCCTAGGTCCCCTAGTGAGCCATGTGTTGACCTTATGTCCCCTAGTGAGCCATGTGTTGACCTTATGCCCCCAGGTCCCCTAGTGAGCCATGTGTTGACCTTATGCCCCAGGTCCCCTAGTGAGCCATGTGTTGACCTTATGCCCCTAGGTCCCCTAGTGAGCCATGTGTTGACCTTATGTCCCCTAGTGAGCCGTGTGTTGACCTTATGCCCCTAGGTCCCCTAGTGAGCCATGTGTTGACCTTATGTCCCCTAGTGAGCCATGTGTTGACCTTATGCCCCCAGGTCCCCTAGTGAGCCATGTGTTGACCTTATGCCCTCAGGTCCCCTAGTGAGCCATGTGTTGACCTTATGCCCCCAGGTCCCCTAGTGAGCCATGTGTTGACCTTATGCCCTCAGGTCCCCTAGTGAGCCATGTGTTGACCTTATGCCCTCAGGTCCCCTAGTGAGCCATGTGTTGACCTTATGCCCCCTAGTGAGCCATGTGCTGACCTTATGCCCTCAGGTCCCCTAGTGAGCCATGTGTTGACCTTATGCCCCCAGGTCCCCTAGTGAGCCATGTGTTGACCTTATGTCCCCTAGTGAGCCATGTGTTGACCTTATGCCCCTAGTGAGCCATGTGTTGACCTTATGCCCCCTAGTGAGCCATGTGTTGACCTTATGCCCCCAGGTCCCCTAGTGAGCCATGTGTTGACCTTATGCCCCCTAGTGAGCCATGTGTTGACCTTATGCCCCCTAGTGAGCCATGTGTTGACCTTATGCCCTCAGGTCCCCTAGTGAGCCATGTGTTGACCTTATGCCCCCTAGTGAGCCATGTGTTGACCTTATGCCCCCAGGTCCCCTAGTGAGCCATGTACCTTATGCCCCCAAGTGAGCCATGTGTTGACCTTATGCCCCCTAGTGAGCCATGTGTTGACCTTATGTCCCCTAGTGAGCCATGTGTTGACCTTATGTCCCCTAGTGAGCCATGTGTTGACCTTATGCCCCCTAGTGAGCCATGTGTTGACCTTATGTCCCCCAGTTAGCCATGTGTTGACATTATGCCCCCTAGTGAGCCATGTGTTGACCTTATGCCCCCTAGTGAGCCATGTGTTGACCTTATGCCCCCAGGTCCCCTAGTGAGCCATGTGTTGACCTTATGTCCCCTAGTGAGCCATGTGTTGACCTTATGCCCCCAGGTGAGCCATGTGTTGACCTTATGCCCCTAGGTCCCCTAGTGAGCCATGTTTTGACCTTATGCCCCCTAGTGAGCCATGTGTTGACCTTATGCCCCCTAGTGAGCCATGTGTTGACCTTATGCCCCCAGGTCCCCTAGTGAGCCATGTGTTGACCTTATGCCCCCTAGTGAGCCATGTGTTGACCTTATGCCCCCTAGTGAGCCATGTGTTGACCTTATGCCCCCTAGTGAGCCATGTGTTGACCTTATGCCCCCTAGTGAGCCATGTGTTGACCTTATGCCCCCTAGTGAGCCATGTGTTGACCTTATGCCCTCAGGTCCCCTAGTGAGCCATGTGTTGACCTTATGCCCCCTAGTGAGCCATGTGTTGACCTTATGCCCCCTAGTGAGCCATGTGTTGACCTTATGTCCCCTAGTGAGCCATGTGTTGACCTTATGTCCCCTAGTGAGCCATGTGTTGACCTTATGCCCCCTAGTGAGCCATGTGTTGACCTTATGTCCCCCAGTGAGCCATGTGTTGACATTATGCCCCCTAGTGAGCCATGTGTTGACCTTATGCCCCCTAGTGAGTCATGTGTTGACCTTATGCCCCCAGGTCCCCTAGTGAGCCATGTGTTGACCTTATGTCCCCTAGTGAGCCATGTGTTGACCTTATGCCCCCAGGTGAGCCATGTGTTGACCTTATGCCCCTAGGTCCCCTAGTGAGCCATGTTTTGACCTTATGCCCCCTAGTGAGCCATGTGTTGACCTTATGCCCCCTAGTGAGCCATGTGTTGACCTTATGCCCCCAGGTCCCCTAGTGAGCCATGTGTTGACCTTATGCCCCCTAGTGAGCCATGTGTTGACCTTATGCCCCCTAGTGAGCCATGTGTTGACCTTATGCCCCCTAGTGAGCCATGTGTTGACCTTATGCCCCCTAGTGAGCCATGTGTTGACCTTATGCCCCTAAGTCCCCTAGTGAGCCATGTGTTGACCTTATGCCCCCCAAGTGAGCCATGTGTTGACCTTATGCCCTCTAGTGAGCCATGTGTTGACCTTATGCCCCCTAGTGAGCCATGTGTTGACCTTATGCCCTCAGGTCCCCTAGTGAGCCATGTGTTGACTTTATGCCCCCTAGTGAGCCATGTGTTGACCTTATGTCCCCTAGTGAGCCATGTGTTGACCTTATGCCCCCTAGTGAGCCATATGTTGACCTTATGCCCCCAGGTCCCCTAGTGAGCCATGTGTTGACCTTATGCCCCCTAGTGAGCCATGTGTTGACCTTATGCCCCCTAGTGAGCCATGTGTTGACCTTATGCCCTCAGGTCCCCAAGTGAGCCATGTGTTGACCTTATGCCCCCAAGTGAGCCATGTGTTGACCTTATGCCCCCTAGTGAGCCATGTGTTGACCTTATGCCCCCTAGTGAGCCATGTGTTGACCTTATGCCCTCAGGTCCCCAAGTGAGCCATGTGTTGACCTTATGCCCCCAAGTGAGCCATGTGTTGACCTTATGCCCCCTAGTGAGCCATGTGTTGACCTTATGCCCCCTAGTGAGCCATGTGTTGACCTTATGCCCCCTAGTGAGCCATGGGTTGACCTTATGCCCCCTAGTGAGCCATGTGTTGACCTTATGCCCCCTAGTGAGCCATGTGTTGACCTTATGCCCCCTAGTGAGCCATGTGTTGACCTTATGCCCCCTAGTGAGCCATGTGTTGACCTTATGCCCCCTAGTGAGCCATGTGTTGACTTTATGCCCCCAGGTCCCCTAGTGAGCCATGTGTTGACCTTATGCCCCCTAGTGAGCCATGTGTTGACCTTATGTCCCCTAGTGAGCCATGTGTTGACTTTATGCCCCCAGGTCCCCTAGTGAGCCATGTGTTGACCTTATGCCCCCAAGTGAGCCATGTGTTGACCTTATGCCCCCTAGTGAGCCATGTGTTGACCTTATGCCCCCTAGTGAGCCATGTGTTGACCTTATGCCCCCTAGTGAGCCATGGGTTGACCTTATGCCCCCTAGTGAGCCATGTGTTGACCTTATGCCCCCTAGTGAGCCATGTGTTGACCTTATGCCCCCTAGTGAGCCATGTGTTGACCTTATGCCCCCTAGTGAGCCATGTGTTGACCTTATGCCCCCTAGTGAGCCATGTGTTGACTTTATGCCCCCAGGTCCCCTAGTGAGCCATGTGTTGACCTTATGCCCCCTAGTGAGCCATGTGTTGACCTTATGTCCCCAGGTGCCCTAGGCCAACATCTACAGACCAGCTTGCTGCTCCAGTGCCAGAAAGAACAAGAGATCCAGGCCCTCAACTCCAGACTGGCAGCCCTAGGTCTGGCACCAGACCAGCAGCAAGTCTCCCCAATGCTGACTGACATGTTGTTACACAACAGGCTGGGCATGTTGCAGGAGCAGTGGCAGGCAGCAACTCTGAACAAATCAGATGGAAGCAAGCAAAAGGGCAAATAATCTCCCTTCTTGCTGTGGCAATATTAGTTTCGGTGATGGTGGCTGGTGCATGTCTTGTATATACGTTACTTCTTTGTTTAGACACACTGAGGCCACTTTGTGATTCAGCCATATTTTGGGCATTTTATTGAGAATAATTTGATTTGTTGGAGATCTTGAACTATTGTTTTGTTGATATTCCAATTAAAAATATGTAAAGAAAACGTGTGTTTTGGAATAAATTTATTATCCAATTGATAAACATTTACATTAAAAAAAACTGCTGTACAAGTTCCCAGTTTACTTGATCAATGAAAGCAGATGTACAAGTGCTGATTCCAATTCTGTCATCAGTGGCACAAAACCAGATGTTAGCCAACATGAGTGAATATAATTGGCAAACTACTGGGTCTGCTGCTTGAACCAGGACTGCGCCAAGCTAGTCTAGAACTATTCCACAACATTGCTCTGCTGTAAGAAAGTATCCATCATTGCAGACATGCTTTTTATGTCAGTGTCCAAAGATGCTATCTGAAATAAAAAGACCACATCAGAGACACAACAGCACATGAGTGAAACAAGAGAAAACAAAGAGACCAACTCTCCAAATTTAGACAGGTGTGTCTGCCCTGTGAACTCATCTGAGTGCTTGAGGTGTCTGCCTTAACTCACCTGAGTGTTTGAAGTGTGTCTGCCCTGTGAACTCACCTGAGTGTTTGAGGTGTCTGCCATAACTCACCTGAGTGTTTGAAGTGTGTCTGCCCTGTGAACTCACCTGAGTGTTTGAAGTGTGTCTGCCCTGTGAACTCACCTGAGTGTTTGAAGTGTGTCTGCCCTGTGAACTCACCTGAGTGTTTGAAGTGTGTCTGCCCTGTGAACTCACCTGAGTGTTTGAAGTGTGTCTGCCCTGTGAACTCACCTGAGTGTTTGAAGTGTGTCTGCCCTGTGAACTCACCTGAGTGTTTGAAGTGTGTCTGCCCTGTGAACTCACCTGTGTGTTTGAAGTGTGTCTGCCCTGTGAACTCACCTTACTTTGTAGCCTCAGTGCTTGAGGTGTGTCTCCCCTGTTTTTGGAGATGATTTTAACCAACTTTTCATGCACTTGACTTTTTTCATTCTCTAGTTTGAAGACTTTGTTTTTTAGCCGGTCCACTTCTTTAGCAATGTCTAGTGGACATCCCTGAAAATGTGTAAATAGTGGTCAATAACCAGATCATACCAGGATAGAACACATCTGTGATCATGAGTGTTAACCTTTCACATTAGTATAAAAACAATATTTCCTGTACATCTTCATAAAACATGATCATATAAATTATAAAATACCAATGTTTACTGATTTTTTATTAGAAAAAAAAATCACTAACATTGAAATAAAATTGTTAAAAATACCAATATTGTCATTGGAGCTATTATTGTTAACATTCAAAGTTTGATTCATTATCATAATCCTTTAAATTGGTTTTCATTTCATCAGCTAGACACCAGAAAGTTAATATACATTTTCCTTTAGTTGATTCATGTTCCAATTTAAAAATAAGTAACAGGCCAAGCCCTGCACTCAGTAGCGTAGCGAGGGGGGGCGCCAAATTGAAAGTTTGAGGGGGGGGGGGGTGCAAATGAAAAGTTCGACGGGGGACGGGGTGCAAATCAAAAATTTGCTCCCAAGGGGGCGCCAAATTGAAAGTATGTCCCCGGGCGCCGGGAAGGGTCGCTACGCCTCTGCCTGCACTGGCCTCTGTGAAAGACTATGTGTGAAGGACCATGACGTGTGTTTAGTAATCAGCATATACCTGGCATTGCCTACCCTAACCACAACAAACCAAAACACACACAAAAACAAAGCAAACAATCCAAACACAAAGTGCTCGCGGTCTAGCCCTAGTCGTCAAAAATCGCACCATGCTGGGGCGCCGGCAGAACCGCCTGTCTGAGCTTTCTAAACAACTCTAGTACCCCAACATATTCGTAGTTTTTTGCACTCACTTAAACAAACGTAGGTGCCATAGCAAACAATTATAATACTCCAAGCTTATCCACAAATGGAAAGAAGTAAACAGAGGACATTTAGGAGCTGACTTTTTAATTAACTGTTATTGATTTTAAAAAATAATTAGTAAACGGTATGTTCAGTGTATAAAATAAATAAAAGGCAGTATTTAAAATACCTACAACATTGCACTTGATCAATCCCCGCTAATTATGTAATTTTTTTTTTCCAACACCAAAACAACATAATAAAAAGTAAATTCCCCCCCCCCCCCCTAAATGTAAATAATTTTCAGACACAATTAAAATTTTTGTGAAAGGTGATACATTTTTAAAAATTTTTGTTTGATATACATACCGAAAATTATCATTTTAAGTTTGAAAAATGAAAATAGTTTTACAACACCTTCAATATTAATTTTTTAAATCATTAATTTAGACAATGAGCACTTTAAATGTATAACACTATGATGATGGAGTCTATTTTCTTCTTATATTCCTTTGGTGTCCGCAGTCACATACAGAATTGAGCTTTATCTATTAGATTCTGTGGGTCATCCTAGGGTGGTGTGGGGATTAGGGTGACGTCTTACATAAAGTCTTGTTAGGGATTATTATGTAACTGATGTGTACCTGTGAGGCAGTTAACTAGAGACAAGACGTGTCTAAGCTGTCTATAACTATAAAGTACCCAGGTGAAGTCAGAGAGAGAACTGTGGGTCACCTGGTTAGGCTGGTTAATGGGTCACCTGGTTAGACAGATGGGTCACCTGGTTAGGCTGATGGGTCACCCGGTTAGACTGATGGGTCACCTGGTTAGACTGATGGGTCACCTGTTTATACTGGTTGATGGGTCACCTGGTTAGACTGATGGGTCACCTGGTTAGGCTGGTTGATGGGTCACCTGGTTAGACTGGTTGATGGGTCACCTGGTTAGACTGGTTGATGGGTCACCTGGTTAGACTGGTTGATGGGTCACCTGGTTAGGCTGGTTGATGGGTCACCTGGTTAGACTGGTTGATGGGTCACCTGGTTAGGCTGGTTGATGGGTCACCTGGTTAGACTGGTTGATGGGTCACCTGGTTAGACTGATGGGTCACCTGGTTAGACTGATGGGTCACCTGGTTAGACTGATGTGTCACCTGGTTAGACTGGTTGATGGGTCACCTGGTTAGACTGGTTGATGGGTCACCTGGTTAGACTGTTGAACTTACCTTGAGGTCAACCAGCACACTGAGGTCGGGGGTCACAAAGACTGATGCACATCCCTGGAGAGGTGTGGCTGTTCCAACTAGTGTGACATGATCACTTCTAGACAACGCCTGCAGACAAGTTCCATGGTGGGCCAGAAGCTCAACATACTCCACACTGTCTGACTGGATGTACACTGTCAATAGGGAACATTGTCATTACAAGGGAACATTGTCTGACTGGATGTACACTGTCAACAGGGAACATTGTCATTACAAGGGAACATTGGCTGACTGGATGTACACTGTCAATAGGGAACATTGTCATTACAAGGGAACATTGTCTGACTGGATGTACACTGTCAACAGGGAACATTGTCATTACAAGGGAACATTGTCTGACTGGATGTACACTGTCAATAGGGAACATTGTCATTACAAGGGAACATTGGCTGACTGGATGTACACTGTCAATAGGGAACATTGTCATTACAAGGGAACATTGTCTGACTGGATGTACACTGTCAATAGGGAACATTGTCATTACAAGGGAACATTGGCTGTCTGGATGTACACTGTCAATAGGGAACATTGGCTGTCATTACAAGGGAACATTGGCTGTCTGGATGTACACTGTCAATAGGGAACATTGTCATTACAAGGGAACATTGGCTGTCATTACAAGGGAACATTGGCTGACTGGATGTACACTGTCAATAGGGAACATTGTCATTACAAGGGAACATTGGCTGTCATTACAAGGGAACATTGGCTGACTGGATGTACACTGTCAATAGGGAACATTGTCATTACAAGGGAACATTGGCTGACTGGATGTACACTGTCAATAGGGAACATTGGATGTCATTACATTTACAAGGGAACATTGTCTGACTGGATGTACACTGTCAATAGGGAACATTGTCATTACAAGGGAACATTGTCATTACAAGGGAACATTGGCTGTCATTACAAGGGAACATTGGCTGACTGGATGTACACTGTCAATAGGGAACATTGTCATTACAAGGGAACATTGGCTGTCACTACAAGGGAACATTGGCTGTCATTACAAGGGAACATTGGCTGACTGGATGTACACTGTCAATAGGGAACATTGGCTGTCATTACAAGGGAACATTGGCTGACTGGATGTACACTGTCAATAGGGAACATTGGCTGTCATTACAAGGGAACATTGGCTGTCATTACAAGGGAACATTGGCTGACTGGATGTACACTGTCAATAGGGAACATTGGCTGTCATTACAAGGGAACATTGGCTGTCATTACAAGGGAACATTGGCTGACTGGATGTACACTGTCAATAGGGAACATTGGCTGTCATTACAAGGGAACATTGGCTGACTGGATGTACACTGTCAATAGGGAACGGGAACATTGGCTGTCATTACAAGGGAACATTGTCATTACATGGAATGTTTCTGGGGAACATATGGATCGCCTGCCGTCAAACAAGAAACTCACTAGGCTGCTGAGTTTGTCAAATTTTTCTAACTCAACTTTTGGCACCAACATTTTTTAATCAGATTAGACAAGATGAGACTTACATTTAGACCTGGTGCCCATGTGACTTACATTTAGACCTGGTGCCCATGTGACTTACATTTAGACCTGGTGCCCATGTGACTTACATTTAGACCTGGTGCCCATGTGACTTACATCCTGGTGCCCATGTGACTTATATTTAGACCTGGTGCCCATGTGACTTACATTTAGACTTGGTGCCCATGTGACTTACATTTAGACCTGGTGCCCATGTGACTTATATTTAGACCTGGTGCCCATGTGACTTACATTTAGACCTGGTGCCCATGTGACTTACATTTAGACCTGGTGCCCATGTGACTTATATTTAGACCTGGTGCCCATGTGACTTACATTTAGACTTGGTGCCCATGTGACTTACATTTAGACCTGGTGCCCATGTGACTTACATTTAGACCTGGTGCCCATGTGACTTACATTTAGACCTGGTGCCCATGTGACTTACATTAGACCTGGTGCCCATGTGACTTACATTTAGACCTGGTGCCCATGTGACTTACATTTAGACCTGGTGCCCATGTGACTTACATTTAGACCTGGTGCCCATGTGACTTATATTTAGACCTGGTGCCCATGTGACTTACATTTAGACCTGGTGCCCATGTGACTTACATTTAGACCTGGTGCCCATGTGACTTATATTTAGACCTGGTGCCCATGTGACTTACATTTAGACCTGGTGCCCATGTGACTTACATTTAGACCTGGTGCCCATGTGACTTACATTTAGACCTGGTGCCCATGTGACTTACATTTAGACCTGGTGCCCATGTGACTTACATTTAGACCTGGTGCCCATGTGACTTACATCCTGGTGCCCATGTGACTTATATTTAGACCTGGTGCCCATGTGACTTACATTTAGACTTGGTGCCCATGTGACTTACATTTAGACCTGGTGCCCATGTGACTTATATTTAGACCTGGTGCCCATGTGACTTACATTTAGACTTGGTGCCCATGTGACTTACATTTAGACCTGGTGCCCATGTGACTTACATTTAGACCTGGTGCCCATGTGACTTACATTTAGACCTGGTGCCCATGTGACTTACATTTAGACCTGGTGCCCATGTGACTTATATTTAGACCTGGTGCCCATGTGACTTACATTTAGACCTGGTGCCCATGATGCTGTAATCTTTCCTCAGCCTGAGAGCGTGGTTGACAATTTCTTCAACTTTGGCCATTGATGTGTCCAGGTAACAGTTGTACCAGGTGAACTAAAGGTAAACAGAGCAGATGTATCAAACAACTTTAGGGCAGATGTATCAATTCTATTTATAACTGTTGGCCGTTTAATTTTCTATTTATAATTGCTGGCCATTTAATTTTCTATTTCTACCTACTGGATATTTAATGATCTATTTCTACCTGCTCTGGCTGTGGGTAAGGTGCCACACAAATACTCTCTGCCCTCCCCTGTCTGGCAGGCAGCCTTTGGAAAAGTTCCTCACACAGGAATGGCATGAAAGGTGCAGCAGCCAGTACAAAGGTCTCGGCACAATGATAGAGAATGTGTTGGACGGTCTCCTGATGTCTCACGTCTGCTCCATTAAACACTGGCTTTACTGCCTCCTGGGGAGGACAAGTCAGTGTGGGGTCAGATACAATCACACCACAAACCCAAGTCAGTGGGGGTCAGCCTGGGGTCAGATACAATCACACCACAAACCCAAGTCAGTGGGGGTCAGTGTGGGGTCAGATACAATCACACCACAAACCCAAGTCAGTGGGGGTCAGACACAATCACACCACAAACCCAAGTCAGTGGGGGTCAGCCTGGGGTCAGATACAATCACACCACAAACCCAAGTCAGTGGGGGTCAGCCTGGGGTCAGACACAACCACACCACAAACCCAAGTCAGTGGGGGTCAGACACAATCACACCACAAACCCAAGTCAGTGGGGGTCAGCCTGGGGTCAGACACACAATCACACCACACGCTGAATGATGACCCAACTGACCAGGTAAACGTCGCACACAACCACACCACACGCTGAATGATGACCCAACTAACCAGGTAAACGTCGCACACAACCACACCACACACTGAATGATGACCCAACTGACCAGGTAAACATCGCACACAACCACACCACACACTGAATGATGACCCAACTGACCAGGTAAACGTCGCACACAACCACACCACACGCTGAATGATGACCCAACTGACCAGGTAAACGTCGCACACAACCACACCACACGCTGAATGATGACCCAACTGACCAGGTAAACGTCGCACACAATCACACCACAAGCTGAATGATGACCCAACTGACCAGGTAAACGTCGCACACAACCACACCACACGCTGAATGATGACCCAACTAACCAGGTAAACGTCGCACACAACCACACCACACGCTGAATGATGACCCAACTGACCAGGTAAACGTCACACACAACCACACCAGACGCTGAATGATGACCCAACTAACCAGGTAAACGTCGCACACAACCACACCACACGCTGAATGATGACCCAACTGACCAGGTAAACGTTGCACACAACCACACCACAAGCTGAATGATGACCCAACTGACCAGGTAAACGTCACACACAACCACACCACACGCTGAATGATGACCCAACTGACCAGGTAAACGTCACACACAACCACACCAGACGCTGAATGATGACCCAACTGACCAGGTAAACGTCGCACACAACCACACCACACGCTGAATGATGACCCAACTGACCAGGTAAACGTCACACACAACCACACCAGACGCTGAATGATGACCCAACTAACCAGGTAAACGTCACACACAACCACACCAGACGCTGAATGATGACCCAACTGACCAGGTAAACGTCACACACAACCACACCAGACGCTGAATGATGACCCAACTGACCAGGTAAACGTCGCACACAACCACACCACACGCTGAATGATGACCCAACTGACCAGGTAAACGTCACACACAACCACACCAGACGCTGAATGATGACCCAACTAACCAGGTAAACGTCACACACAACCACACCAGACGCTGAATGATGACCCAACTGACCAGGTAAACGTCACACACAACCACACCACACGCTGAATGATGACCCAACTGACCAGGTAAACGTCGCACACAACCACACCACACGCTGAATGATGACCCAACTGACCAGGTAAACGTCGCACACAATCACACCACAAGCTGAATGATGACCCAACTGACCAGGTAAACGTCGCACACAACCACACCACACGCTGAATGATGACCCAACTGACCAGGTAAACGTCGCACACAACCACACCACACGCTGAATGATGACCCAACTGACCAGGTAAACGTCGCACACAACCACACCACACGCTGAATGATGACCCAACTGACCAGGTAAACGTCACACACAACCACACCAGACGCTGAATGATGACCCAACTGACCAGGTAAACGTCACACACAACCACACCACACGCTGAATGATGACCCAACTGACCAGGTAAACGTCACACACAACCACACCACACGCTGAATGATGACCCAACTGACCAGGTAAACGTCACACACAACCACACCACACGCTGAATGATGACCCAACTGACCAGGTAAACGTCACACACAACCACACCACACGCTGAATGATGACCCAACTGACCAGGTAAACGTCGCACACAACCACACCACACGCTGAATGATGACCCAACTGACCAGGTAAACGTCACACACAACCACACCACACGCTGAATGATGACCCAACTGACCAGGTAAACGTCGCACACAACCACACCACACGCTGAATGATGACCCAACTGACCAGGTAAACGTCGCACACAACCACACCACACACTGAATGATGACCCAACTGACCAGGTAAACGTCGCACACAACCACACCACACGCTGAATGATGACCCAACTGACCAGGTAAACGTCGCACACAACCACACCACACGCTGAATGATGACCCAACTGACCAGGTAAACGTCACACAATTCCTGGTACCAGAAGTACTGGAGAGCTCCAACAGCGTGATGAAGGTCATGTGACAGGAAGGAACTGTTGCAGACTTTGACCAGGTGACTCAGTCGACTCAAGACCCAGAGGTCAGTGCCGTCCTCCGCACCGGTCAGCTGTTGGCATACAAATGTCATGTCAGCTGTTGGCATACAAATGTCATGTCAGCTGTTGGCATACAAATGTCATGTCAGCTGTTGGCATACAAATGTCATGTCAGCTGTTGGCATACAAATGTCATGTCAGCTGTTGGCATACAAATGTCATGTCAGCTGTTGGCATACAAATGTCATGTCAGCTGTTGGCATACAAATGTCATGTCAGATGTTGACATAAAACAATGTCATAGACCAAGACTGACAAGTTTCTCCAACAAGTTTTTACCTAAAGAATTCCATTTGTCCATAACTAACCTCAAGTTGTCAATAACTAACCTCAAGTTGTCAATAACTAACCTCAAGTTGTCAATAACTAACCTCAAGTTTTCAATAACTAACCTCAAGTTTTCAATAACTAACCTCAAGTTTTCAATAACTAACCTCAAGTTGTCAATAACTAACCTCAAGTTGTCAATAACTAACCTCAAGTTTTCAATAACTAACCTCAATTTGTCCATAACTAACCTCAATTTGTCAATAACTAACCTCAAGTTTTCAATAACTAACCTCAATTTGTCAATAACTAACCTCAATTTGTCAATAACTAACCTCAAGTTTTCAATAACTAACCTCAAGTTGTCAATAACTAACCTCAAGTTGTCAATAACTAACCTCAAGTTGTCAATAACTAACCTCAAGTTGTCAATAACTAACCTCAAGTTGTCAATAACTAACCTCAAGTTGTCAATAACTAACCTCAAGTTGTCAATAACTAACCTCAAGTTATCAATAACTAACCTCAAGTTGTCAATAACTAACCTCAAGTTTTCAATAACTAACCTCAATTTGTCAATAACTAACCTCAAGTTTTCAATAACTAACCTCAAGTTGTCAATAACTAACCTCAAGTTGTCAATAACTAACCTCAAGTTATCAATAACTAACCTCAAGTTGTCAATAACTAACCTCAAGTTTTCAATAACTAACCTCAAGTTTTCAATAACTAACCTCAAGTTTTCAATAACTAACCTCAAGTTGTCAATAACTAACCTCAAGTTTTCAATAACTAACCTCAAGTTTTGGGGGCGAGGAGAAGTCCGCAGGCAGCTTAGAGAAAATAAACTTGAAAGACTGCCAGATCTTGTTGCAGAACCTCATCTTGCTTTCTGCGTTCATCACATCAAAGTTGACATTCATGTCTGGAACATAAAGTTGACATTCATGTCTGGAACATAAAGTTGACATTCATGTCTGGAACATAAAGTTGACATTCATGTCTGGAACATAAAGTTGACATTTACATCTAGAACATAAAGTTGACATTTACATCTAGAACATAAAGTTGACATTTACATCCAGAACATAAAGTTGACATTTACATCTAGAACACAAAGTTGACAATTACATCTAGAACACAAAGTTGACATTTACATCTAGAACATAAAGTTGACATTTACATCTAGAACACAAAGTTGACAATTACATCTAGAACATAAAGTTGACATTTACATCTAGAACATAAAGTTGACATTTACATCTAGAACACAAAGTTGACATTGATGTCTAGAACATAAAGTTGACAATTACATCTAGAACATAAAGTTGACATTTACATCTAGAACACAAAGTTGACATTTACATCTAGAACATAAAGTTGACATTGATGTCTAGAACATTAAGTCCTTGCATGACATTTGTTCTAACTTTTGAAGTTGTAGGAACAAAGAGTGAATCTGAGAGCATCAACCCCACAAGCTGCGATGCCATTTGGAAATTCTTTGCGCTGTCCTTCTCTAGCCACGCTCACCTCCCTGGGGTCAAAGTTACCATCTTCAAGACGTCGGTTCAAGGCCTAGACGAAACATCAGACCACACAATTAGAAACATCTACTCCAGTTTTTTATAATAAGATTTGATTTTCAAGAATGTATGGTAATACAAGTAACAATCATTTCCCTATGCTAGATGCATTTTATTTAGCATAACAAGATAAGGTTTAGTAAAAAAGTTTAGCTGTGAGAGTTCCGTCCCCTTACCTCGAGTGTGATTCCATGAACAACATCAAGAGGGTCGATGACATTTCCTAATGACTTGCTCATCTTGCGACCTTGGGAGTCTCTCACCATACCATGAAGGAGAATCTGAAAGTTCAAAGTTCAACATCTTTTCATTCAAATTAACACTCAAATTTATATATTTATGTTTTTTCAAAACAAGCTTTTACCTAATATTTAAAAACATCTTTCCACCTCATATAAACCCACTACCCACCTCATAAAAACCCACTACCCACCTCATAAAAACCCACTACCCACCTCATAAAAACCCACTACCCACCTCATAAAAACCCACTACCCACCTCATAAAAACCCATTAAAAACCCACTACCCACCTCATAAAAACCCACTACCAACCTCATAAAAACCCACTACCCACCTCATAAAAACCCACTACCCACCTCATAAAAACCCACTACCCACCTCATAAAAACCCATTAAAAACCCACTACCCACCTCATAAAAACCCACTACCAACCTCATAAAAACCCACTACCCACCTCATAAAAACCCACTACCCACCTCATAAAAACCCACTACCAACCTCATAAAAACCCACTACCCACCACATAAAACCCCACTACCCACCTCATAAAAACCCACTACCCACCTCATAAAAACCCACTACCAACCTCATAAAAACCCACTACCCACCACATAAAAACCCACTACCCACCACATAAAAACCCACTACCCACCACATAAAAACCCACTACCCACCACATAAAACCCACTACCCACCCACCTCATGAAATGGTAATTTCCCTGTAAGTTCTAAACTCATCATGACCATCCTGGCAACCCAGAAAAACATAATGTCCTGGCCAGTCTCCAACATCTGCTGAGGGAAATACTGCTCCAGATCCAGAGTCTGTGGATAGAAAATAAAATATCTGGAGTCTCTGGATAGTAAATAAAATATCTGGAGTCTGTGGGGAGAAAATAAAATATCTGGAGTCTGTGGATAGAAAATAAAATATCTGGAGTCTGTGGATAGAAAATAAAATATCTGGAGTCTGTGGGGAGAAAATAAAATATCTGGAGTCTTTGGATAGAAAATAAAATATCTGGAGTCTTTGAATAGAAAATAAAATATCTGGAGTCTGTGGATAGAAAATAAAATATCTGGAGTCTTTGAATAGAAAATAAAATATCTGGAGTCTGTGGATAGAAAATAAAATATCTGGAGTCTTTGGATAGAAAAAAAAATATCTGGAGTCTGTGGATAGAAAATAAAATATCTGGAGTCTGTGGATAGAAAATAAAATATCTGGAGTCTTTGAATAGAAAATAAAATATCTGGAGTCTGTGGATAGAAAATAAAATATCTGGAGTCTTTGGATAGAAAAAAAATATCTGGAGTTTTTGGATAGAAAATAAAATATCTGGAGTCTGTGGATAGAAAATAAAATATCTGGAGTCTGTGGATTGAAAATAAAATATCTGGAGTCTGTGGATAGAAAATAAAATATCTGGAGTCTGTGGGGAGAAAATAAAATATCTGGAGTCTTTGGATAGAAAATAAAATATCTGGAGTCTTTGAATAGAAAATAAAATATCTGGAGTCTGTGGATAGAAAATAAAATATCTGGAGTCTTTGAATAGAAAATAAAATATCTGGAGTCTTTAACCCTTTGAGCCCTGGCCTCCCTGGCCTAGTTTCTCCCATTTCCTGAGCTCCCAGGGCCAAATCAATTTTCACTTATCTGCTTCTAACTTTGCCTATAACTTTTGAACCGTTTGAGATAATCAAGCCAAATTTGGTATCCAGACTCAGGATCAAATAACAATGCAGCAAGATTCTGAAATTCTTTATTTGCTTACAATGTATGAACAGAACAATGTATATAAAATGAACACGTAATTATTGTTTTGATAGAACATAGAAGAAACAATTTACATTTAGTAATTGTTTTGTTATTATTGATACATGGCCATACTAGTTCATAGCCAGAAGTCCACTTTTGTGTGATAACTTTCAAAACAGTTATCACTGCCGGGCCCGATGCAAAGAAAAACTTCGCATGTTTTGCACCAGTAAACAGTTTTTTTTTCGTTTCGGCAAGTCTTTGTCCTTGGCACCACGTGCATCATAACGTACATTGTCACTGTCAATATCAATGTCACTGAGTTCAGTCTCAAATTCAACGTCACTATCATCACACTATAGACCAGGAATATTATCTTCTTCATCAGAATCAATAAGTAGTTGTATTGCCTGAGATGCAGTCATTCTACTTCTTTTGTTGATATTTCGGTCTTTTGCTTCATCTTTTGCACCAACTTTATATGCTGAAGTCGATGGCTGTGGATCAGCTTTTCGTTTCAGCGGCATTGCTACGAAATGTAAACACTTTCACTTTTCCTAAAATCTATTTTTAGAATCATAATCACGCACTAAAAAGACATATGCGCAGTTTTAGTCAGTCTTCTGCTAATTATATTTAATTAGACGGTATACCGGCCGCTAGGAATATGACGCTATTTCATCGGGCCGGAAAACCGGCTTTTCGGACATATATGCCTATTGTTGAAGCCGGTTTACCGGCCTGGCGGGCTCAAAGGGTTAATAGAAAAAAAGTTCAAAGGTTACCTGTTGGGGCCAGCCAAGGCTAGTAAAGGGCAGCAAGGAGGAGGAGAACCAGGTATCTAGAACATCTTCATCTAGAACAAACAGTAACATCTTTATCTAGAACAAACAGTAACATCTTCATCTAGAACAAACAATAACATCTTCATCTAGAACAAACAGTAACACCTTCATCTAGAACAGTAACATCTTCATCTAGAACAAACAGTAACATCTTCATCTAGAACAAACAGTAACATCTTCATCTAGAACAAACAGTAACATCTTCATCTAGAACAAACAGTAACATCTTCATCTAGAACAAACAGTAACATCTTCATCTAAAACAAACAATGACATCTTCATCTAGAACAAACAGTAACATCTTCATCTAGAACAAACAGTAACATCTTCATCTAGAACAAACAATAACACCTTCATCTAGAACAGTAACATCTTCATCTAGAACAAACAGTAACACCTTCATCTAGAACAGTAACATCTTCATCTAGAACAAACAGTAACATCTTCATCTAGAATTAACAGTAACATCATCTAGAACAAACAGTAACATCTTCATCTAGAACAAACAGTAACATCTTCATCTAAAACAAACAGTAACATCTTCATCTAAAACAAACAGTAACATCTTCATCTAGAACAAACAGTGACATCTTCATCTAAAACAAACAGTAACATCTTCATCTAGAACAAACAGTAACATCTTCATCTAGAATTAACAGTAACATCTTCATCTAGAACAAACAGTAACATCTTCATCTAGAACAAACAGTAACATCTTCATCTAAAACAAACAGTAACATCTTCATCTAAAACAAACAGTAACATCTTCATCTAGAACAAACAGTGACATCTTCATCTAAAACAAACAGTAACATCTTCATCTAGAACAAACAGTGACATCTTCATCTAGAACAAACAGTGACATCTTCATCTAGAACAAACAGTAACATCTTCATCTAGAACAAACAGTAACATCTTCATCTAGAACAAACAGTAACATCTTCATCTAAAACAAACAGTAACATCTTCATCTAGAACAAACAGTAACATCTTCATCTAGAACAAACAGTGACATCTTCATCTAAAACAAACAGTAACATCTTCATCTAGAACAAACAGTAACATCTTCATCTAGAACAAACAGTAACATCTTCATCTAGAACAAACAGTGACATCTTCATCTAGAACAAACAGTAACATCTTCATCTAGAACAAACAGTAACATCTTCATCTAGAACAAACAGTGACATCTTCATCTAGAACAAACAGTGACATCTTCATCTAGAACAAACAGTAACATCTTCATCTAGAACAAACAGTAACATCTTCATCTAGAACAAACAGTAACATCTTCATCTAGAACAAACAGTGACATCTTCATCTAAAACAAACAGTAACATCTTCATCTAGAACAAACAGTGACATCTTCATCTAGAACAAACAGTAACATCTTCATCTAGAACAAACAGTAACATCTTCATCTAGAACAAACAGTAACATCTTCATCTAGAACAAACAGTAACATCTTCATCTAAAACAAACAGTAACATCTTCATCTAAAACAAACAGTAACATCTTCATCTAGAACAAACAGTAACATCTTCATCTAGAACAAACAGTAACATCTTCATCTAGAACAAACAGTGACATCTTCATCTAGAACAAACAGTAACATCTTTATCTAGAACTAGATTTATTATCAACTACATTTATTATTGACTAGCTTTAATGTCAACTAGATTTACTGTCAAATTGATTTACTTTCAAATCAATTTACTGTCAAATAGATTTACAGTTAAATAAATTTACTATCAACTAGATTTATTATCAACTAGTCCAATTGATTAACACTTTAAACCAGGGGTCTCCAAACTACGGCCAGCAGGCCTAATGCGGCCCGCGAGGTCCTCTCATCCGGCCTGCTGAGATCTTTTTGTCCTCGGGAAAACATTTTTTGTTGGAGGTGGCTGAGCAACTTTGCCCAGAAAATTCAAAACAATTAGGAAATGTAGCTTTGTGTGCAAAACTTTTGCATCACAGTACCTTTCAAATTTTGGAACAACATACCTGTGTAAACAAAAATTTTCAAGATTGAAATACGTGAAGAACAATTTGTATATATTTGAGGGAGGGGGTGGGGGTGGGGGGGGGTTAGACATTCGCCACCCCGAAGAGATGCATGGAAGAAACTCTGGCCCCCGAACTTATATTTGATAGTTAATGCGGCCCTCAGGGAAGAAAAGTTTGGAGACCCCTGCTTTAACCAAACAATCTAGTGTGACTTTGTCAAATATTTGACCTACCTTGAGTAACGGATGAAGAATTGAGTTTTTTCTTGGCCTCTTCTTCTGACATGGCACACGTTCTTTGTTTGCTGGCCTATGGACACATTTCAGGATCAAACAATTCTATATACCTAATAATCTGGTTTTGTGAAAGTGGTGACTTGGTTTTGTGCAAGTGGTGACCTGGTTTTGTGAAAGTGGTGACCTGGTTTTGTGAAAGTGGTGACCTGGTTTTGTGAAAGTGGTGACCTGGTTTTGTGAAAGTGGTGACCTGGTTTTGTGAAAGTGGTGACCTGGTTTTGTGAAAGTGGTGACCTGGTTTTGTGAAAGTGGTGACCTGGTTTTGTGCAAGTGGTGACCTGTGAGAAACTTACTGTGCAGGTGTAGACAGGTATCCTGTGAGAAACTTACTGTGCAGGTGTAGACAGGTATCCTGTGAGAAACTTACTGTGCAGGTGTAGACAGGTATCCTGTGAGAAACTTACTGTGCAGGTGTAGACAGGTATCCTGTGAGAAACTTACTGTGCAGGTGTAGACAGGTATCCTGTGAGAAACTTACTGTGCAGGTGTAGACAGGTATCCTGTGAGAAACTTACTGTGCAGGTGTAGACAGGTATCCTGTGAGAAACTTACTGTGCAGGTGTAGACAGGTATCCTGTGAGAAACTTACTGTGCAGGTGTAGACAGGTATCCTGTGAGAAACTTACTGTGCAGGTGTAGACAGGTATCCTGTGAGAAACTTACTGTGCAGGTGTAGACAGGTATCCTGTGAGAAACTTACTGTGCAGGTGTAGACAGGTATCCTGTGAGAAACTTACTGTGCAGGTGTAGACAGGTATCCTGTGAGAAACTTACTGTGCAGGTGTAGACAGGTATCCTGTGAGAAACTTACTGTGCAGGTGTAGACAGGTATCCTGTGAGAAACTTACTGTGCAGGTGTAGACAGGTATCCTGTGAGAAACTTACTGTGCAGGTGTAGACAGGTATCCTGTGAGAAACTTACTGTGCAGGTGTAGACAGGTATCCTGTGAGAAACTTACTGTGCAGGTGTAGACAGGTATCCTGTGAGAAACTTACTGTGCAGGTGTAGACAGGTATCCTGTGAGAAACTTACTGTGCAGGTGTAGACAGGTATCCTGTGAGAAACTTACTGTGCAGGTGTAGACAGGTATCCTGTGAGAAACTTACTGTGCAGGTGTAGACAGGTATCCTGTGAGAAACTTACTGTGCAGGTGTAGACAGGTATCCTGTGAGAAACTTACTGTGCAGGTGTAGACAGGTATCCTGTGAGAAACTTACTGTGCAGGTGTAGACAGGTATCCTGTGAGAAACTTACTGTGCAGGTGTAGACAGGTATCCTGTGAGAAACTTACTGTGCAGGTGTAGACAGGTATCCTGTGAGAAACTTACTGTGCAGGTGTAGACAGGTATCCTGTGAGAAACTTACTGTGCAGGTGTAGACAGGTATCCTGTGAGAAACTTACTGTGCAGGTGTAGACAGGTATCCTGTGAGAAACTTACTGTGCAGGTGTAGACAGGTATCCTGTGAGAAACTTACTGTGCAGGTGTAGACAGGTATCCTGTGAGAAACTTACTGTGCAGGTGTAGACAGGTATCCTGTGAGAAACTTACTGTGCAGGTGTAGACAGGTATCCTGTGAGAAACTTACTGTGCAGGTGTAGACAGGTATCCTGTGAGAAACTTACTGTGCAGGTGTAGACAGGTATCCTGTGTCCCCACCAAAGTTGTCTGGACAAGCACCAGTCCCTGGTAGATACACAAGGTCAACATTACGCCAGGTGGTCAGTCAACATTACACCAGGTGGTCAGTCAACATTACGCCAGGTGGTCAGTCAACATTACACCAGGTGGTCAGTCAACATTACACCAGGTGGTCAGTCAACATTACACCAGATGGTCAGTCAACTTTACGCCAGGTGGTCAGTCAACATTACACCAGGTGGTCAGTCAACATTACACCAGATGGTCAGTCAACTTTACGCCAGGTGGTCAGTCAACATTACACCAGGTGGTCAGTCAACATTACACCAGGTGGTCAGTCAACATTACACCAGGTGGTCAGTCAACATTACACCAGGTGGTCAGTCAACATTACACCAGGTGGTCAGTCAACATTACACCAGGTGGTCAGTCAACTTTACGCCAGGTGGTCAGTCAACATTACACCAGGTGGTCAGTCAACATTACACCAGATGGTCAGTCAACATTACACCAGGTGGTCAGTCAACATTACACCAGGTGGTCAGTCAACATTACAGTAATGTGGTCAGTCAACATTACACCAGGTGGTCAGTCAACATTACACCAGGTGGTCAGTCAACATTACACCAGGTGGTCAGTCAACATTACACCAGGTGGTCAGTCAACATTACACCAGGTGGTCAGTCAACATTACAGTAATGTGGTCAGTCAACATTACAGTAATGTGGTCAGTCAACATTACACCAGGTGGTCAGTCAACATTACACCAGGTGGTCAGTCAACATTACACCAGGTGGTCAGTCAACATTACACCAGGTGGTCAGTCAACATTACACCAGGTGGTCAGTCAACATTACACCAGGTGGTCAGTCAACATTACAGTAATGTGGTCAGTCAACATTACACCAGGTGGTCAGTCAACATTACACCAGGTGGTCAGTCAACATTACACCAGGTGGTCAGTCAACATTACACCAGGTGGTCAGTCAACATTACACCAGGTGGTCAGTCAACATTACAGTAATGTGGTCAGTCAACATTACACCAGGTGGTCAGTCAACATTACACCAGGTGGTCAGTCAACATTACACCAGGTGGTCAGTCAACATTACACCAGGTGGTCAGTCAACATTACACCAGGTGGTCAGTCAACATTACAGTAATGTGGTCAGTCAACATTACACCAGGTGGTCAGTCAACATTACACCAGGTGGTCAGTCAACATTACACCAGGTGGTCAGTCAACATTACACCAGGTGGTCAGTCAACATTACACCAGGTGGTCAGTCAACATTACACCAGGTGGTCAGTCAACATTACACCAGGTGGTCAGTCAACATTACACCAGGTGGTCAGTCAACATTACACCAGGTGGTCAGTCAACATTACACCAGGTGGTCAGTCAACATTACACCAGGTGGTCAGTCAACATTACACCAGGTGGTCAGTCAACATTACACCAGGTGGTCAGTCAACATTACACCAGGTGGTCAGTCAACTTTACGCCAGGTGGTCAGTCAACATTACACCAGGTGGTCAGTCAACATTACACCAGGTGGTCAGTCAACATTACACCAGGTGGTCAGTCAACATTACACCAGGTGGTCAGTCAACATTACACCAGGTGGTCAGTCAACATTACACCAGATGGTCAGTCAACATTTCACCAGGTGGTCAGTCAACATTAGGTGTAAGTAAGTATCTTACACACAGATTTATAAATAACTACAAAAAATATTGCATACCAAGTTAGACCTTTTACTACACATACAGTTAGACCAGGGGTCTCCAAACTACGGCCCGCTGGCCAAATGCGGCCCGCGAGGTCCTCTCATCCGGCCCGCGATCTTTTTTGTCCACGGAAAAAAACGTTTGCTGGTGATGGCTGAGGAACTTTGCCTAGAAAAATTAAAGACACGCCTGGAAGAAACTGGCCCCCGAACTGAAATTTGATAGTTAATGTGGCCCTCAGACTGAAAGGTTTGGAGACCCCTGAGTTAGACTATTCATTAAAATAAATTTTCTAGTATTAAATTTTTTTCAAATAGAATAAAATCGCATTGATAAAATAATTGTTCAACAAATGAATGCAAACAATATGTGCCTAATAGAGCAAAATCTTAATGGTTTAATAAGAAAACCTTGATTAAATTAATTTTAAAAGATTAAGTAAACATCTCACATAGTTTTGTTAAGAAACTCTGACCAAATGGCTTTGTTGTAGTCTGGGAAAATCTTCAGCTGCTTCGACTCCACAACCTGAGGGAAAGGACATTGGTTTTAGTGACAGTTGACTACCTGTACACTTGTGGCAGTAATTAGATTACCTGTACACTTGTGGAAGTAATTAGATTACCTGTACACACGTAGCAACAATTAGCTTACCTGTACACATGTGGCAGTAATTAACTTACCTGTATAGCCCTCTGTGACAAGCTCCTACAGTCCAGAAACCACTGATCTTTTAGTCTTGGCTCAACAATATCTCCTGATCGACTAAAGAAATCATACAATGATTAGAGCACACAAGAAACTTTTGGCTCAACAATATCTCCTGATCGACTAAAGAAATCATACAATGATTAGAGCACACAAGAAACTTTTGGCTCAACAATATCTCCTGATCGACTAAAGAAATCATACAATGATTAGAGCACACAAGACACTTTTGGCTCAACAATATCTCCTGATCGACTAAAGAAATCATACAATGATTAGAGCACACAAGAAACTTTTGGCTCAACAATATCTCCTGATCGACTAAAGAAATCATACAATGATTAGAGCACACAAGAAACTTTTGGCTCAACAATATCTCCTGATCGACTAAAGAAATCATACAATGATTAGAGCACACAAGAAACTTTTGGCTCAACAATATCTCCTGATCGACTAAAGAAATCATTCAATGATTAGAGCACACAAGAAACTTTTTAATGCAGCTATTTTTAAACCTTAACAGCATAGACAACCTCAAATATAAACATACAAAAACTTGACCCCTCTCACATACCTACATACAGAAATTTTAGCGTGACCCCTCTCACATACCTACATACAGGAATTGTTGTAGCGTGACCACTGACATACCTACATACAGGAATTGTTGTAGCGTGACCACTGACATACCTACATACAGGAATTGTTGTAGCGTGACCACTGACATACCTACATACAGGAATCGTTGTAGCGTGACCACTGACATACCTACATACAGGAATATTAGCGTGACCCCTCTCACATACCTACATACAGGAATTGTTGTAGCGTGACCCCTCTCACATACCTACATACAGGAATTGTTGTAGCGTGACCACTGACATACCTACATACAGGAATTGTTGTAGCGTGACCACTGACATACCTACATACAGGAATTGTTGTAGCGTGACCCCTCTCACATACCTACATACAGAAATATTAGCGTGACCCCTCTCACATACCTACATACAGGAATTGTTGTAGCGTGACCACTGACATACCCACATACAGGAATTGTTGTAGCGTGACCCCTCTCACATACCTACATACAGGAATTGTTGTAGCGTGACCACTGACATACCTACATACAGAAATTGTTGTAGCGTGACCACTCTCACATACCTACATACAGGAATTGTTGTAGCGTGACCACTCTCACATACCTACATACAGGAATTGTTGTAGCGTGACCCCTCTCACATACCTACATACAGGAATTGTTGTAGCGTGTCCACTGACATACCTACATACAGGAATTGTTGTAGCGTGACCCCTCTCACATACCTACATACAGGAATCGTTGTAGCGTGACCCCTCTCACATACCTACATACAGGAATCGTTGTAGCGTGACCACTGACATACCTACATACAGAAATATTAGCGTGACCCCTCTCACATACCTACATACAGGAATTGTTGTAGCGTGACCACTAACATACCTACATACAGGAATTGTTGTAGCGTGACCCCTCTCACATACCTACATACAGGAATTGTTGTAGCGTGACCCCTCTCACATACCTACATACAGGAATTGTTGTAGCGTGACCACTGACATACCTACATACAGAAATTGTTGTAGCGTGACCACTGACATACCTACATACAGGAATTGTTGTAGCGTGACCACTGACATACCTACATACAGGAATTGTTGTAGCGTGACCCCTCTCACATACCTACATACAGGAATTGTTGTAGCGTGACCACTGACATACCTACATACAGGAATTGTTGTAGCGTGACCACTGACATACCTACATACAGAAATATTAGCGTGATCACTGACATACCTACATACAGGAATTGTTGTAGCGTGACCACTGACATACCTACATACAGGAATTGTTGTAGCGTGACCCCTCTCACATACCTACATACAGAAATTGTTGTAGCGTTCCCACTGACATACCTACATACAGGAATTGTTGTAGCGTGTCCACTGACATACCTACATACAGGAATTGTTGTAGCGTGACCACTGACATACCTACATACAGGAATCGTTGTAGCGTGACCTGTGACATACCTACATACAGGAATTGTTGTAGCGTGACCACTGACATACCTACATACAGGAATTGTTGTAGCGTGACCACTGACATACCTACATACAGGAATCGTTGTAGCGTGACCCCTCTCACATACCTACATACAGAAATTGTTGTAGCGTGACCACTGACATACCTACATACAGGAATTGTTGTAGCGTGACCCCTCTCACATACCTACATACAGGAATTGTTGTAGCGTGGCCACTCTCACATACCTACATACAGGAATCGTTGTAGCGTGACCCCTCTCACATACCTACATACAGAAATTGTTGTAGCGTGACCACTGACATACCTACATACAGGAATCGTTGTAGCATGACCACTGACATACCTACATACAGGAATTGTTGTAGCGTGACCTGTGACATACCTACATACAGGAATTGTTGTAGCGTGACCACTGACATACCTACATACAGGAATCGTTGTAGCGTGACCCCTCTCACATACCTACATACAGAAATTGTTGTAGCATGACCCCTCTCACATACCCACATACAGGAATTGTTGTAGCGTGACCCCTCTCACATACCTACATACAGGAATTGTTGTAGCGTGACCACTGACATACCTACATACAGGAATTGTTGTAGCGTGACCACTGACATACCTACATACAGGAATCGTTGTAGCGTGACCCCTCTCACATACCTACATACAGGAATTGTTGTAGCGTGACCACTCTCACATACCTACATACAGGAATTGTTGTAGCGTGACCCCTCTCACATACCTACATACAGAAATTGTTGTAGCGTGGTCACTGACATACCTACATACAGGAATTGTTGTAGCGTGACCCTTCTCACATACCTACATACAGGAATTGTTGTAGCGTGACCACTGACATACCTACATACAGAAATATTAGCGTGACCCCTCTCACATACCTACATACAGGAATTGTTGTAGCGTGACCACTGACATACCTACATACAGGAATTGTTGTAGCGTGACCCCTCTCACATACCTACATACAGGAATTGTTGTAGCGTGACCACTGACATACCTACATACAGAAATATTAGCGTGACCCCTCTCACATACCTACATACAGGGATTGTTGTAGCGTGATCCCTCTCACATACCTACATACAGGAATCGTTGTAGCGTGACCACTGACATACCTACATACAGGAATTGTTGTAGCGTGACCACTGACATACCTACATACAGGAATTGTTGTAGCGTGACCACTAACATACCTACATACAGGAATTGTTGTAGCGTGACCACTCTCACATACCTACATACAGGAATTGTTGTAGCGTGACCCCTCTCACATACCTACATACAGAAATTGTTGTAGCGTGACCACTGACATACCTACATACAGGAATTGTTGTAGCGTGACCACTGACATACCTACATACAGGAATTGTTGTAGCGTGACCCCTCTCACATACCTACATACAGAAATTGTTGTAGCGTGGTCACTGACATACCTACATACAGAAATTGTTGTAGCGTGACCACTGACATACCTACATACAGGAATTGTTGTAGCGTGACCCCTCTCACATACCTACATACAGAAATTGTTGTAGCGTGACCACTGACATACCTACATACAGGAATCGTTGTAGCGTGACCCCACTCACATACCTACATACAGGAATCGTTGTAGCGTGACCACTCTGACCGCAATAGAGTCCCAACACAGACAGAGCCTCTTTGATTGTCTGACGAGCTAGAAATCTGTTTTGTCCACCAACCAGAGGTAATCCCATCTTTACAGTGCCGTCATCATTGAACATGTCAATGTCAGGTAGATTATGACGTCTGCCAACTTCATAATCCACTGGGTCATGACCAGGGGTAATTTTAACAGCACCTGTGACAGCAAAGTGACTAAAGGTTATTGACCTGTCCAATATTTCTCACTAAAATCATTGACCTGTCCAATATTTCTCACATTGACCTGTCCAATATTTCTCACATTGACCTGTCCAATATTTCTCACAAAAATCATTGACCTGTCCAATATTTCTCACAAAAATCATTGACCTGTCCAATATTTCTCACAAAAATCATTGACCTGTCCAATATTTCTCACAAAAAACATTGACCTGTCCAATATTTCTCACTAAAATCATTGACCTGTCCAATATTTCTCACTAAAATCATTGACCTGTCCAATATTTCTCACATTGACCTGTCCAATATTTCTCACATTGACCTGTCCAATATTTCTCACATTGACCTGTCCAATATTTCTCACATTGACCTGTCCAATATTTCTCACAAAAATCATTGACCTGTCCAATATTTCTCACAAAAATCATTGACCTGTCCAATATTTCTCACAAAAATCATTGACCTGTCCAATATTTCTCACAAAAAACATTGACCTGTCCAATATTTCTCACAAAAAACATTGACCTGTCCAATATTTCTCACATTGACCTGTCCAATATTTCTCACATTGACCTGTCCAATATTTCTCACATTGACCTGTCCAATATTTCTCACAAAAATCATTGACCTGTCCAATATTTCTCACAAAAATCATTGACCTGTCCAATATTTCTCACAAAAATCATTGACCTGTCCAATATTTCTCACAAAAATCATTGACCTGTCCAATATTTCTCACAAAAATCATTGACCTGTCCAATATTTCTCACAAAAAACATTGACCTGTCCAATATTTCTCACTAAAATCATTGACCTGTCCAATATTTCTCACTAAAATCATTGACCTGTCCAATATTTCTCACATTGACCTGTCCAATATTTCTCACATTGACCTGTCCAATATTTCTCACATTGACCTGTCCAATATTTCTCACATTGACCTGTCCAATATTTCTCACAAAAATCATTGACCTGTCCAATATTTCTCACAAAAATCATTGACCTGTCCAATATTTCTCACAAAAATCATTGACCTGTCCAATATTTCTCACAAAAAACATTGACCTGTCCAATATTTCTCACAAAAAACATTGACCTGTCCAATATTTCTCACATTGACCTGTCCAATATTTCTCACATTGACCTGTCCAATATTTCTCACATTGACCTGTCCAATATTTCTCACATTGACCTGTCCAATATTTCTCACAAAAATCATTGACCTGTCCAATATTTCTCACAAAAATCATTGACCTGTCCAATATTTCTCACAAAAAACATTGACCTGTCCAATATTTCTCACAAAAATCATTGACCTGTCCAATATTTCTCACAAAAAACATTGACCTGTCCAATATTTCTCACAAAAATCATTGACCTGTCCAATATTTCTCACTAAAATCATTGACCTGTCCAATATTTCTCACTAAAATCATTGACCTGTCCAATATTTCTCACATTGACCTGTCCAATATTTCTCACATTGACCTGTCCAATATTTCTCACATTGACCTGTCCAATATTTCTCACATTGACCTGTCCAATATTTCTCACAAAAATCATTGACCTGTCCAATATTTCTCACAAAAATCATTGACCTGTCCAATATTTCTCACAAAAATCATTGACCTGTCCAATATTTCTCACAAAAAACATTGACCTGTCCAATATTTCTCACAAAAAACATTGACCTGTCCAATATTTCTCACATTGACCTGTCCAATATTTCTCACATTGACCTGTCCAATATTTCTCACATTGACCTGTCCAATATTTCTCACATTGACCTGTCCAATATTTCTCACAAAAATCATTGACCTGTCCAATATTTCTCACAAAAATCATTGACCTGTCCAATATTTCTCACAAAAATCATTGACCTGTCCAATATTTCTCACAAAAAACATTGACCTGTCCAATATTTCTCACAAAAAACATTGACCTGTCCAATATTTCTCACAAAAATCATTGACCTGTCCAATATTTCTCACAAAAAACATTGACCTGTCCAATATTTCTCACAAAAATCATTGACCTGTCCAATATTTCTCACAAAAAACATTGACCTGTCCAATATTTCTCACAAAAATCATTGACCTGTCCAATATTTCTCACAAAAAACATTGACCTGTCCAATATTTCTCACAAAAAACATTGACCTGTCCAATATTTCTCACAAAAAACATTGACCTGTCCAATATTTCTCACAAAAAACATTGACCTGTCCAATATTTCTCACAAAAAACATTGACCTGTCCAATATTTCTCACAAAAAACATTGACCTGTCCAATATTTCTCACAAAAATCATTGACCTGTCCAATATTTCTCACATTGACCTGTCCAATATTTCTCACTAAAATCATTGACCTGTCCAATATTTCTCACTAAAATCATTGACCTGTCCAATATTTCTCACATTGACCTGTCCAATATTTCTCACATTGACCTGTCCAATATTTCTCACATTGACCTGTCCAATATTTCTCACATTGACCTGTCCAATATTTCTCACAAAAATCATTGACCTGTCCAATATTTCTCACAAAAATCATTGACCTGTCCAATATTTCTCACAAAAATCATTGACCTGTCCAATATTTCTCACAAAAAACATTGACCTGTCCAATATTTCTCACAAAAAACATTGACCTGTCCAATATTTCTCACATTGACCTGTCCAATATTTCTCACATTGACCTGTCCAATATTTCTCACATTGACCTGTCCAATATTTCTCACATTGACCTGTCCAATATTTCTCACAAAAATCATTGACCTGTCCAATATTTCTCACAAAAATCATTGACCTGTCCAATATTTCTCACAAAAATCATTGACCTGTCCAATATTTCTCACAAAAAACATTGACCTGTCCAATATTTCTCACAAAAAACATTGACCTGTCCAATATTTCTCACAAAAATCATTGACCTGTCCAATATTTCTCACAAAAAACATTGACCTGTCCAATATTTCTCACAAAAATCATTGACCTGTCCAATATTTCTCACAAAAAACATTGACCTGTCCAATATTTCTCACAAAAATCATTGACCTGTCCAATATTTCTCACAAAAAACATTGACCTGTCCAATATTTCTCACAAAAAACATTGACCTGTCCAATATTTCTCACAAAAAACATTGACCTGTCCAATATTTCTCACAAAAAACATTGACCTGTCCAATATTTCTCACAAAAAACATTGACCTGTCCAATATTTCTCACAAAAAACATTGACCTGTCCAATATTTCTCACAAAAATCATTGACCTGTCCAATATTTCTCACATTGACCTGTCCAATATTTCTCACATTGACCTGTCCAATATTTCTCACATTGACCTGTCCAATATTTCTCACAAAAATCATTGACCTGTCCAATATTTCTCACAAAAATCATTGACCTGTCCAATATTTCTCACAAAAATCATTGACCTGTCCAATATTTCTCACAAAAAACATTGACCTGTCCAATATTTCTCACAAAAAACATTGACCTGTCCAATATTTCTCACAAAAATCATTGACCTGTCCAATATTTCTCACAAAAAACATTGACCTGTCCAATATTTCTCACAAAAATCATTGACCTGTCCAATATTTCTCACAAAAAACATTGACCTGTCCAATATTTCTCACAAAAATCATTGACCTGTCCAATATTTCTCACAAAAAACATTGACCTGTCCAATATTTCTCACAAAAAACATTGACCTGTCCAATATTTCTCACAAAAAACATTGACCTGTCCAATATTTCTCACAAAAAACATTGACCTGTCCAATATTTCTCACAAAAAACATTGACCTGTCCAATATTTCTCACAAAAACATTGACCTGTCCAATATTTCTCACAAAAAACATTGACCTGTCCAATATTTCTCACAAAAAACATTGACCTGTCCAATATTTCTCACAAAAAACATTGACCTGTCCAATATTTCTCACAAAAAACATTGACCTGTCCAATATTTCTCACAAAAAACATTGACCTGTCCAATATTTCTCACAAAAATCATTGACCTGTCCAATATTTCTCACAAAAATCATTGACCTGTCCAATATTTCTCACAAAAATCATTGACCTGTCCAATATTTCTCACAAAAATCATTGACCTGTCCAATATTTCTCACAAAAATCATTGACCTGTCCAATATTTCTCACAAAAATCATTGACCTGTCCAATATTTCTCACAAAAATCATTGACCTGTCCAATATTTCTCACAAAAATCATTGACCTGTCCAATATTTCTCACAAAAATCATTGACCTGTCCAATATTTCTCACAAAAATCATTGACCTGTCCAATATTTCTCACAAAAAACATTGACCTGTCCAATATTTCTCACTAAAATCATTGACCTATCCAATATTTCTCACAAAAAACATTGACCTGTCCAATATTTCTCACTAAAATCATTGACCTGTCCAATATTTCTCACTAAAATCATTGACCTGTCCAATATTTCTCACAAAAAACATTGACCTGTCCAATATTTCTCACTAAAATCATTGACCTGTCCAATATTTCTCACTAAAATCATTGACCTGTCCAATATTTCTCACAAAAATCATTGACCTGTCCAATATTTCTCACTAAAATCATTGACCTGTCCAATATTTCTCACTAAAATCATTGACCTGTCCAATATTTCTCACAAAAATCATTGACCTGTCCAATATTTCTCACAAAAATCATTGACCTGTCCAATATTTCTCACAAAAATCATTGACCTGTCCAATATTTCTCACAAAAATCATTGACCTGTCCAATATTTCTCACAAAAAACATTGACCTGTCCAATATTTCTCACAAAAATCATTGACCTGTCCATGACCAACTATTGACCTGTCCATGACCAACTATTGACCTGTCCATGACCAACCATTTACCTGTCCATGACCAACCATTTACCTGTCCCAAAATTCATGTCCACAAAAGAGTCGGCTATGACAGGGATGAGTCTATCTTTGACCAAAGGGTGGACCAACCTCCTCCCAATCAGATGAGTGAAGCGGCCATCTGCGGGGTTCACGGCCACAGCTGTGTCGGCCAACATGGTTTCAAGTCTACTGGTGGCCACCACTAGCCGCTCCTCTGGTTAAAACATCAGATTACAACATCAGCTAACCGGTTAAAACATCAGATTACAACATCAACTAACCGGTTAAAACATCAGATTACATCAACTAACTGGTTAAAACATCAGATTACAACATCAACTAACTTGTTAAAACATCACATTACAACATCAGCTAACCGGTTAAAACATCAGATTACAACATCAACTAAATCTATAGGTGAAAGAATAAAATAACTTCCAACCTGAGTCAGCTACAGGGTAGGCAAAGTGGGCTAAGACACCCACCTCAACACCCCCCTCCACGCCTGGAACTTTGAGCACTGTTGGCCCTTCAACTGTCACATTGTCAACCTAATAGATGTCAACATGGAAGAAAGGGAAGTAAAGAGATGAGACAAAACAATGCTGATGTGGTAGTGTTAACAAAACAATGTGGTAGTGTTCACAAAACAATGTGGTTGTGGTAGTGTTCACAAAACAATGCTGATGTGGTAGTGTTCACAAAACAATGTGGTAGTGTTCACAAAACAATGTGGTTGTGGTAGTGTTCTGACCTGATCAATGATTCCTCACCTCAATATCAGAGAGAGATGACCTTAATGCACTAGACCAGTTGATCATTCGCTTGTCTCTATAGATTAGCCCTTTGTCATAGAGGATACAAAAGGCTTGTGTAACTGCTGAGTTTAAGGCCTGGTGATCAAACATAGAAGATACAAAAGTGTAACTGCTGAGTTTAAGGCCTGATGATCAAACATAGAGCATACAAAAGGCTTGTGTAACTGCTGAGTTTAAGGCTTGGTGATCATACAGACAAAGGTGACAGTTGGGGGGCCTGTATAGACTAAAACACAAACAACAAATCTACAACTGGCTGTAGCTTTAGCACTTACCTCATCCATTGTAAAATATTCTTTTGACCAATCAAGAGACATGCCCAAAGTTTTCAATTGCTGACTGATGACGTGGCCATGCCTGGTGAGTGATGAACAGAAAATGTTTCAAATAGAATTCACCTAGGGATATGTTCAACAAAAAATCTGGCACTATTTTCTTGAGGTGGCAACTTTACCAACCAGGTGGCAACTTTACCAACCAGGTGGCAACTTTACCAACCAGGTGGCAACTTTACCAACCAGGTGGCAACTTTACCAACCAGGTGGCAACTTTACCAACCAGGTGGCAACTTTACCAACCAGGTGGCAACTTTACCAACCAGGTGGCAACTTTACCAACCAGGTGGCAACTTTACCAACCAGGTGGCAGCTTTACCAACCAGGTGGCAGCTTTACCAACCAGGTGGCAACTTTACCAACCAGGTGGCAACTTTACCAACCAGGTGGCAACTTTACCAACCAGGTGGCAACTTTACCAACCAGGTGGCAACTTTACCAACCAGGTGGCAACTTTACCAACCAGGTGGCAACTTTACCAACCAGGTGGCAACTTTACCAACCAGGTGGCAACTTTACCAACCAGGTGGCAACTTTACCAACCAGGTGGCAACTTTACCAACCAGGTGGCAACTTTACCAACCAGGTGGCAACTTTACCAACCAGGTGGCAACTTTACCAACCAGGTGGCAACTTTACCAACCAGGTGGCAACTTTACCAACCAGGTGGCAACTTTACCAACCAGGTGGCAACTTTACCAACCAGGTGGCAACTTTACCAACCAGGTGGCAACTTTACCAACCAGGTGGCAGCTTTACCAACCAGGTGGCAGCTTTACCAACCAGGTGGCAACTTTGCCAACCAGGTGGCAGCTTTACCAACCAGGTGGCAGCTTTACCAACCAGGTGGCAACTTTACCAACCAGGTGGCAACTTTACCAACCAGGTGGCAACTTTACCAACCAGGTGGCAACTTTACCAACCAGGTGGCAACTTTACCAACCAGGTGGCAACTTTATCAACCAGGTGGCAACTTTACCAACCAGGTGGCAACTTTACCAACCAGGTGGCAACTTTACCAACCAGGTGGCAACTTTACCAACCAGGTGGCAACTTTACCAACCAGGTGGCAACTTTACCAACCAGGTGGCAACTTTACCAACCAGGTGGCAACTTTACCAACCAGGTGGCAGCTTTACCAACCAGGTGGCAGCTTTACCAACCAGGTGGCAACTTTGCCAACCAGGTGGCAACTTTACCAACCAGGTGGCAGCTTTACCAACCAGGTGGCAACTTTACCAACCAGGTGGCAACTTTACCAACCAGGTGGCAACTTTACCAACCAGGTGGCAACTTTACCAACCAGGTGGCAACTTTACCAACCAGGTGGCAACTTTACCAACCAGGTGGCAACTTTACCAACCAGGTGGCAACTTTACCAACCAGGTGGCAGCTTTACCAACCAGGTGGCAACTTTACCAACCAGGTGGCAACTTTACCAACCAGGTGGCAGCTTTACCAACCAGGTGGCAACTTTACCAACCAGCTGGCAACTTTACCAACCAGGTGGCAACTTTACCAACCAGGTGGCAACTTTACCAACCAGGTGGCAACTTTACCAACCAGGTGGCAACTTTACCAACCAGGTGGCAACTTTACCAACCAGGTGGCAACTTTACCAACCAGGTGGCAGCTTTACCAACCAGGTGGCAACTTTACCAACCAGGTGGCAACTTTACCAACCAGGTGGCAACTTTACCAACCAGGTGGCAGCTCGCACTTCAGTTAGTGAGCGTTATCTTTACCGTTCCTTCCACTTCCAGATCTCCTGGAGAAACTTTTCCCGTCCTATATCATGCCTGCTTTTCCCAGTCTCTCTTAAAAGTTTTCTCTCTACGACTGCGTGAGTTGCGATGCCAGCGTGGTCAGTTCCTGGTATCCAGAGTGTCTTGTGGCCTGCAGGTTTTTAGGACAAGTTGGTCATTCACTAGTGTCAGTGTCAATTGTGTCAGTGTCAATAGTGTCAGTGTCAATTGTGTCAGTGTCACTAGTTTTAAAGTCACTAGTGTCAGTGTCAATAGTGTCAGTGTCAATAGTGTCAGTGTCAATTGTGTCAGTGTCACTAGTTTTAAAGTCACTAGTGTCAGTGTCAATAGTGTCAGTGTCAATAGTGTCAGTGTCAATTGTGTCAGTGTCACTAGTTTTAAAGTCACTAGTGTCAGTGTCAATAGTGTCAGTGTCAATTGTGTCAGTGTCACTTGTGTCAGTGTCAATAGTGTCAGTGTCAATTGTGTCAGTGTCACTAGTTTTAAAGTCACTAGTGTCAGTGTCAATAGTGTCAGTGTCACTAGTGTCAGTGTCAATTGTGTCAGTGTCACTAGTTTTAAAGTCACTAGTGTCAGTGTCAATTGTGTCAGTGTCAATAGTGTCAGTGTCAATTGTGTCAGTGTCACTAGTTTTAAAGTCACTAGTGTCAGTGTCAATTGTGTCAGTGTCAATTGTGTCAGTGTCAATAGTGTCAGTGTCAATAGTGCCAGTATCACTACTGTCAGTGTCAATTGTGTCAGTGTCACTAGTTTTAAAGTCACTAGTGTCAGTGTCAATTGTGTCAGTGTCAATAGTGTCAGTGTCAATTGTGTCAGTGTCACTAGTTTTAAAGTCACTAGTGTCAGTGTCAATTGTGTCAGTGTCAATTGTGTCAGTGTCACTTTTGTCAGCTGTTCTTACCTTTCATCCTGTGCCACCTGACAATGGCGTCTTGTACTGCACAAGTCAGTGCGTGACCTAAATGCAGATTCCCCGTCACATTGGGGGGTGGGAGCAGCAAAGAAAATGTTTCTCCGTCTCCCTGAGGTCAAACAATCATCTCAGTCAATAGAAATACAGAGGTCAAATCAGTCAATAGAAATACAGAGGTCAAACAATCATCTCAGTCAATAGAAATACAGAGGTCAAATCAGTCAATAGAAATACAGAGGTCAAACAATCATCTCAGTCAATAGAAATACAGAGGTCAAACAATCATTTCAGTCAATAGAAATACAAAGTCAGACATGAGACAGTAGCCCATGAACCAGCTGACCAGCTGACCCAGACTGTACTCACCATACGAGGCCTGAAGTAGCCTTGCTGTTCCCACCACTCGTACCAGCCATTTTGGATTTCCTTAGAGCTAAATGTCTTGGACATGGGTGATGTAGTGTCTGCAACATTTGAATACTTGGGTAAATAGAGTGGGAGTGATCTCCCAAACTTTCTCATATATTACATTTTTTCAAATTGACTAGAATTGCTTTAAAAAAATAAGTGAGCACCAATCCATGTATATTATTAGATTAGAAAATTAGTGCTGTTAAAGGAAACATTGATTACTTCAAAAATTTAATTAAACATCAAATTAAGTCACATTTTATGTGACAATGCGCTGTTATCAAGTCTTGATCTACATGAAAGTTTAAAAGAAATTATTCCAGTAGAAATGTTTGAAATTTTTCTCACAAGTTTTAACCTATTATAGACAGAGGAATCAAGATAAGTCAATTTTTATGTTTTTTTTTTTTAGAGATCTGACAATATAAAGTACTAAATCCAGTCACCAAAAATAGAAATCAGTTAATAAAATCTGATACTTATGTATAAAATTTCATCCACCAAACTTAAACAGCACTCAAGTTATTGGCTTTATAGAAACTGGAAGTAGAGTAAGTACCACTTCCAGTAACCAGAAGTTGTTCAAATTTGATACAAAACTTATATGTGAAAGTTCATTAAGTGTAACAGTACTTAAGTTATTGTACTCACCAACAGACAGACAGACACACAGACAAAATTGCAAAACAAAGTTTTTCAGACTCAGGGATTTGTGTGAAGTATTTCACACTACTAAACCATATTCATATACAAAAAAGTAAAAATATTTTATGAAACATTTTATTACTTAGTTAAAAAATGGTAGATACTGCTTTGTGACATTTAATGTACTGTACATTATGTACTGACCTTTCTTGGTGGCATTAGAACATTTTAATTATGAACTGACCTTTCTTGGTGGCATAGCTGCTGTATCTGAGTGTACACGTGGTATAAACACATCCAAGGTTCTAAACAAAAACGGAAGAAGAAAATAATGTGAAGGTGCTACAGGCATCAACAAACACAAAATAACTCAACTTTAACCCACTCTTCCCTAGCCATTAAAAGTAATAGACCCACTATTCCCTAGCAGTTCTAGCAGACCCACTTTTCCCTAGCAGTTGTAGTAGACCCACTTCTTCATAGCATATGCCCTCTTAAATACCCCATCTTAAATCGTCATTATAAAATTATTTTTGAAGAAGCTGTAGAAATGTTTAGAAATGAATTTCTTTTTATTATAATTTTTATTACATTCATAATTTTTGAAATTGTAAACATAAAGTAACAAGAAGAGGTTCTAATTTTAACATGAAAGTTACATTTTATTATGGGGGACCCATGGTGAGGGAAGGATGGAGGGAGAATGGGAATAGGGCTCTTCCTTTTTCCCCATTCCCTGCCTGCAGCGCGGGAATAAATGTATTAAGGGAAGAATATCTGATAGTTGATAGCCCAGTGACTCAGAGTTGGGCAAATCTATCAAAGTGGGGGGGGGGGGGGGGGGGGGGGAAAGCGGGGGGTCTAAACTCAAATTCATAATTTTTGTGATGACCTCTGATGCTTTCTTAATTTAATACTCTCCAGGGGTATCCAATACAAGATCAGAATAGCCAACATTGCAGATAATACTGCAATTTGTAAAGTAAAATTTAAAATGGAGTTGGAGGCAGGCATGCGTTGGACGAGATGTGTTCCATCATAAAGATTCATTATTGATGACATGGATAAAATGTTTTTATTTTTTATTTTGCCATCATAGTTCATAGAGTCATAGGCTATGACTCATAGCAATTGAAAATCAAACAATCTAGGCTAAAGGCTGAAAATAATTCAGATATTCAATTAATAATTAACCATTCGAGACTATTTAAATCAAGTTTCATGGTATGGGTCCACTAGAATTTTTTGCATTCTGGCTTAGCCGGAGGTAAACAAACAGTTTTGAAACAGGTACAGTAACACTAACAACAGTAGGTGAGTAGGCCAGGCCCATTACAATACATTTTTGTTGTTTTCGGCATTAGTAAGACCTGGTTGCAATGTAAATTAAAATTAGCAAACTTTAAAACCGTATTGATTTTTAAATTAAATAATAAGGTACTCTACTTTTTTATTTGTCGATAGAAAATTTACGGCGGCAATATGGTTTAATGATCTATAACAATGGCATAAGCAACCATTTCGTGAAGTCAGATTAACTTTGTATAAGGAGGCAGCCATAATGGATGTGTTCGTCTAAATATCAAAAACGACAAAATATTAAAACTCGCCATAAATAGGACTTTATAACGCCATATGGCCTATATATAATATTACAATAATGATAATGTTAGTCCCCACCCCCTTCAAATACCAATTTTCCCTTTTTGAAATTTATTTCAAGAATATCTTATCTTTAATGAACTCAACAAATAACAACGAACTTGCTAGACTTGCATTATAATCATTATTTATATTTATAACGAGCCGACCCGCGGCGTATCATAAGCCGCTATTTAGTTGTTTTATTTTCTACTTTTCAGTAATTCATAATTTGTGAATTCGACAGTACCAACACTGCCGCTGAAAATATTTGCTTTAAAACACTATCAGTGCCTCGTTAAGGACGATACCCCCCCCCCCCCTCCTTTCCCCAACCCATACCTAATACCCCCCTCCGTGAAAGTAAACTCCTCTTAGTTACCTCCCCTAAGTTTAAAATCGTTTCAAACTAAATTATTTGCCCCTACCTAATAGCCGTCACTAAACCCGGCTCTACGATTGTAAACATTTAGCGTGAACCACAGCTCACCAGACCATGTGAGGGTGGGGGTGGTAGGGAGAGCGCTTACTACAGCTTGGTGTTTTCTATCGTCTCCAAGAAGAGAATTATATATATAGATATATATAGATTAAAACCGTTTTCTAAAACGCGAAATAACGTCTAAAATTTGTTTTCTAACATTGCTTTTTTATAATGCAAAAGTGTGACGTCACACCATCTGAACACCCCCTCCCCCTCATCACACACCGTCACAAAATTACGGACCCCCACCCCCAATTACGAGTGTGACGTCATTTATGGACGACTCCTGTGTACTTTTGGTCGATCTAATCTAGATCTAGCCTAATTTTAATTATGTTGGCCTAAACAATTAAAATGGTGTTGTTGCTGTGTTTTTTAAATTCTATATCTAGATTTTTCTTGATCCAAATTTATTTCTTTTGATAATTTTGATATTTTTAACACAGTTTTAAAAAAATAATTAGTTCTAATTAAAACTCATTTCTCTCAACCCGGAAGTACAACGAAAGAGAAAGTGAAAGTAGAGAAAAAGATTCATGTTTTTAAACCACTTGAATCTTGGTCTTTGAGATACTGCTCAGCATCCTTAGCCTTAATCCTATCACTCAGCATCATGTGATGTAGATCTAGATCAACTAGCCAGTGAAAACAGGCCTTATCAGTCATACGTGGAACGTAGACGTGTAACACAACAATAAAGAACCTTAAAAGTTAAATCTTAGTGACTTAGTGGACCTTAGTGCTTAGTCACTAATTAATAATTAAATTATTGTTTGTACTAGACTTAACTAGACTCTACTACACTAGAAGTAGAAGTAGACTTCTAGAGTGAGTCTAGACCAATTTCTAGAAGTAGGCCTACTACTTAGTACTTAATAATACTTATAGGTAAAAATTTAGAGAAAACCCTTGATATTTCATAGTATCCGCCGCCAACCAATCAAACGCGCGCTTTCAACGCGTTTTGGTTGGCGGCTGACGTCACGATGACGTCACGCGACCCGTAAACACGGCGTTTTTGGAGCTAAAAAGAGCCGAAAAAGCCATTTTTTCTACGTGTAGTTCGGATTTTTTTACGTTTTTTAAAATGGGCCCGAAAATGACACTTTTTAGAAATGGACATAGCCATTTTTTCGAAGAATTAATTAAAAAAGGGCCGTTTTGAGCTATGCTTCGATGTAAACAAAGGCCCATGTCAACACGTGTCAAACCACGTGAAGGCACCCGATCGACGATTTCGGTCACGCATGAGTGGTTTTCGCCCGTTCTCGTAAACTAAATACCAGTTCTTGACAACAAATTGGAAAACGACAATTTCGTGAAAATAGCGACCCTAGAGGAATGGCTTTTGAAGATTATTAAATAAAAATCGATGTATTAGCTACATGTGTTGATTCTTAAGTTGTCTATAATTGACTAGACTCTAGTAGGGCATGCTGAAACAACGGCCTTAGGGCGCCGTGTAGTGTGTAGTTTCGCTAAGTCTAAATTAATCAGCAGGGCCGCAGATCAACGGCAAACAGTTACATTTGTTGAATGTGAAAAGCATACTACTCACAAATTTTTGAATATTCACATCACACAAAATAATCCCAAAGAAAGCACAAAATAAAATCCTTTAGAAAAGCATCACCATGAAATTTGAAAACCACAGTATGTCAACCTTAACAAGCCATCTTTGGCTCGATCTAGAGGTCATTTTCAGCCTGCACATGTGCCTTGTAAACAAATTTAGTTTCTGATGGTACACGACATTTAGATAAATATATTAATTAACAAACTAACTGAATTCCAACATTCTATCACTCTAATCTGAAAATGAAACAGAATTTGAAGCACAATAATCTAACGAATAAATCCCACTCTAAGTAAGTGTCGCAGCTTTAATCCTGGATACAACCGTAGTGTGTAGTCGTGTTGTGAGTAAACTTGCACGAGATAAAACACCGACCTAGACCTTCCTGATGTTGTGTATGGCCCCAACGTTAAATGCTGGGAGTAGGGGAGGGGTATTTAATACCAGAATAATTTTTTTTTCAATAGTTAGGACATCAGTAGTTCACGCACCCTAACGGGGTTGAAAGTGTAACTTTAAATTGAACTAGGCAAACGGTGGAGGGGTGGGGTCATTTAAACGACGGAGCTATATTTCTAGTCGAAGAATAGGGGGAAGCCGGAATTTGAAGCCGGCATTTCATTATTGTCATAGCTATTGAGTACAACCCTTTATTCTAGTTTAATGCACGACTAGGCTACTCATTACGAAATCTAAAAAATGTCGTTGTGCTACCACGCAAAAGTAGCCTAATATTTCTACTGAATGGGGTAGGTATTTGACTTTGTTTATTTAAATGCAGATCCCATTAGCCTAAACAAATTTGGATGTACATTTTAGTTATATCGTAAGGATTAATTTTATAATACAATGCATATATTCTGGCAGTCCTTCAAGTATTAGTAGTTATTGCCTATTGGACTATTCATAACTTGTATTTCAAAGATTTATAATGAGCGGGATGCACTCGATGTTTTAAGTGCTACATTCGGTAGTTGTTACTTTGTGCATGACATCATCCCAATAGTTCAGTGTTAATAATGTAAACTGAGCTTGATGAGACTCCCATCGCCAAGCAATCGTATGATGATAGACCCAGCAAGCATCACTCGTTAAATTCGACATGACTATACCAGTCCTTGATTTTCATTACTGCCTTGAAACACCTAGTTCTTGGTTTAAAAAAAAAAACGTCTCCCCCCCCCCCCTTCCCGCTTGCGCCGACGTCATCACAGGCCAATACCACGGTGCATTTTTTTTTTCACCGAGTATAACACACACCCCTCTCCCCCTCACAGCAAGCGCCAACAGCGGTCACCCAAGGCCAATAACACGCACCACGGTGGATTTTTTTAATGAGTATATACCCACCCGCCGCCTCACAGCATACCGCTAGTCTTTACAAACGGGGTTAAAAGTTTAACTTTGAGTTCAAGAAGGGGAGAGGGTGGTATTGAAACAACGATGTTCTTTAATATGTTTAATAGTACAAATACATAGTAAAAAATTATACTTACCTACTTCTATAGTATAGCATCATACATAATTTTATAATTAGCAAATTAATTAATTAATTAAGTCTAATGATAATGAAGGGAGATAGATTATTTTGGTTAAGGCACGACACACAACACTATGCGTGCGTGGTATGTGGCCTGACCGAACGAAAGGAGATTGTTTATATTATTGTTTTGAGTTTATATTTAACTCAATGCAACGAGCCCGCCGGTTGGTTGAGGCCACGCCTGGGGGACGATCTGTCCGGGATTCAAAGGGTCGATTCTAAATATCATCCTACTTATAATATTTTTTATTTTGGCATTTTAGGGGACCTATTAATACTATTATTTTATTTATTACTATATTACTATTATTAGGGCGGCCTTGACTTTTAGTATTTACTGTTATTATTATAATTATTTATTACTAATACTATCAATTGGCCTGTACTGTACTTATTCACTATTTTTTTTTGTTAGTAATATTAGGGGTCGTCCATAAATGATATCACACTCGTAGAGGGGAGGTATTTTGTGACGGTGTGTGATGAGGGGGTTCGGATGGTGTGACGTCACACTTTTGCATTATAAAAAAGCAATGTTAGAAAACGAATTTTAGACGTTATTTCGCGTTTTAGAAAACTGTTTTAATAAATTATATTAGGAATTGATTAAAATACTCTATTTTGACAGAGTTCAGACAAGATTTTAGAAAAATATCGATGTTTTAAAAAAAATTCAACAGCTATTTTGAGGGGGGGTTGTAGGCTGAGGTGTAACGTCATTTTAGGGAGGGGGGTAGGGCTTTTTGTGATGACGTGTGATGGAGGGGAGGGGGGTAGGTAAAAATTGTCAAAAAAAGCATGACGTCATTTATGGATGACCCCTTATTAGCCTATGTAGGTAGTAGGCCTTCAATATTAATAAAGGCTTTTAAAGGCCCACCTATAAATTCAATTGTATTTAATTTTATTCTAGATCTAGTTATGACAGTAGTAGTAAGTAGTGAAGTAGTACTAGTAGATTAAGAGAAGAGAGCCTCATATAGCCTAGATCTATAAATAAGTTCAGTATTAAATGTTTTTTTTTTAAATCTATTTTAATAGTCTTAAGTATTTATTGTGTTAATCCCTGTCTCATCAAGACAACACATAGGACTAAACAACGAACATTTAGATGACAAGAAAACAGTTAACTGTTCATTGTAGCGCTATGCGCATCTTCTTCTGGCTTTAAATTATGCAAAAAAATAATTGTTCCATTTTATGTTATCAATACCAATTCATCCATCTTAGCGAAACATTGCGCTAAACACCAATAACTTGCTCCTTCATTGAGTGCTTAATTTTAGCATTAAGGAAAGCCGTAACCACCTAGAAATTATTTGTAACCTATTTTTTAATCATTTTCTTAAAAATCATTTTTAACCAAAAAAATAACAGTTTAATTGGGTCTTTAAAATAGAATGTGCCCTAAATGTATTGGGAATTCATGATGGTGCCGATATACCCAAACTTGTTTGTTGCTGAAGGGAAAGTGAAGTGCCTATTATCAATAAATACACGCAAATTAAGACTGATGGTGGAAATTTTAAAAGTTCTTTAGTTATAATTAATATAATAATAAAAAGCACACAAAAATATAAACAAAGAGTTTTAAAATAAACTATCTTCAAATAATTTATAAATAAACAGTTCTCTTTGAAAGCAAATCTGGTCTTGAAATAGTCTTTCTGTTACTATATATAAAGGTGCCGCACCTGTTCATTGAATTTCACTATCGGTGGTTGTCCTTTTTTCTAGTAATTATGTAATTTGTATTTTTTACTAGTGGAATTCCTTGGTCGAACATTTGACTGCTTATCCGAAATTCTTGAGTTCTGATAGATAATCTATTATTATTCAGAAGGTATGGGACAGCAAAATCAAAATGCAATCAATCATTCATATGATACTAATAATATCATAGTTCATACTCTTAGAAATGTGTCAAGTTGGATTTGTTGATTAACTTTGATCTTATTTTATTATAGTACCCAAAAAACAACGATTGCCATGCCTGAATTGCACTCTGATAAAGTCCATGATGTGGCTACATCATCCAACTTCAAACAAGTGAAGACCAAACACCTGCATTTGGACTTTAAAGTGGATTTTGATCAAAAAATTATCAAAGGTTTAGAGAAAATCACTTTGGAAAGTCTAACAGAAGATTTGAAATTAGGTCTGTGTTCCATAAAGTTCCTTACAATAAAATTAAAATGTTCGAAAAATAATCATGCATGATAATTTGTAATGTTTCTTACTGTATATAGACACATTTCCAATATTCTTATTATTTGTGAAGAGTTATATGTTGTCTCATCTGTAAAAAAAATTGAGAGCGGATTTTAAATTTTGTTATCATTTAATTTTTTTTTTTAATCTTTTTTTTTTTTATAGTTATTTTGAATGTTCATGAAACATTAAGTGTTACCAAATATTTTTTTAGTTATTCTTGATGTTCATGAAACTTTAAGTGTTGCCAATGTGAAAGCCAGTGAAATTGGAGCTGAGTTACCATTTGAATTGAAAAAGTTTACTTCTTATGGCAAAAGTTTACATATTACGGTATGTTTTTTTTTTATTATCAGAAATGTAAATGTTGTCACATGGATACACGTAAATATTTAACATATATTGGTGAACATCACTTGAACATCCTAAACAGTGTCAAGACAATCAGGAATTTTATTTTTACCATCTAAATCTTAATGTTTTTTCCTTATAAAAACTATTTGCACAATTTAATAAATAAAAACCACTTTTGCATCTCAATAATGTATTCTCCTTATAAAATCCACTTTTGCATCTTAATAATGTTTTCTCCTTAAAAAAATCCTCTTTTGCTTCTGAATAATGTTTTCTCCTTATAAAATTCACTTTTGCATTTCAATAATGTTTTCTCCTTAAAAAATCCTCTTTTGCTTCTGAGTAATGTTTTCTTATAAAATTCACTTTTGCATCTGAATAATGTTTTCTCCTTATAAAATCCACTTTTGCATCTGAATAATGTTATCTTATAAAATCCACTTTTGCATCTGAATAATGTTTTCTCCTTATAAAATCCACTTTTGCATCTGAATAATGTTTTCTTATAAAATCCACTTTTGCATCTGAATAATGTTTTCTCCTTATAAAATCCACTTTTGCATCTGAATAATGTTTTCTCCTTATAAAATCCACTTGTACTTGCAGCTGGATGAGCCTAAACAAAAGGGAGTTGCATTTGATTTATTCATTGACTTTGTATCTGGCAAAGGGCCATCACTCTGTTGGCTTGAACCCCAACAAACAGCAGGTCAGCAGCAGTGTCAAATATTCTCTTACACAACTGTTTTTGTCCTTTCAGTAATGGGTTAAATAATAAAACAGTTCAATAGTTACTCACCAGGCATATGGTGTGACTAACTTTTATTGACTGAAAAATGAAATAAAATTTCCTAAGTTGGACCTAGTCAAACTTTCTATAATGCTTTAAAAAACTTTGAACAGACAAAAAGCAACCGTTCCTGTATAGCCAAGGCCAGTCAGTACTCAACAGGTCCTTCTTCCCATGCCAAGACACCCCAGCTGTCAAAGCTACCTACTCCGCCTTCGTTAGCGTCCCTGACCAGTTGACCGCTGTTATGAGTGCCAATCACAGAAGTTTTGGGGAGAAGGCCAACAAAGACAACCAGAAAAACTGCTTTTACTTTGAGGTAAAGTTTCAAATGTTTGGGCAATGGGCTCAAATGATTGTACAATTTTAAAGTTTGTAAATTCAAATTTTGTTATGACAAATGCCAATTTTTAATTAGATAATGGCCATAGTTTTCTAGTGACCCAATAACTTACTTAAATTTCTCTATCTAGGCACATCTTTCCGTTCCATTGACAGTTTTTTGTTTCTATTGTGTCAGATTTTATAAAGTTGTAAAACCAAGAATTAAAATATCACATAAAAGTACTGATAAATGTACAAATTGTGCATGTCTTGTAATAATTGTGCATTTCCAAACCAGCAAACAGTTCCCATCCCATCGTATCTGATAGCTCTGGCAGTTGGGGATTTAAAGTCTGCTGAGATTGGCCCCAGAAGTTGTGTGTGGGCAGAACCTAGTATTCTGGTAAATAGACTTGCCTACATGTTGATAAATACTGACATCACACTGAGATTTTATTTTTAATATAGGACTGAGCTAAGGCTGAATTTAGGCAGTTTAATTAGACAGAGCTAAAGATGAAATTGTTTAATTGGACTGAACTTAAGATGAATGGAGGCGACCTAGTTGAAGAGAATCCTTCATTATATTGTTAACATGGATTAAAAACGTGCTGTTTTAGATTTTGCAATCAAAGCGACCGTAAAAATAAAAAAAATAAAAACTTAAGCCTAAAGATGAATCAGAAATTTAATATTTTTAGAATTAATGTTATTAAAGTTGCAAATACAGAGAACTTGAAAATAATTAGTTGAGTTTGAGGCTACATTTCTATTTATTTTCATCAAGCCTAACTTATAACCTGATAGTTCCCTTTCATAAGACAAACATTGATTGGCTGTACAGGAACTCCGTGATTGATTTCTGACAGCCCCGCGTCATAGTTTTTTGTTTACAAAACTTTGCTGATAAAGTTTTTAAATAACAATGCAAATTTAAACCCATGACCTAGTTTTCCTTTTTCTTTTCTCTTACAATGTGTACAATAAAATTTATGGTAGCCAATAGAATAGCAAGATGCCATTTTTTATGTCACCATTACACATGAAAACCAAATTGCTTTTTTTTTTATTTAGTTACCGAAAATATTAAAAATATCAAATACATCCAATCTTTAGTAAAGTCCAGAAAAACCCAGACAGACAGGATTGTATAACCATATTAATTGTAACTACGCCGTGTATGATTTTGAAACTTTACTCGCTCACGTCCATTTGTTTAATTTGACAGAACTAAAGATGAAGTTGTTTAATTAGACAGAGCTAAAGATGAATTTGTTTAATTAGACAGAGCTAAAGATGAATTTGTTTAATTAGACAGCTAAAGATGAAATTGTTTAATTGAACAGAGCTAAAGATGAATTTGTTTTACAGGAGAAAGCCCGAGCTGAGTTTGATGGTGATGTGGAAAAGTTCATCACAACAGGGGAGCAACTATTTGGTGACTATATCTGGGGGCGCTATGATATCCTGGTTATGCCCCCTTCTTTTCCTTACGGTGGAATGGAGAATCCTTGTTTGACTTTTGTCACTCCATGCCTTATAGTGGGAGACAAATCTTTGGTCGATGTCGTCATTCATGAGATTGTAAGTTTTATCTGTGAGATTGTAAGTTTTATATGAGATTGCTAGCCTTTTATGTGAGATTGTTTTTTCCCCCAATATTTTAAACTTATTTTAAATGTGTAAGAGTATGTTACAGTTAGGAGTTGTAAAACTCAAATGTTTACAAACTTTTTTTTTTGTTTCCCAACAGACGCACAGCTGGTTTGGTAATCTTGTAACAAATGCCAACTGGAGCGAATTCTGGTTGAATGAGGTTGGTTGTGGTTGGTGGTTGTTGGTAGGGGTTGGTGCTGTTGGTAGAGGTTGGTGGTGTTGGTAGAGGTTGGTGGTGTTGGTAGAGGTTGGTGGTGTTGGTAGAGGTTGGTGGTGTTGGTAGAGGTTGGTGGTGTTGGTAGAGGTTGGTGGTGTTGGTAGAGGTTGGTGCTGTTGGTAGAGGTTGGTGGTGTTGGTAGAGGTTGGTGGTGTTGGTAGAGGTTGGTGGTGTTGGTAGTGGTTGGTGGTGTTGGTAGAGGTTGGTGCTGTTGGTAGAGGTTGGTGGTGTTGGTAGTGGTTGGTGGTGTTGGTAGAGGTTGGTGGTGTTGGTAGAGGTTGGTGGTAGAGGTTGGTGCTGTTGGTAGAGGTTGGTGGTGTTGGTAGAGGTTGGTGGTGTTGGTAGAGGTTGGTGGTGTTGGTAGTGGTTGGTGGTGTTGGTAGAGGTTGGTGGTGTTGGTAGAGGTTGGTGGTGTTGGTAGAGGTTGGTGGTGTTGGTAGAGGTTGGTGGTGTTGGTAGAGGTTGGTGGTAGAGGTTGGTGCTGTTGGTAGAGGTTGGTGGTGTTGGTAGAGGTTGGTGGTGTTGGTAGTAGTTGGTGGTGTTGGTAGAGGTTGGTGCTGTTGGTAGAGGTTGGTGGTGTTGGTAGTGGTTGGTGGTGTTGGTAGTGGTTGGTGGTGTTGGTAGAGGTTGGTGGTGTTGGTAGAGGTTGGTGGTGTTGGTAGAGGTTGGTGGTGTTGGTAGAGGTTGGTAGTGGTTGGTGGTGTTGGTAGAGGTTGGTGGTGTTGGTAGAGGTTGGTGGTGTTGGTAGTGGTTGGTGGTGTTGGTAGTGGTTGGTGGTGTTGGTAGTGGTTGGTGGTGTTGGTAGAGGTTGGTGGTGTTGGTAGAGGTTGGTGGTGTTGGTAGTGGTTTATATTTTGACCTCACTATTTTGTCTGTTATAGCATTGCTGAGATCCTTAAAATTCCTCAGGGTTTCACCATGTTTGGCCAAAGAAGAATTGAGGAGATTTTGTTTGGGAAGGCACGCATGTGTCTGGAGGCCATCACTGGCAGAACTCTTCTGGAGAAACACATAGAGCATGAAGGGCAGGTAATCACACATTTCATGAAGGGCAGGTAATCACACATTTCATGAAGGGCAGGTAATCACACAACATTTTATGGAGGGGAGGTAATCGCACAACATTTCATGGAGGGGAGGTAGTCACACAACATTTCATGGAGGGGAGGTAATCACACAAAGCTTTATAAAAGGAAGGTAATTACCCTAAGAAAATGGCCTCAGTTGATAAAAGAGATAAACAAAAATGCCGTGTTTTATCCTAGGATCACCCACTGACCAGACTTCGTGTAGTGATTGGTGAGGACGTTGACCCTGATGACACCTACAATGAAACTCCTTACGAGAAAGGTTTTGCTTTTGTTTGCTACATGCGGAGTCTGGTTGGAGACGACAACAAATTTGACCAGTTTCTTAAAAGTTATGTCAACCACTTCAAGTTCCAGGTAATTGCCTAGCTATTCTAGTTAAACAGGTCATTTCTTAGTTCAGCTCTTCTAAACAGGTCATTTCTTAGTCCCAGCTCTTCTAGTTAAATAGGTCATTTCTTAGTTCAGCTCTTCTAAACAGGTCATTTCTTAGTTCAGCTCTTCTAGTTAAACAGGTCATTTCTGTTAATGTTGTTAGTTGATGTTGTGTGTTGACAGTTGTTGATGTTGTGTGTTGATGTTGTGTGTTGTCAGTTGTTGATGTTGTGTGTTGATGTTAGTGGTTGATGATGTGTGTTGATTCATCTCACCTGTAGAGTGTTGTAGCCGAGGACTTGTTTGATTTCTACCTGGACTACTTCCCCCAGCTGAAGACAGACCAGGTGCATGAAAGGTAACTTGTCCCTCCTTGCTGTGTACCAGGTGCATGAAAGGTAACTTGTCCCTCCTTGCTGTGTACCAGGTGCATGAAAGGTAACTTGTCCCTCCTTGCTGTGTACCAGGTGCATGAAAGGTAACTTGTCCCTCCTTGCTGTGTACCAGGTGCATGAAAGGTAACTTGTCCCTCCTTGCTGTGTACCAGGTGCATGAAAGGTAACTTGTCCCTCCTTGCTGTGTACCAGGTGCATGAAAGGTAACTTGTCCCTCCTTGCTGTGTACCAGGTGCATGAAAGGTAACTTGTCCCTCCTTGCTGTGTACCAGGTGCATGAAAGGTAACTTGTCCCTCCTTGCTGTGTACCAGGTGCATGAAAGGTAACTTGTCCCTCCTTGCTGTGTACCAGGTGCATGAAAGGTAACTTGTCCCTCCTTGCTGTGTACCAGGTGCATGAAAGGTAACTTGTCCCTCCTTGCTGTGTACCTGGGCTCATCAAATGCCGTCCAGACGTTTGGTTTCCCTTGATTAGTCTGTTGTTTGCACCCATCTCCTGCACCCCCCCCCCCCCCTCCCCCATCATCACCAAGGTTGTAAAAACGGTGTACCGTCACAACAGTGGTTTGATGTAGGATGTAGCAGTGGTTTGATGTAGGATGTAGCAGTGGTTTGATGTAGGATGTAGCAGTGGTTTGATGTAGCAGTGGTTTAATGTAGGATGTAGCAGTGGTTTAATGTAGCAGTGGTTTGATGTAGGATGTAGCAGTGGTTTGATGTAGGATGTAGCAGTGGTTTGATGTAGCAGTGGTTTGACGTAGCAGTGGTTTAATGTAGGATGTAGCAGTGGTTTGATGTAGCAGTTGTTTGATGTAGCAGTTGTTTAATGTAGCAGTGGTTTGATGTAGGATGTAGCAGTGGTTTGATGTAGGATGTAGCAGTGGTTTGATGTAGCAGTGGTTTGACGTAGCAGTGGTTTAATGTAGGATGTAGCAGTGGTTTGATGTAGCAGTTGTTTGATGTAGCAGTGGTTTAATGTAGCAGTGGTTTGATGTAGGATGTAGCAGTGGTTTGATGTAGGATGTAGCAGTGGTTTGATGTAGCAGTGGTTTGACGTAGCAGTGGTTTAATGTAGGATGTAGCAGTGGTTTGATGTAGGATGTAGCAGTGGTTTGATGTAGCAGTGGTTTGATGTAGCAGTGGTTTGATGTAGGATGTAGCAGTGGTTTGATGTAGCAGTGGTTTAATCTCTTGACATTTCCAGGCCAGGTTTTGAGTTTGACAAAACTTGGCTCCAGGGCACCGGCCTGCCACCATTTACACCTGATCTCTCAGCCAGGAGGGAGCTGACAGACGAAGCTGAGCAGGTAGCTGATCAAATCATCGCTGGTCAACTACAGGTGAGTAGAGTTGGTCAACTACAGGTGAGTAGAGTTGGTCAACTACAGGTGAGTAGAGTTGGTTAACTACAGGTGAGTAGAGTTATTCAACTACAGGTGAGTAGAGTGGGTTAACTACAGGTGAGTAGAGTTGGTCAACTACAGGTGAGTAGAGTTGGTCAACTACAGGTGAGTAGAGTTGGTCAACTACAGGTAAGTAGGGCTGTGTATTTTGAATGAAACCAAAGATAAACCAGCACAGGCTTGGTAACCATGAATAATCTAACACCTCCCCCCCCCCCCCACTGACATCCCCAGGGTCTGCCCACTGAGATTGAGGATTGGGGCGCCTATAAGACCATGTACCTACTGGATCTACTGGCCACAAGCTCACCCCTGCCCAAAGAGAGCATCAAGCATATCCTGGAGAAGTACTCATTCCTGTCTCTATCACAGAATGCAGAGGTGACTTTTGACATGACATGCAACTTTTGTCATGACAGGTGACTTTTGTCATGACAGGTGACTTTTGACATGACATGTGACTTTTGTCATGACACATGACTTTTGTCATGACAGGTGACTTTTGACATGACAGGTGACTTTTGTCATGACAGGTGACTTTTGACATGACAGGTGACTTTTGTCATGACACATGACTTTTGACATGACAGGTGACTTTTGTCATGACAGGTGACTTTTGACATGACAGGTGACTTTTGTCATGACACATGACTTTTGACATGACATGCAACTTTTGTCATGACAGGTGACTTTTGTCATGACAGGTGACTTTTGTCATGACAGGTGACTTTTGTCATGAGAGGTGACTTTTGTCATGACAGGTGACTTTTGTCATGACATGTGACTTTTGTCATGACAGGTGACTTTTGTCATGACACATGACTTTTGTAATGACACATGACTTTTGACATGACAGGTGACTTTTGTCATGACAGGTGACTTTTGTCATGACAGGTGACTTTTGACATGACAGGTGACTTTTGTCATGACAGGTGACTTTTGTCATGACACATGACTTTTGACATGACATGCAACTTTTGTCATGACAGGTGACTTTTGTCATGAGAGGTGACTTTTGTCATGACAGGTGACTTTTGTCATGACATGTGACTTTTGTCATGACAGGTGACTTTTGACATGACAGGTGACTTTTGTCATGACAGGTGACTTTTGTCATGACACATGACTTTTGACATGACATGCAACTTTTGTCATGACAGGTGACTTTTGTCATGACAGGTGACTTTTGTCATGACAGGTGACTTTTGTCATGACATGTGACTTTTGTCATGACATGTGACTTTTGCCATGACACATGACTTTTGACATGACAGGTGACTTTTGTCATGACAGGTGACTTGTGTCATGACACATGACTTTTGTCATGACAGGTGACTGTTGACATGACAGGTGACTTTTGTCATGACAGGTGACTTTTGTCATGACAGGTGACTTTTGTCATGACAGGTGACTTTTGTCATGACACATGACTTTTGACATGACAGGTGACTTTTGTCATGACACATGACTTTTGACATTACAGGTGACTTTTGATATCATAAAGGTGACTTTTGACCTTATGTTATTCTGCATATTTTATCTTTAAACCCCATAAAAATAACATAATGCAGTTAAAATGCTGAAAACAGAATTGAATTCTCTATCTGTAGATGCTATAATAAATGTATGTTTAAAGAATGTACATCTAATGTATGTTTAAAGAATGTACGTCTAAAGAAAGGCTTGTTTAGTCTAGATGATAGATGGGGATTAGGTTAGACTTGAACACTAGCATTGTTTGAGTAGGGAGAATTATTTTATTTTCACAGATACGACTTCGTTGGTGTGAGCTGGTCATCAAAAATAATATCAGAGAAAAGTTTGAGGATGTGAGGAAGTTTCTACACAGCCAAGGTACTTTATAATTACATTAATCACAGCCAAGGTACTTTATAATTTCATTAATCACAGCCAAGGTACTTTATTTAATTAATCACAGCCAAGGTACTTTATTTCATTAATCACAGCCAAGGTACTTTATAATTTCATTAATCACAGCCAAGGTACTTTATAATTTCATTAATCAGAGCCAAGGTACTTTATAATTTCATTAATCAGAGCCAAGGTACTTTATAATTTCATTAATCACAGCCAAGGTACTTTATAATTTCATTAATCACAGCCAAGGTACTTTATAATTTCATTAATCACAGCCAAGGTACTTTATTTAATTAATCACAGCCAAGGTACTTTATAATTTCATTAATCACAGCCAAGGTACTTTATAATTTCATTAATCAGAGCCAAGGTACTTTATAATTTCATTAATCACAGCCAAGGTACTTTATTTAATTAATCACAGCCAAGGTACTTTATAATTTCATTAATCACATCCAAGGTACTTTATAATTTCATTAATCAGAGCCAAGGTACTTTATAATTTCATTAATCACAGCCAAGGAACTTTATAATTTCATTAATCAGAGCCAAGGTACTTTATAATTTCATTAATCACAGCCAAGGTACTTTATAATTAAATTAATCAGAGCCAAAGTACTTTATAATTTCATTAATCAGAGCCAAAGTACTTAATAATTTCATTAATCAGAGCCAAGGTACATTATAATTTCATTAATCAGAGCCAAGGTAGATTATTTCATTAAACATCAAGATAAAACATCAACACAGTTAAGGAACAGATAAAGCCAGTGTCAATTAATTTCTTGGTAACAGATTTCAAGCCAGCACCTTGAAACAATTGTGTATTTTCAGGCAAACAAAAATACACGCTGCCCATCTATAAGGATATGATGAAGGGTTCTGAGGAAATTAAAAAACTGGCCACAGAATATTTGGAGGAGACAAAAAATTTTCTGCATGTCAATGTCAGAGAGAGAGTAGAGGATATCATTCAGAAGGGGAGCTAACTTGGTAGTTACAACATACAGAAGGGGAGCTAACTTGGTAGTTACAACATACAGAAGGGGAGCTAACTTGGTAGTTACAACATACAGAAGGGGAGCTAACTTGGTTTTTAGTTACAACATGCAGATTTTTTATTTTGAAGGGGAGTTAACTTGGTTTTTAGTTACAACATACAGATTTTTTTTAAATACAGAAGGGGAGCTAACTTGGTTTTAATCACATCATCTAGAAAGGGAATTAATTTTTTTTGCTTTATCACTGAACCTTTTTACTGTTGGAGCAATATTTTATTTCCAATTACTGTGATTACAAATAAGGTCGTTATAGGTGCTCTACACTATCCATTCCAATGCTATCCTTATAAATAAACTGGTTTATAGTTTGCTAATCAGTGATAAAAATGAGTTTGATCAAAATTAGAATTTACCTATTTAAAAATGTTTTTGTTAAGTGTTCATATTACAATTCATATTTTTACAGTGATTATAAGTTTAAGTCTTGTGTTCAGCTTTCAAATGTTCTTTTAACTTTTTATTGTTCAAAAGTTATTTTATTTTGTCTAAAAGTTATTTCACTTTATATTGTTCAAAACTTATTTGACTTTATATTGTTCAAAAGTTGTTTTATTTTGTCTAAAAGTTATTTCACTTTATATTGTTCAAAACTTATTTGACTTTATATTGTTCAAAAGTTATTTTATTTTGTCTAAAAGTTATTTCACTTTATATTGTTCAAAACTTATTTGACTTTATATTGTTATTTTCATTTAGCTTTAATTTCAGTGAAGTTTTTTATTTTATTTTTTGTTTCAAGCATTTATTTAATGAGGTTTTTTTTCAAGAAATTAGTAAAATTGTTATTTAATCTTAATAGAATTGTTATTTAATCTTAATAAAATTGTTATTTAATCTTAATTAAATTTTTAATTAATCTTAATAAAATTGATATTTAATATTAATAAAGTTGATATTTAATCTTAATAAAAAATATAATATGGAGTGGATGAAAAACTAAAAAACATATCACAATAGTGTATAAGCCATTGAGTTACAAGTTGTGGTGTGGCTTCATGCAGATGTGACACCAATTGTCACACTTTATGCAGATTTGACACAAACTGTCAAACTTAACAATTGTTTAATTGTAGATGCATACTCAACAACTTTCCAAAGTTTAATGATGATCCGATGAAAGGTGTAGTAAAGCATAAAATACAAAACAAACACACTTTCATTTATAAAATAGATATCAAAGTATGAAAAATCCTTTTTACTTTCTCGTATACCAAGTATAGAAAATCTCAACGTTTTACACGTCCCTGAGTCGGAAAAGCATAGTTTTGCAATTTTGTCGGTATGTCTGTGTGTGTATTTATGTGTGTGCGTCTGTCAACATGATAACTTGAGTACCGTTACAGCTAGGTTGATGAAATTTAATATACAAGAATTATATCAAATTTGTAGTTCTGTATCAACTTTTCAGCGATTTCCAATAACCGGAAGTGGAACTTATTCTACTTCAAGTTTTTCAAAAGCCTATAACTTGAGTACTGTTTCGGATAGATCAGTGGTTCCCAACCTTTTTCGAGTGGCGACCCCCATTCATAAAACGTAAGTGACCCGCGGCCCCCATATAATTAACAAGTCGAAATTAGTAAAGCAAATAATAAGCACTAAATTAATATTTTCTAGTAGACTTTCAATAGGAATTATTCTTGATAACTGTTTTAATATAACGATCAAAATTGCATGCTATTTAAAATATTAACAATTAAATTTTGCAAATTTAAGAATTCATCTTGTTATTCATCGGCAATGCTGGTAACATCAAGGAAAGCAGAGAATGTGTGACAATGCAGATTCTTCTTCTTTCAGCTCGGGGAAAATAATGCCGCAGTTCGTTGTCAAGAGATTCAAGATGCACAGAATCCTTTAAAAATTTTATCTATCACACCACACTGCAGAGTTTCTCAAACATGGCAGTATTTCAAATATTTATTTTTCCTCGCCAATTTTGCAGCTTTGATAAAAATGCCAAGAGATTATCATGAAAAGAGGTAATATTCGTTCCTTTATCAGGTTGATGTTCGAATATATCTGCTAGGTATGATACTCTCTCCAACCACACCATGTCGTTAAAGTATATCAAAAGGTCTTGTTTCCTTGCACTTCCAAGAACATCATGATTTCATCTTTCAATTCAAAAACACGATTGACATTTCCTATTGACAGCCAGCGTACGGAAACATGACGCACAATCCGTACAAGCCACACAGCCGTTTTCCCATTTTAATCCTCCAGTTTCAAAAAACGTATTTATTTCTCCATGATATCTTCACAAAACATCAACTCTTATTTGCTAACATCTGAATGAATATATTTCACAAAGACAAGCAACTGCGAACACGAACTCACGTCTGTCGATTCGTCAACTTGAAAATCAAACAATGGTGAAAGCTTGATTTTATTTTAAATTTGTCTTTTAACATAAGACGCTGCATAGTATTATTAGACAGAGATATTTGTTGCATCTTTATTGCTCTGGAATCCCCAAAAATTAATTTCAACATCCTCAACATGCAGGGTTTGATGAGATTTTCTCCTTTGTGTGAGAGGTTTTTTGCTTGGCAATTTCTAATACTACTTCATTTGATGCTTGCACTAATGCTGTATTAAAGCTTCCTGTTCGATCAAGTCTCTGACGTTTGCAACTAGCTTCATGCCGTCGAAAGAACTCCATACCTTTTTTAGTGTGTTCTGAATGACTCGTCTCAAATTGACGTTTGGAAGTTTTCATAGACTCCTGACTAAGAACAACTTTGTACAGTACAAACTTTTTATTTTCTATTCCAGGGGTCTCCAAACTGCGGGCCGGATGCGGCCCGCGAGGTCCTCTCATCCGGCCCGCGGAGATCTTTTTGTCCACTGAAAAACGTTTGTTGGTGATGGCTGAGGAACATTGCCCAGAAAAATCACTACATGCCTGGAAGAAACTGGCCCCCGAACTGAAATTTGATAGTTAATGCGGCCCTCGAACTGAAAAGTTTGGAGACCCCTGCTCTATTCCATTTCTAGTTCTAGTGATGTTAGTAATGCCAAATTTCAAGTATTTTTCTAATTATTTATGTTTTTTATTCATTGCTAGATTTTAGTCTACCAGTTGGCGACCCCCCAGAAAGCCCGTCGCGACCCTTAGGTTGGGAACCCATGAGATAGATAAACGAAATTTCATATATATATATATATATATATATATATATATATATATATATATATATATATATATATATATATAAGTAAAAGATCAAATTTTATGCCTTCTGTCAAATTATTAATAATTTCCGTTGACAGAAGTACTAATTTACGCTATTTCCGATTTCTCAAAAAACACATGAATTTATAAAGTACTAATAATATTCCACACTATTATTAGGCCATATACACATTGTTTGCCGTTCACTTGGTGCGTAATTCATTTTTCTACGAGATCTATTTTTAAAAGTTTAAGTAATTAAAAATCATGTCTACAGTGGTGCTGCTACGTCGGGTGTTACCCGGTGTGGCACTTTTTGGTGTCACCCCCCCTCACACACACAAGAAACGAAATATATATATGTATATATATATATATGTTTGTGTCGGCCTTCATAGGTGTTACGGGTCAGTTGTAGGTTAGGTTAGAATAGGATAGAATAGAATAATCTAGAATTAGGGGTTTGTGTGAGTTGAGTTTACCCTAGAATCAGAGCCGGCGTTTGGGGGTGGCGAACGGGGCGGTCGCCCCAGGCCCCGCGCTTGGTAGGGGCCCCGCGCTTCAGCTCCGTCACTGTTATCTGAATTAGTTAGTAAACTTAAATAATTGTTGCTGAATTCACTTGGAAAAAACTAAATGGTCGAATGCCGACGTTGTTGATTGTTATAACTGAGGCCACGGTTGATGTTAGTGAGATCACCCACCTAAACTGGGACAGGTCGTAAATTATAGTGTCACACACCTCCCTGTGTGCTGGGTACAGTCGCCTCGCGTTTGACCGGAGGTAACTGGAGATGGGTGGACTCGAATTAGCCCCCGACCTGAGCAAGGAGGAAAATTTGAAAAACACGTAATGAGATACCCTACTGTATGCGGGCCGATGAAGACGTTTTGTAGTGAACAGACGGGATGCTTGTAGTAGACGGTCAGTGACCTGATGAACATTAGTCCTGTTGTAGTTGTCGTATATGTAGGCCTACTTGTCTTGGTATAACAAAATTAACATTTAGTGGCGGGCATAGGGGGTGGGAGGAGGGCGACGGAGATGAAGGTGGGGGATCCACTTCAGGTGGGGGAGCATCCAACAGTAATTTATTTTTTATTTTTCTGGAAGAAAGTAAAAGTGTTGTTATGTTGTGTCTTGTTAATGATTCATCCGTTCCCAAACAGAATTTTTAATTTACCGGATTCATTCAAATTGTTAAATACAATCGTTTCCCAATGGTGCTGACATAATATAGTCATCGAATAGTCCACGTCGCACAACGTTTATGGAGGAAGGGGCATCAATGAAGGGCAGTGATATTGTAGTCATTAATAAACGCACATTTTTTTATTGTAGGATATCCTTTACAATAGTTAGGTGCATAAATGATTTTGGTTTAAAAATATTTTACTGATCCTAAACACATTTTGAAGTCCAAACTGTTTTGATACATCGGGCCGAGTTAGCTTTAATGTAAGCTTGTCCTGATTTCTCACACGTCTAAAGTACCGGCATTCACGGCAGCCCGAGCATTCCGTCGCGAAACTCATAAATAAGGTGTAGCTGGCTGTCATTTCCTAATTATAGACACGAACATTCTCTTGTATTACTGTGATCATGACCGGTAATGTAATACGTGGACGCTCTATAAACACAAAACTTCTTTTGGATGACTCCGGCGACATTTTTCTTAGGGTTTGACAACCCAAGGCATAGATTTAAATACACAGTTATCCTTTACCTCACCCCACCAATTGCCACCCACTCCAAAGCTCCACACTACTGAACGCCCGAGATTACATTTGAGAATCATTTCTTTTGGATATCCTTAAACATAGAGTGTGCTTTCACCATTCGTAACCAGTGTTTATTCACGATTCAAGTTAAGTCGAAAAGCTATCAATATTTTCCTATTTGTTTTAACTTTAATTACTTTAGTTTTGTTGCTATTGTAATTTGTCTAAAATTTTGCGCTTACTAACGGTACAGTCTGTTTTTTAAGTACACCTAAAACGCGTGACTGTTATATTAACTATTGGTCATTAACAAACATTTAAAACAACTTTGTCCTATTTTGTGGGCATGTGATTAAATTTTCTTTAGTGATTTGGTATCGATTACATAACTGTCAAAAATTATTTAATATCTTAGGATCGAGCATTTCCAAATTAGCATATTCCATAACTAAATAAAAAAAGATTTATATAAAATAATAAAGGTCTAAAATAGTTTAGTATATAGAAACTCATTATTATCTAGATTTAAATCTAGATAGGGATAGAGTTATCTATATTCTAGAATCTAGATCTACGACTGGTTTGCTTAAGTCTAGTTTTTTTAATTGTATTTATAACGAATAAATCTTTGATTTGACCTGAATTCCAGATCTGGAATCGGCGCTAGGTGAAAACAAAAATTGTTCTCTACCTACATACTATTTTACAGCTCTCCACCTAGCGCCGATTCTCTCCAGTATTCAATCAGACAAACAAAAAAACAAACAAAAAAACAAATAAATATTCAAACATGTAAACACACTTGAGTTTTAGTAGTATATATATATATATATATATATATATATATATATATATATATATATATATATATATATATATATATATATATATATATTTATATATATATATATATTTATTTATTTATTTATATATATATATATATATATAGGCTATTTATATAATGGAAAAAGCAGGCCCCGCGATGATGGTTGGCACTAGGCCCCGCGTATTCCTAACGCCGGCTCTGCCTAGAATATTGTTAACCCCGGTGTGTTTGTGTATTGTTATCACAAGGTCGAATGCGGTATAAAAGCTGGAGTGAATTATTGTCAGGGGTTAGTTGGTAGTGGTTAGGTCGAGGGCTATTCTGTATTGTGAATATGTGAGACCGAATAAACGTATTGAACGTAAACACGAGTCGTTCTTGAGTTGAAACTAACCAGGAGGTAACAATAGGCCTATAATTTAAATATATGCCGTATACGCGTACATGTATGTGTATAAGCTTTCTTGCCTAGGTGTCACCCCCTAAATGGTGTCACCCGGTGCGGTCCGCATGTCGATATCCTGAGTTGCCATCTCCCGTAGTGTTATATAAAAACATTTTTTGAGAAAGTTTCGGGATGAGAAGTCCCGGTTTAAATTCTAGACATGCCTCGGTGTTCAATAGAATTACAAACTCTAAAAGTATTACTTCTTGAGATGTTTCAAAATAGTTTGCATGTAAACATCCAAAGTTGAACCACTCTCTTTGTACAAGCTTTTATCCGCATTGTGTCTCTCCGTCGTGCTTCGTCCGTCATCGATCCAAATAGGCGAACTAAATTCCAACACTTTGAACAGACTTCAAATTTAATTACAAGCTCAATTAATTTTTAAAGGATTAATTAAAGTGTCATATTTAAAGTACTATTAACGTACATTTTTCGTGTTCATTTGGTGTGCAATAGTTTTTGGTCATGCAATTCTATTGTAGGCCTATTATAAAATTTAAAGTTTTGGAAAAAATAATTTGAAAGGAATGGGTAAAAAAAACGTTTAACAAACAAGCTTTGGTATAATTTTGCATTAAAAAGGTAAAAATAAATAATTTTCTTTTAATATAATAATGCACTACTATTTAGATAACAGTAAAGATCGTGGGTCGCTTCTTAATTATAAGTAAAGGTATTCAATAGGGGTCGTCCATAAATGACGTCACACTTGCAAAAATCTCGATTTTTTTTTTTTGCACGATTACAATACTTTCTCTATACTTCGTATACGAGAAAGTAAAAATGCATTAAAAACGTTTTATTAGCAAGCTTAAAACGAACGTGGGCGACACACTGCTAACGGGGGGAGGGGGGAGTCGGTGCGCATCCTGCCGGTGGACTAGCCTGATTCGATTCAGTGAACGAAAATAGTATCGTATCGGTAGCCTTTCGCACTCTTTAAAACTAACGTATGCGCCATAGCTCTCATGCAGCCTCCTCTGGAGTATTCTCATCAACTCTCCAAAGTTTCATGGTGATCGCATTATGATGTGTAGTAATGCAAATAAAGAGTAAACAAACCCAGATACTTTCATGTATATATATATATATATATATATATATATATATATATATATATATATATATATATATATATATATGAACAAAAAAATTATTTTCATTAAAAATATAATAATGCACCATTATTTAAATAACGATGAAGAATAGCGTTGGTCACTATGTTATGTAATGAATACCTTTACTAAAACATAAAAAGCGACCAACTATTTTCTTGAAAGTTATTCAAATACTAATGCAATATTATATAGATCTTTTGAAAAAGAATAATTTTCTACTTTTAGTGCAAAATTAAATAAAAGCTTGTTATCAATTCAGATGTTTATATAATATTACATAAATTCTTTTAAATTGTAAAAACAGTTGCTTTCCTGTCAAACATTTCTTTACACATCAACCATAAAATGTTCCATAAATATTTCGGCAAAAAGGTGCCCCCCCCCCCCCTCCGTCAAATGGTGGGATAGCGTAAAAGAAATGAACCAATCGATATTTGAAGGTTAGCCAGAGGTCTAAGCCACATTCACTGCTAGTCTTTGACTTTCTGGGACATTCATACGTGACTCGAGAATCGAAGGAAAATGTAAATGGCTGCTAACAACGTCAAATGGTCTATCGATTAGCTCTCGACTTGATTCGACTGACAAATGACGTGTCGTGTCAAATTTGTCTGGCTGACAAAAGATACTCTTTCACATTTGTCAAATCGTCTTCGGTCGGAATCGTTTGTGAAAAAAAAACATGACTTCGCAAGCAGATCTAAAACGGCTTGAATACTTGAAACTAAATCTCCTTGAGTTGGGCTAAATACTAGACTCATGTGACTTTGTTTACATTTACGTTGTGACGTATTTTAGCACTAGGGGAGATGGGTGCACCATGGGATAGATTTATGAATACTCCAAGTGATGACACCATGTAATGTGGCATTGAATGACACCAAGTAATTTGGCATTAGGTGACACCAACATGTAATGTAGCATTGAATGACACCATGTAATTTGGCATTAGGTGACACCAACATGTAATGTGGCATTGAATGACACCATGTAATTTGGCATTAGGTGACACCAACATGTAATGTGGCATTGAATGACACCATGTAATGTGGCATTAGGGGACACCAACATGTAATGTGGCATTGAATGACACCATGTAATGTGGCATTAGGTGACACCAACATGTAATGTGGCATTGAATGACACCATGTAATTTGGCATTAGGTGACACCAACATGTAATGTGGCATTGAATGACACCATGTAATGTGGCATTAGGTGACACCAACATGTAATGTGGCATTGAATGACACCATGTAATGTGGCATTAGGGGACACCAACATGTAATGTGGCATTGAATGACACCATGTAATGTGGCATTAGGTGACACCAACATGTAATGTGGCATTGAATGACACCATGTAATGTGGCATTAGGTGACACCAACATGCAATGTGGCATTGAATGACACCAACATGTAATGTGGCATTAGGTGACACCAACATGTAATGTGGCATTGAATGACACCAATATGTAATGTGGCATTAGGTGACACCAAAATGTAGTTATATATTTGATGACACCATTATGTAGTGTGGAGTTGGGTGACACTAACATGAGAGATCTACATAACAGGCTTTGTTGATAAGTCAGATCTATCTGGCTGATCTAATAAAAAAAAGGCCAAAGATTTGAAAAAAAGTGGTTATGCTTCATTGGTTTTTTTACATTCATGCCACAACTGTGAGCAGAGTTTCTTCCAGGCATCTCTTCGGACGAAAATTTCAAGTGCACCCCCGAAGAAAAAAGTCTTGAAGATTCACTGACTGAGTCCCATTTGTTGGTCGTCGTCCCCTTCCCCCGCTATAGGGGGTTTGAAATTTTAAAATGTATGGGGAAAGGGTTCAACCTTACCTGGATACTAAAACAGTTTACATAAAGGTTAAATAAATACCGGTAAATTCACTACCTGTATCTAGATTGAGTTGGTTGTCATCCAAAATAAATCAGGTGTTGTGTAATACTAATACATATTGTAGCTCTACACTTACCCTTACTGTAGCTCTACACTTACCCTTACTGTAGCTCTACACTTACCCATACTGTAGCTCTACACTTACCCATACTGTAGCTCTACACTTACCCTTACTGTAGCAATACACTTACCCCTACTGTAGCTCTAAGACTAATTAGCATAAGTTAAAACTTTTCTAAGAAAACGAGTTGCTTGCAAAAAAAAAAAATCAGACACATGCGCAGTTCCACTTTGAGGTTGCCGTAAGAGACAAGTACGGCCATTTCAATCTGACTGCGCGGAGGTGCAAGACGTCTTTTTCTGCCGTTGTGAACATTATCTTAGCCTGAATTACACAGGCACGTCAGCTGTCATGACGTGCCTGTGATGACGTGTAGCACTACCTTGATGATAATTGGACTCGTGACGTAGGTAAGTTTTTGTTACAGAGAGTCCAATCTCCATCTCTCTGTGGTTCACCTTGTCAGATGTTCCCATGACAATGTCACCTTGTCAGATGTTCCCATGACAATGTCACCTTGTCAGATGTTCCCATGACATTGTCACCTTGTCAGATGTTCCCATGACAATGTCACCTTGTCAGATGTTCCCATGACAATGTCACCTGGTCAAAAGGCCCCATGACTATGTCCAGTGTTTCTTCCAGACTTTTTTCTCCGGGGGGGGGGGGGGGCATTTGAAATTTTCGGGGGGGGGGGGCGGACACTGTTCAAAGTATATATATTCTATTTAAATTTCATTTCGTTCGGGGGGGGGGCTGTGCCCCCCCCCCCCCCAGCCTCCGGAGAGATGCCTGGAAGAAACTGACAATGTCACCTTGTCAGATGTTCCCATGACAATGTCACCTTGTCAGATATTCCCATGACAATGTCACATTGACACCCTGCTCCCTCTGTGGGGATGGGGTCTGAAATTTCCAGGTGACTTGATGTTTTTTTTTATTTAAATCTTGTTTTAACACTAGCTGCAGCTCATTATTTTATAAGTTGTATGCGTGCACATGCTATTTTTATATGATGGTAAAGTTAAAGGAATACAGAGAGAATTCTCAACACACACACAACGTTTTTATTACGAATACATGAATTGAAAGGTGGGGCGATTCCCCACCCTACTGTTATAAATTTACATGAACTAATTTGAAAAAAAAAGGTGCAAAGAACCTCTGGAGACTTGTTTAGGGGCAGCTACTCTTCATCACTGCAAGAAGTGATGGCCCATTTTTAACAACTTAGGACCTTTTAGATTGAAGAGTGACGTAGACAAAATAAAATAAACGCTGTAGTCGTTGAAGAATTCGTTTTAAATCGAAACAGGAATCCCAGGAAATGACATCTTATAAATTTATGATTTAGTTTTATGTAAGTTAATTCACCGGGTGTCGGATCCCACAAAAGAGTTCAAGCTACAGTTTAACATAACATTTCGTGTATGTGTATAAATAAGGTTTCAGTCAAGCAGCGTCCAGCTAAGGCTTTATTTAGATCTACAATCTAATGTTCTCAATGGGTTGCCCGAGAACATTTGTAGTTTTATGATAAGGGTTGGACCGTGCAGCAAAGTAGGCCCCATCTACATGCCACTGTCTATACCCTAGGGAAGGACTGGGGGGGGGGGGGCTTTAAGGATGATCTCACAAGAACTAAAACTGTCATAAAAGAATATCACAAGCACTATATGAACTGTCACAAGGAATGTCACAAACACTCTATGAACTGTCTCAGGAAAGAACAAATTACAAGATGGCGGCGCTGCATGCAGATCACGTGACTGACGTAGCTACGTCATCCAACTTTAAGCAGGTCAAGACAACACATCTCCATCTGGACACTTATGTCGATTTCAGCCAAAAATCTATCGCCGGCTCTGAAACAATCACCTTCAAGAGTGAAACGGACGAACTGAGTTCAGGTAATTTGAGCTTCGCTATTTCTTTAAACTGAATCAGCCCATATTCAGGCTACATCCTTACAGGCTACATTTCTATAGGCTACATCTTTACAGGCTATAAACTATAACATCAAACAGATTTCTTATTTTTATCAAAGAGATCGTCCAAAATGACGCCAGATATTTTCGTATATGACTGCCTACAAAGATTGGTCACATTAATTAAATAATTAATGAACTTAGTTAATATTTCTCTCTGTCCTGCCGTCTACTGTTCCAGTTATCTTGGATGTGCACCAGACGCTTACAGTCATCACGGTGAAATACAACGAGAGAGTTCTAAAGTTTGAAGTGAAACCTTTTCGAAGTTATGGCACAAGTTTAGAGATTTTTGTAAGTTTGTTTTGATACCGTTCTCAAGTTTGAAGTGAAACCTTTTCGAAGTTATGGCACAAGTTTAGAGATTTTTGTAAGTTTGTTTTGATACCGTTCTCAAGTTTGAAGTGAAACCTTTTCGAAGTTATGGCACAAGTTTAGAGATTTTTGTAAGTTTGTTTTGAGAGAGGTCTAGGGTGACCTTGACCACCTGTGTTCTGGGGTGACCTTGTTAATCCTTACAATATCGTCTGACCTTGTAAGGTGTCATCTCATTAGTTATGATGACCTTCAAAGACCTTGTAAACTGGGTTGCCTCTGTGGTAAACGGAAAAAAGTCACAGGAAAAAAAACACAGAAAAAAAGTCACAGTTTTTGCTAGGAAAAAAAGTCACAGAAAAAAAGTCACAGTGGAAAAATTTTATCGGAAAAAAAGTCACAGAAATAAAGTCACAGAAAAAAAAGTCACAAAAATCTTTTTAGAAATATTTTGATTTATTTGTTAGGAATTGTAAAATTTTTTTTGTTTATTGTTGTGGGTTGTATTTTTGACAGCATAAATTATTTATAGACGTTAAAAGCATTATGGGTTATAACAATTGTAAGTAAAAAATACTCTAAGATAATTTACACAACAATCTCAACTTTTGCTACGTATTTAGTTAAATACGCGGTAGAAAAGTTTATAAAAGAAATTTAAGCAAATTTCGCCGTAGGCTATTCTCTGGTCGGCCTCTCCTCAGTAGGCATTGTCCGAACATATTTTGTGTTGTTGACGTTATGCGTCAATGGCAGCCTTTGAACCTTGTCGGCTTTCTGTTTGATCCTAAGTTTTGTTATGTAATGAGCGTGATAAATGTGGGCAGTAAAGGTGGTTGAACTGAGCGTAACTATTGTTGCCATGAGTTGAGGACAGCAAGTCAGATGAACTTACCATTTCACGGTAATTTAATGTTGGTATTTAAAAAAAACACGATGAAAACCGTGGGCATTGGAGCATTCTATTAAATGCTCCTAATCTTAAGTTTAAAATAATTACAATCTACATACTTCTTACTAAATATTTTTAGATGAATTATAAAAATTACTATGCGTATACAGCCTACACACATTACATTAAATTTAATTAATCCTAAGTTAATTTGCACTCTCTAAATATTTAATACATAAAAGTATTACCAAATATCAAGCAAATATATATTTGTGACTTTTTTCCTGTGACTTTTTTTCTGTGTTTTTTTTTCCTGTGTTTTTTTGTTTTTTTTTCCTGTGACTTTTTTTCCTACAATCGCCTCTGTACTCTGGGTCGGCAATGTTAACAGTAATGTTGTCTTGACAGAAAATGTTAACAGTAATGTTGTCTAGACAGAAAATCTTGACTGAGTTTTTAGCCTGGTGCTTCATGTAGATCTAGTCTGTGTATCTCTACTCACACTTGACCTTGTCAGTACTAAACTAGGTCAAGGATAGCTCTTTACGATACTGGCTATTGTTGCATGTACTCCAATAAAATACAAATGAACTCCTGTATTGTTACGATACTGGCTATTGTTGCATGTACTCCAATAAAATACAAATGAACTCCTGTATTGTATTTGTAGCTGGAAGAAGCCAAAAATAAAGGAGATGTTTTTGAGCTGTGGATCCAATTTGTGTCTGGCAAGGGCCCGGCACTCTCGTGGCTTGAGCCTCAACAAACAGCAGGTACGTAAGGCAGGGGCGTATGTGGTGGGGCGAGCCTCAACAAACAGCAGGTACGTAAGGCAGGGGCGTATGTGGTGGGGCGACCGCTTCCCATGACACATTGGTTAGTGACGCCCTTTTGGGGGGGGGGGGTTAATTAAAACAAAATTGAAAAGAAATTACACAACAAAGGACAACAAACCCACCTTTCTCAGTCCAGCATTATGTAGCAGCCCTACTTTAAATTGTCAGTCTCAGTCCTATAGTCCAGAACTATGTAGCAGCCTTACTTTAAATTGTCAGCCTCATGCTAGCCACTATGTAGCAGCCCTACTTTAAATTGTCAGCCTCATGCTAGCCACTATGTAGCAGCCCTACTTTAAATTGTCAGCCTCAGGCTAGCCACTATGTAGCAGCCCTACTTTAAATTGTCAGTCTCAGTCCTATAGTCCAGCACTATGTAGCAGCCCTACTTTAAATTGTCAGCCTCAGTCCTATAGTCCAGAACTATGTAGCAGCCTTACTTTAAATTGTCAGCCTCATGCTAGCCACTATGTAGCAGCCCTACTTTAAATTGTCAGTCTCAGTCCTATAGTCCAGCACTATGTAGCAGCCCTACTTTAAATTGTCAGCCTCAGTCCTATAGTCCAGAACTATGTAGCAGCCCTACTTTAAATTGTCAGCCTCATGCTAGCCACAATGTAGCAGTCCTACTTTAAATTGTCAGCCTCATGCTAGCCACTATGTAGCAGCCCTACTTTAAATTGTCAGCCTCAGGCTAGCCACTATGTAGCAGCCCTACTTTAAATTGTCAGCCTCAGTCCTATAGTCCAGCACTATGTAGCAGCCCTACTTTAAATTGTCAGCCTCATGCTAGCCACTATGTAGCAGCCCTACTTTAAATTGTCAGCCTCAGGCTAGCCACTATGTAGCAGCCCTACTTTAAATTGTCAGCCTCAGTCCTATAGTCCAGCACTATGTAGCAGTCCTACTTTAAATTGTCAGCCTCAGGCTAGCCACTATGTAGCAGCCCTACTTTAAATTGTCAGTCTCAGTCCTATAGTCCAGAACTATGTAGCAGCCTTACTTTAAATTGTCAGCCTCATGCTAGCCACTATGTAGCAGCCCTACTTTAAATTGTCAGCCTCAGTCCTATAGTCCAGCACTATGTAGCAGCCCTACTTTAAATTGTCAGCCTCAGGCTAGCCACTATGTAGCAGCCCTACTTTAAATTGTCAGCCTCAGTCCTATAGTCCAGAACTATGTAGCAGCTTTACTTTAAATTGTCAGCCTCATGCTAGCCACTATGTAGCAGCCCTACTTTAAATTGTCAGTCTCAGTCCTATAGTCCAGCACTATGTAGCAGCCCTACTTTAAATTGTCAGCCTCAGTCCTATAGTCCAGAACTATGTAGCAGCCCTACTTTAAATTGTCAGCCTCATGCTAGCCACAATGTAGCAGTCCTACTTTAAATTGTCAGCCTCATGCTAGCCACTATGTAGCAGCCCTACTTTAAATTGTCAGCCTCAGGCTAGCCACTATGTAGCAGCCCTACTTTAAATTGTCAGCCTCAGTCCTATAGTCCAGCACTATGTAGCAGCCCTACTTTAAATTGTCAGCCTCATGCTAGCCACTATGTAGCAGCCCTACTTTAAACTGTCAGCCTCAGGCTAGCCACTATGTAGCAGCCCTACTTTAAATTGTCAGCCTCAGTCCTATAGTCCAGCACTATGTAGCAGTCCTACTTTAAATTGTCAGCCTCATGCTAGCCACTATGTAGCAGTCCTACTTTAAATTGTCAGCCTCAGGCTAGCCACTATGTAGCAGCCCTACTTTAAATTGTCAGTCTCAGTCCTATAGTCCAGAACTATGTAGCAGCCTTACTTTAAATTGTCAGCCTCATGCTAGCCACTATGTAGCAGCCCTACTTTAAATTGTCAGCCTCAGTCCTATAGTCCAGCACTATGTAGCAGCCCTACTTTAAATTGTCAGCCTCAGGCTAGCCACTATGTAGCAGCCCTACTTTAAATTGTCAGCCTCAGTCCTATAGTCCAGCACTATGTAGCAGCCTTACTTTAAATTGTCAGCCTCATGCTAGCCACTATGTAGCAGCCCTACTTTAAATTGTCAGCCTCAGTCCTATAGTCCAGCACTATGTAGCAGTCCTACTTTAAATTGTCAGCCTCAGGCTAGCCACTATGTAGCAGCCCTACTTTAAATTGTCAGCCTCAGTCCTATAGTCCAGCACTATGTAGCAGTCCTACTTTAAATTGTCAGCCTCAGGCTAGCCACTATGTAGCAGCCCTACTTTAAATTGTCAGCCTCAGTCCTATAGTCCAGAACTATGTAGCAGCCTTACTTTAAATTGTCAGCCTCAGGCTAGCCACTATGTAGCAGCCCTACTTTAAATTGTCAGCCTCATGCTAGCCACTATGTAGCAGTCCTACTTTAAATTGTCAGCCTCAGTCCTATAGTCCAGCACTATGTAGCAGCCCTACTTTAAATTGTCAGCCTCATGCTAGCCACTATGTAGCAGCCCTACTTTAAATTGTCAGTCTCAGTCCTATAGTCCAGCACTATGTAGCAGCCCTACTTTAAATTGTCAGCCTCAGGCTAGCCACTATGTAGCAGCCCTACTTTAAATTGTCAGTCTCAGTCCTATAGTCCAGCACTATGTAGCAGCCCTACTTTAAATTGTCAGCCTCAGTCCTATAGTCCAGAACTATGTAGCAGCCTTACTTTAAATTGTCAGCCTCATGCTAGCCACTATGTAGCAGTCCTACTTTAAATTGTCAGCCTCAGTCCTATAGTCCAGCACTATGTAGCAGTCCTACTTTAAATTGTCAGCCTCAGTCCTATAGTCCAGCACTATGTAGCAGCCCTACTTTAAATTGTCAGCCTCAGTCCTATAGTCCAGAACTATGTAGCAGCCCTACTTTAAATTGTCAGCCTCATGCTAGCCACTATGTAGCAGTCCTACTTTAAATTGTCAGCCTCAGGCTAGCCACTATGTAGCAGCCCTACTTTAAATTGTCAGCCTCATGCTAGCCACTATGTATCAGTCCTACTTTAAATTGTCAGCCTCAGTCCTATAGTCCAGCACTATGTAGCAGCCCTACTTTAAATTGTCAGCCTCAGGCTAGCCACTATGTAGCAGCCCTACTTTAAATTGTCAGCCTCATGCTAGCCACTATGTAGCAGCCCTACTTTAAATTGTCAGCCTCATGCTAGCCACTATGTAGCAGTCCTACTTTAAATTGTCAGCCTCAGTCCTATAGTCCAGCACTATGTAGCAGCCCTACTTTAAATTGTCAGCCTCAGGCTAGCCACTATGTAGCAGCCCTACTTTAAATTGTCAGTCTCAGTCCTATAGTCCAGCACTATGTAGCAGCCCTACTTTAAATTGTCAGCCTCAGTCCTATAGTCCAGTACTATGTAGCAGCCCTACTTTAAATTGTCAGCCTCAGTCCTATAGTCCAGTACTATGTAGCAGCCCTACTTTAAATTGTCAGCCTCAGTCCTATAGTCCAGTACTATGTAGCAGCCCTACTTTAAATTGTCAGCCTCAGTCCTATAGTCCAGCACTATGTAGCAGCCCTACTTTAAATTGTCAGCCTCAGGCTAGCCACTATGTAGCAGCCCTACTTTAAATTGTCAGCCTCAGTCCTATAGTCCAGCATTGTGTAGCAGCCCTACTTTAAATTGTCAGCCTCAGTCCTATAGTCCAGCACTATGTAGCAGCCCTACTTTAAATTGTCAGCCTCAGTCCTATAGTCCAGCACTATGTAGCAGCCCTACTTTAAATTGTCAGCCTCAGTCCTATAGTCCAGCACTATGTAGCAGCCCTACTTTAAATTGTCAGCCTCAGTCCTATAGTCCAGAACTATGTAGCAGCCCTACTTTAAATTGTCAGTCTCAGGCTAGCCACTATAGATACTCTTTGGCTGAAATTTTAAGAAATAAGAAAAATACAACACGCCTTCTATATTTAAATTCATACACCGTAATTATTAAGTCTTATCCGGACTGTCACACACGTCTTAAATTCATAAAACTGACCCTCTTAAAGCGAGGACGATGAAGAAAATACTTTTTATTAACAATTATATCCTGACCAGAAAGCATTGTTCATGAAGAAACTATCCTCCAAACAGACAAAAAGCAACCGTTCCTGTATAGCCAAGGCCAGTCAGTACTCAACAGGTCCTTCTTCCCATGCCAAGACACCCCAGCTGTCAAAGCTACCTACTCCGCCTTCGTTAGCGTCCCTGACCAGTTGACCGCTGTGATGAGTGCCAATCAGAGAAGTTTTGGGGAGAAGGCCAATAAAGACAACCAGAAAAACTGCTTTTACTTTGAGGTGGTTTGTTCTAAGCACAATGTGTTTAGCAGATTGTGTTTAGAAGATTGTGTTTAGCAGTTTGATCACTGTGATCTTTTTTTCAAGTCATTAGCAAAAAAAAAACTGGTAAATTAGGCAGTTATATCACACCAAAATTAGGCAGTTATAATATCACACCAAAATTAGGCAGTTACATCACATCAAAATTAGGCAGTTATATCACACCAAAATTAGGCAGTTATATCACACCAAAATTAGGCAGTTATAATATCACGCCAAAATTAGGCAGTTACATCACACCAAAATTAGGCAGTTATAATATCACATCAAAATTAGGCAGTTATATCACGCCAAAATTAGGCAGTTATAATATCACGCCACAAGTAGGCAGTTATATCACACCAAAATTAGGCAGTTATAATATCACACCAAAATTAGGCAGTTATATCACACCAAAATTAGGCAGTTATAATATCACGCCAAAATTAGGCAGTTACATCACACTAAAATTAGGCAGTTATAATATCACATCAAAATTAGGCAGTTATATCACGCCAAAATTAGGCAGTTATAATATCACGCCAAAATTAGGCAGTTATATCACACCAAAATTAGGCAGTTATAATATCACACCAAAATTAGGCAGTTACATCACATCAAAATTAGGCAGTTATATCACACCAAAATTAGGCAGTTATATCACACCAAAATTAGGCAGTTATATCACATCAAAATTAGGCAGTTATAATATCACACCAAAATTAGGCAGTTATAATATCACACCAAAATTAGGCAGTTATATCACATCAAAATAAGGCAGTTATATCACGCCAAAATTAGGCAGTTATATCACACCAAAATTAGGCAGTTATATCACATCAAAATTAGGCAGTTATATCACGCCAAAATTAGGCAGTTATAATATCACGCCAAAATTAGGCAGTTATATCACACCAAAATTAGGCAGTTATAATATCACACCAAAATTAGGCAGTTACATCACATCAAAATTAGGCAGTTATATCACACCAAAATTAGGCAGTTATAATATCACACCAAAATTAGGCAGTTATAATATCACACCAAAATTAGGCAGTTATATCACACCAAAATTAGGCAGTTATATCACACCAAAATTAGGCAGTTATATCACACCAAAATTAGGCAGTTATATCACACCAAAATTAGGCAGTTAAATCACATCAAAATTAGGCAGTTATAATATCACATCAAAATTAGGCAGTTATAATATCACATCAAAATTAGGCAGTTATATCACACCAAAATTAGGCAGTTATATCACATCAAAATTAGGCAGTTATAATATCACGCCAAAATTAGGCAGTTATATCACACCAAAATTAGGCAGTTATATCACATCAAAATTAGGCAGTTATATCACGCCAAAATTAGGCAGTTATAATATCACGCCAAAATTAGGCAGTTATATCACACCAAAATTAGGCAGTTATAATATCACACCAAAATTAGGCAGTTACATCACATCAAAATTAGGCAGTTATATCACACCAAAATTAGGCAGTTATAATATCACACCAAAATTAGGCAGTTATAATATCACACCAAAATTAGGCAGTTATATCACACCAAAATTAGGCAGTTATATCACACCAAAATTAGGCAGTTATATCACACCAAAATTAGGCAGTTATAATATCACGCCAAAATTAGGCAGTTACATCACATCAAAATTAGGCAGTTATAATATCACATCAAAATTAGGCAGTTATATCACACCAAAATTAGGCAGTTATAATATCACGCCAAAATTAGGCAGTTATATCACACCAAAATTAGGCAGTTATAATATCACACCAAAATTAGGCAGTTACATCACATCAAAATTAGGCAGTTATATCACACCAAAATTAGGCAGTTATAATATCACACCAAAATTAGGCAGTTATAATATCACACCAAAATTAGGCAGTTATATCACATCAAAATTAGGCAGTTATATCACACCAAAATTAGGCAGTTATATCACACCAAAATTAGGCAGTTATAATATCACGCCAAAATTAGGCAGTTATAATATCACACCAAAATTAGGCAGTTATAATATCACACCAAAATTAGGCAGTTATAATATCACGCCAAAATTAGGCAGTTACATCACATCAAAATTAGGCAGTTATATCACACCAAAATTAGGCAGTTATAATATCACACCAAAATTAGGCAGTTATAATATCACACCAAAATTAGGCAGTTATATCACACCAAAATTAGGCAGTTACATCACATCAAAATTAGGCAGTTACATCACATTAAAATTAGGCAGTTACATCACACCAAAATTAGGCAGTTATATCACACCAAAATTAGGCAGTTATAATATCACGCCAAAATTAGGCAGTTATAATATCACGTCAAAATTAGGCAGTTATATCACACCAAAATTAGGCAGTTATATCACATCAAAATTAGGCAGTTATAATATCACGCCAAAATTAGGCAGTTACATCACACCAAAATTAGGCAGTTATATCACACCAAAATTAGGCAGTTATAATATCACACCAAAATTAGGCAGTTATATCACATCAAAATTAGGCAGTTATAATATCACACCAAAATTAGGCAGTTATAATATCACACCAAATCTAGGCAGTTATATCACACCAAAATTAGGCAGTTATAATATCACACCAAAATTAGGCAGTTATACCACATCAAAATTAGGCAGTTACATCACATCAAAATTAGGCAGTTATAATATCACGCCAAAATTAGGCAGTTACATCACACCAAAATTAGGCAGTTATAATATCACACCAAAATTAGGCAGTTATACCACATCAAAATTAGGCAGTTATATCACACCAAATCTAGGCAGTTACATCACACCAAAATTAGGCAGTTATAATATCACACCAAAATTAGGCAGTTATATCACATCAAAATTAGGCAGTTATAATATCACACCAAAATTAGGCAGTTATAATATCACACCAAAATTAGGCAGTTATATCACACCAAAATTAGGCAGTTATAATATCACACCAAAATTAGGCAGTTATACCACATCAAAATTAGGCAGTTATATCACACCAAATCTAGGCAGTTATATCACACCAAAATTAGGCAGTTATAATATCACACCAAAATTAGGCAGTTATACCACATCAAAATTAGGCAGTTACATCACATCAAAATTAGGCAGTTATAATATCACGCCAAAATTAGGCAGTTACATCACACCAAAATTAGGCAGTTATAATATCACACCAAAATTAGGCAGTTATACCACATCAAAATTAGGCAGTTATATCACACCAAATCTAGGCAGTTACATCACACCAAAATTAGGCAGTTATAATATCACACCAAAATTAGGCAGTTATATCACACCAAAATTAGGCAGTTATATCACACCAAATCTAGGCAGTTATAATATCACGCCAAAATTAGGCAGTTACATCACACCAAAATTAGGCAGTTATAATATCACACCAAAATTAGGCAGTTATATCACACCAAAATTAGGCAGTTACATCACATCAAAATTAGGCAGTTACATCACATCAAAATTAGGCAGTTACATCACACCAAAATTAGGCAGTTATAATATCACACCAAAATTAGGCAGTTATATCACACCAAAATTAGGCAGTTACATCACATCAAAATTAGGCAGTTATATCACACCAAATCTAGTCAGTTATAATATCACGCCAAAATTAGGCAGTTATATCACACCAAAATTAGGCAGTTACATCACATCAAAATTAGGCAGTTATATCACACCAAAATTAGGCAGTTATATCACACCAAAATTAGGCAGTTATAATATCACACCAAAATTAGGCAGTTACATCACACCAAAATTAGGCAGTTATATCACACCAAAATTAGGCAGTTATAATATCACACCAAAATTAGGCAGTTACATCACACCAAAATTAGGCAGTTATATCACACCAAAATTAGGCAGTTATAATATCACGCCAAAATTAGGCAGTTACATCACATCAAAATTAGGCAGTTATATCACACCAAATCTAGGCAGTTATATCACACCAAAATTAGGCAGTTATAATATCACGCCAAAATTAGGCAGTTACATCACATCAAAATTAGGCAGTTATATCACACCAAAATTAGGCAGTTATAATATCACACCAAAATTAGGCAGTTACATCACACCAAAATTAGGCAGTTATAATATCACACCAAAATTAGGCAGTTATAATATCACGCCAAAATTAGGCAGTTACATCACATCAAAATTAGGCAGTTATATCACACCAAAATTAGGCAGTTATAATATCACACCAAAATTAGGCAGTTATAATATCACGCCAAAATTAGGCAGTTACATCACATCAAAATTAGGCAGTTATATCACACCAAAATTAGGCAGTTATAATATCACACCAAAATTAGGCAGTTATATCACACCAAAATTAGGCAGTTACATCACATCAAAATTAGGCAGTTATATCACACCAAAATTAGGCAGTTATAATATCACACCAAAATTAGGCAGTTATAATATCACGCCAAAATTAGGCAGTTACATCACACCAAAATTAGGCAGTTATATCACACCAAAATTAGGCAGTTATAATATCACACCAAAATTAGGCAGTTATAATATCACGCCAAAATTAGGCAGTTATATCACACCAAAATTAGGCAGTTATAATATCACACCAAAATTAGGCAGTTATAATATCACGCAAAAATTAGGCAGTTATATCACATCATAATTAGGCAGTTATATCACATCAAAATTAGGCAGCTATAATATCACACCAAAATTAGACAGTTATATCACGCCAAAATCAGGCAGTTATATCACGCCAAAATTAGGCAGTTATATCACATCAAAATTAGGCAGTTATAATATCACACAAAAATTAGGCAGTTATAATATCACACCAAAATTAGGCAGTTATATCACACCAAAATTAGGCAGTTACATCACATCAAAATTAGGCAGTTACATCACATCAAAATTAGGCAGTTACATCACACCAAAATTAGGCAGT